TATGAAATTTCTTAGCAGTTTGATAAAATCATTCAATCCCCAAGGAGCTCATTTAACATTTACCCTTGATGCGTACATTTTGCTCAGTTTTTCCTAAGTATTTGCAGCACTCTCCGGATTTCTATTCCCCGTTAAAATAAGTATGTTAGGCGTTTGCAGAAATTCACATTAAACTAAGATCCGAACGGTAGATATAAGAAAATAATAATTAGCACAAAAATAATAAGTATTAAATAATGCGACCATTATTATAAGTGTATTATAATTTCAATTCCAATTACTATGTCGTTTTAATAATAATTTGACATACCGAGTACTCGATGGAATTATATTGTTATGTTTGTTGTCGTTATTTTGGTATAAACACTTAAATATATCAGTTCCGTTGCCAGAGGGGACACCTCCGGGTCGTCTTTACTTTAATTTATACAAACCCATTATAGTACTATAGTGTTGAGTTTCGACTTATCTCACTCTCTAAAATCAAATGCGTCCGCGGTTGATGTAATTTGGCATGTGGTATATATATGGGATATCTCATATTATTAGTATTGTTTAAGTTCAATAAATTAAATTAAATTAAATAATACTAACATTTTCTCGATTATCAATGTTATAATTAGACTCGCTCAACATTCCGTCAAACTAATGAGTTTAAAATTTGTAATACTCTTCTAATTCAGATGTTTAAGTATTGTTTTTAGAGAATTTATTCAGTAATATTTAATTAAATGTTAAACAATTTAGGTGACCTCTTAACGCCCAAATTAATAATACAATGCTAATTAACTAATAAATTCGCGTGGAAGCATTCTTTTGTGAATTATTTATCACTTTTAAATTAGACAGAGGCTTACCAAACTCGGTTTATTGGCTTTATTATTTTAAAAACCCGAATAAAAGTTAAATCTGATGAGCGGTGAAGAAAACCCGGAAAAACCTTTTTTGTTCAAGCTCTTACTTTGCTGTCCTAATAAATTAGTGTTGTAAGAAAAATAAGATAAAGTAAAAAAAAAACAGCTTTATTCTCTTTGCATGTCGTCTATCTTTATGGAGCTATAAAAATGAGTGAAGGCATAAAACCCCCGTCAGCTTTGCCAAGAAAAGAGATTTTCATATTATTTACTCCGTAAAAACATTTGTAATTACGGCACTGCGCTAATACACTTATTTGCTGCTATAATAAATTGTTTTATTGCGAATTACTCCAAAACCTATTTAATATTAGACAGTTTTTTCAACGACGGTATTCCAAAGTTTATAGTGGATACAAGCCATAAGCATTGTGCATCATTAATCGACCAAAGTATGTACAGTTACTGCACGGATCATCCGTATAAGTATCATAGTTAGCTCATGGTAGGTATAGATAGTAGTAATACTATAAAATGTTGGACAAATTGTTTTTTAAGTATGCAAAAAAAAAACCCAAAAAACCTCGTGTACTTAAATATTAATCTACGCACTTTTTTAAAGAAACATACGCACTATTTATAAACGGTTATTTGTATTATATCTGCGAAGTCTGAACCTCACTTTATACGTGCTTGTCGTTAGTTATGACAGAACAGAATAATATAACATTTCCATAATCCTAAGATAACAGAAGATTTTATGGTTTCTTTTCTTGTCAAAATCCTATTTACTTGCGATAACGCAACAAACCATCATGTTACATTTGTTTTCTTATTGTTATTCAGTTCAAGTTCTGTATGGTTGTCCGCAGTTTGATATACCGACTACACAATGGATATATGTAACACTTTCCATTACTAAAATACTCCCTTGAACGAGATAATATAAGTTTATATTATATTTGATTGGAATTATTTGTATTTGTTAATTTTAAAATGACATTATTTGAATGAAATCTGCATTAAAATAAAAAGTGATCTGGATAATTAAAAAAGGTATAGTATAATAATTATTTAATTTTTTTTACGTTCTTTTATTATGATAACATAATATTGTCTACCTCATAATGCATCTGCATTAAAATAAAAAGTGATATGGATAATTAAAAAAGGTATAGTATAATAATTGTTTAATTTTTTTTTACGTTCTTTTATTATGATAACATAATATTGTCTATCTCATAATGACAAAATTATCAATAACATAATGGAATAATGCCCATTTCTGCTCTTATTATATTATATGTACATTTATTAATCATTATCGTTTTTATTTCTATTGAGACTTATAAATGTTTGTTGTGTGCGAAATCTTATAATTATTGGTATCACAATCGGAAAAGTCAATATAAATAAAGTTAGTTTTTCTAAGTGAGTGATCTCCTCTAACCTGTATGTAATAATATTTTTATCAGGTTGCATAAACTACTTATTTAGCTTTGTTGCAGAGCGGAACCCATATTTCTTTATACGATTATTATACAAAATTATATTATACATATATGATGATTTTAGTGGCTTACATATAAATGATTTTCACTGTAAATCTGCAAGACGTATTCTTTGGTGTATATTAATTGATGTGTACTTATTTAAAAACTATTATAAGGTCTATTATTAGACTGGTGCCGGTTTTGGTGTTATTCGATTACACAGTTCACCCGGTGAAGAAAATAAACATAATAATACATTTATAATTACATAACATGAACAGTCATAAAAAAATATCTGAATATAATGATGTTCAAATATTTCTTTGAGGTCAAATGGAATTAGGCTTGGCTATAATATACACCGCATTAATTAATTATTGTTAGGTGATTGTCAATTCAAAAATAACATGTACATATTTTTATGAGTTTACACTAAGCATGTATCATACATATTACTTTATTTAAAATAGGTTATAAAACTAATAATGTGTTTTAAAACCTGCAATCGTGATGACATTGATAGTGTCTATAAAATATGTTTTTAAGTTAAACGACGGTTACCCAACTTATTTAAATAACCAGATTGACTGCCAAAAATTGTTTAGAAATATTTAATTTAAATACAAAATATACATTTTTTAAATCCAGTTCTGAGTTAAATATTTTGTCTTTTCTACATCGCTCCTATTATTATTTAATTTATAGTGTTTTATACTTTATTTTTTTTATTATTAATTCGCCGTTTTAGCTTCATTGCAAAAGTGTAAACATCAAAGATATTGGTTTTTTAATGATTGATCTTATTTTATGTCTGTATACACAACTATTTTTGACCAATTTATTCAAACAACGTGTCTGTCAAAACTCCAAAAAGTAGCCGTGTGTTTTAATTTTTTTTTTGACACACTAAAACTTGACTTAAAAGCAGAATATTTTGCGTTTTTACCTTACAGTACTAAAAAGGGAGAGCAGTAGTTAATTCAATACCATAAAAGGAGGGATACCTAAAAGACAACTCATATATTGATTACCGATACCTTTACACTGAATTTATTATTTAGACCGCCTTGAAAATTAAAGACAATCATTATACTAACAAGCAGTTTGAAATAAATATAAATAATCGCATGTATTACTACTAAATAGGGACGAATACTTATAATATATTACAACGCCTTAAAGCATAATATAGCACAATGGATAGTGATTATTTTCATTTTTTTTTTGTTTTAAAAATCCGTTCAGTAATGTGTCTTGGTACTTTCTTTATCCGTTATGTTAAGCATTGTATATGATTAATTTATACCTATAGTTAAGCCACATTAAAAATATATTTTTTTCAGACTTAAAACAAATTACCTTTAATGATTTTGACACTAACAGCTATAAAACATTGATTAAACTAACGATTTTTAAAAACAACTCGTGATGTGTTATTATCATTATACTACAGTGCTGCATTCAAACTAAAATTTAAATGTGTAGTGTAAGTTTTACTAATAAACTCTCTTTAACCAGAGTTGTTGTGGAGCCCGAATTACTTTTTGTGTGCCAACGTTTTATTAGCGGCTGGTAAGCATAAGGCATAAGCACTGTATTTTATGTAAGTCTGGAGTAGATAGAAGATACACAGAATAAAAACAATAATTAGTTATGCCTCTACGATAGTCAACCAAGGCCAACTATGAATTCTAGAAAATAAAAAAACATTTCTTCTAAGGTTTACATTATAACTTTAATTTAATTATTTAAATTATTAGCTTCGTCGAGTTATATATTTTTATGTTATTTGTATCATTTAATGGGCAATATTATTTAATTAAAAATGAAAAATATTATTTTATTTATTTCAAGGTTAGTGTACATTTTTGTTAGTCGTTTTCACTTTATATTGATGCCTGTCAATTATGTGCGGAGTTGGTATATGTAGTACCGTCGGAGAATTTTTAATAAGTTGTAAGTTTAAAGTTAATTTGATGGTCACCAAACGACTTTGGTGATATAACAGTATTTTTATTCATTAATAATTTAACTTTTATTTAGAAATAAATTTATTATTTACAAATTTTAGTTTTATTGATGGCTTATGAATAACTATAAATTAGCTATAACTATAATTACAAACGATTTGTTAAATAAATTATTGTAATATTACTGTAAATTTACAAAAAAATTTATCGAACCCGAATAAACTTTTAAGTATTTAAATTTGCATAACGATGTATTTGTACATTAAATATTAACCAAAAAGTAAACATAGATATATAGTTAACTGGGCCATGATTGAAAAATTAATATATAATAAAATTAATAGGTAAATAAATGTTACAATTTTGTTATTCCTAAATGTATTTAATTAAAAATTGTTCTAATTATTCCCAAGTCTACATTCATTGGACGCTTACTTAGTCTATATATCATCATGCCACTGAGTAATAAATACTGTTGTTTCGATTGTTATTTTTTCTAACCCAAGGGTTAAAACCAGTCTAGACTTGACTCGTGGTTTCAGAAAAATGTTAAAATGAACTGGTTTATGTCGCTAGTACGTGATAGCTGGTACAGTGTACATAGCCAGCAGTGACAGCTGATATAGCGCGTATAGATTAAGCGAATTTGACATTAACAACTAATTTTCGTTTATGCTTTGCAGATAAAGCTAGGAAGAAGTACGGGAACCTGTGTGGTAGCGGAGGCAAGACCAACGACAGTGGCGACGACGAAAGTGGAGGTAGCTCTAGTGAAGTGTTGGTGGTCATGTTGGAACGATCGCCGGGTTCGGGGCTGGGAATGAGCTTGGCCGGGCACAAAGACCGCACTAAAATGGCCGTCATGGTTTGTGGACTGAATCCCAACGGACCTGCGGCCAAGTCTGGATGTTTGCGGGTCGGTGACGAAATTTTAGAGGTATGTACATTTTTACTGTTGTTTTTTTTTTTAAACATAAACCGTTTTTTTGCGGTCCAGTGAAAATATATAATTTTTTGTTTTCTCAAAAATTAAAAAAACATGCTTCAAGTGTTAAGCGGCGTATGAACGAATGAACGGTTATTTGTGTTTTTCTTATCCGTTGTGTAACCCGGCGCAACAAGACTCCGGCAAAATATGCTATACAATATCCAAAGGCAAACTGACATCCGATATATTATTATTATAATAAATGCGTTGGCGACACCAATGCCAATTTGATATTCGTCGCTCGACGAATCGATAATGGAAACCTGAGTATCCAAAGGAAAATTTTTGCATCAAAGGCCATAGCAGAATTCTGCGAATATATTTTTGATTCTGCATACTATTTGTTGAGCCTGCTGCTTATTTCTCGACGATTATTTAAAAGAAAAAAAAATTCTAAAGGTATCACCAAACTGCGTGTAATATACACTACTAGTAGCTAAATATAAATATACTAGTATAAATATAAATATAAATATACTACTACTGTAGCTAAATATAAATCCATATAAAAACAAAATCGTGCCATCGATATTGTACTACTAACGAAAAAAGGTCAAGCATTTATATTAAACGGTGCACGTGGGGAAAAAAATATTGGATAATAAATCTAAAAATTTGTATTTGTAATTTTAATTTTAATTTGTTGACTAATGAAATGGAATACAATAAAAAGGATACCAGACTTTATGAAATTGTAAACTTTAACAAAAACCAAATTTGACATTAAGTTAGTGGAAGTTTTTTCACTTGTAACGTTTTCTTTATGGAAATTAGTATTTCATAAACTTTTCTGATAAGCGATTCATACCGGTTTTTCAGTTAAGCAGCTATCTATCCTATAAAGAAACCTATGTAGTATAAAAAATAATACCAGACCATGCGAGTATCAATCCCGAAATATATGCTTAAAAAACATAAAATACAAACTCAAACTAAAATATTAGAACAAATATTTTGTTAAAGCATTCCAATTCCAACAACGTTAGCACTGTTTGTTAGATGTTTTGGATTGATCCAATCAATTGGCAGTCAAATTATGAATATAATTTTAAATAAAGATAGTATCCTTGGAAGCAAATAACTTGTAACACAATGTGTCATATTTTGATAACTAACTTACAAATTATACAGGCGAACCCTAACATAAAATTGCGCATAAATAGGAATAATAAGCTATTAACACCACTGTAGTCAATTCACACAGCGAAAATATATTTTAAAAATATAATGTTTTATAATAAAAGTTAAAATTGTTCTTAACATTATAATACTTTGACAGGGAATCAAATATTAAATGATAGAACAAATGTTTCAATAACAATTCCTAAATATTTAAATTGTTAATATTAAGGTAATGTCATATTATTAAAACATCCTAGTTATTATTTTTTAATTTATTACCAATTTATGTTCTTTAAATATTTGTACAGTATAAAGAAATATTGTTACGATTATTATTAAACATTTTCGCTGTGTGAGAAGAAACCCGTCAAGCAACTAACATGGTTGTTTTTATTTTATTATTTGCATTTATGACAGCAAACTGTCGTAATTTGTGATTGACTGCATATGCGAATGGTTGTCAGTCTTACTTCTTTCTTTAAAGCTGTTTTTTTTTATCAAAACTATGATTGATTTTTTTCATGCTTTTTTTTCTATTTGCGGTGATTGGCAAGAATTCTTTAGAAGACGCGACGTGTGCACTAACGTTTGACAACTTGTAGACAGATGTATTTAATTGTTTCCGATAGAAAAAAACACTAATAAAAAATTTTTTTAAAATTAATTTTCTGTAAAATGACTATATAGAATTTTGACTAATATATTTAGACTACACGAAAAAGACGCAAACGTAATAAGTTAAATAGTCTCACATAAGTTTTAAAAAATCTGATTAACTCATAACAATCGATGGAAACTGTTGTCAATTACTTAAAATAAAGATTTTATAATCTATATATTGATTTTATAGTGTTTTTTCAGTATTTAACGATTTCTCAGAACTTTTTTAATATAATTTTCAGTCCTGGCTTTTCTTGTTTATATTATAATTATGTAAACAGTAAATTGTTACGTTATGAAAACTAATGGCAATTTGTTTGTATTATAATTTATAACACTACGTCAAGTTTGCGTGATTAACCTAATGAAAAATGAATAACTTGTATAAAAGAAGAATGGAAATTTGTTATTCATTGAGTCTTTAATATTTGTGATATTATGCCTTGACGTCATGTTTATAAAGGCTCTGTTAGCTTGGAAGGCATCCGGGAACGGCTGGGTCAACTTTACCTTATCAGACCATCATACAAATTGTTAGAACTGTGCGATCCGAAAAGTCTGCTGTAAATACATTTTGAAAATCTTTTACTGTTTTGGTAAGCAAAAGAAAACCCCAAATACTCTCAATAATATTTCACCAGAGTTAAATTCCATTTCACTTACTTTTTGTTCAAAACGCTCTGCAATGCACATTTATTTTAGGCAAAGGTTATACGTATACCTCAGGGTCGTGGCAGGATTAAGAGGGTGTATAGCTAATACCTTAATTTAGCTTTTTCACGGTTTTACCATGTTAAACTTGGCACATGTCCTCTAAAAGTTATAGGTACAAACACATGTAGACGTATTACATACATGACATTATGTACACTATACTGCGTATACCCATTATAATACATCTTGGGCTTGCGGGCAGTATTTTACATAATATGCTGCTGATGTAGAAGTCAATGACATTGATTACTATTGTATTATTTTATTAATGTCTTTTTTTAGTTCATATATCAAAAGTATTTTTTTGTCTCACTAGTTTTATATTATTTATCTGTGTTTTAATTATTAATAGTATTACCCTTTTTTTTATCACTTGCTTATGGTCTAAATTATATAGTTAACATTCAACATTGAAGTTATATCAGCTGTACTTATTAAAAACTAACTACCCATTATTATAAAAATCGTCGGAGATCTTATCTTATGATAGCTTATTTTTTTCTGTATCCGGTGATACCAAAACCTCAAAATCGTAAAATTGGCATATAGGATTTTTTTTCCCGGTAACGACGATATGTCATTTATATATATAAGATTATCCGCAAAATTAGATGTAAAATTTATCTAAATACATAAATCTAACGGCTATCGACTATTACACGCACACATGCATAATCTCACATGTACATGATTATACATCACATCTCGAAGCGAATACACGCGGTTGTTACACTCATACGTTATTCATAAGTGTAACCCACCTTTGGGCTTTGGAAATTCACCTGGCCAATCTGATTTAAAATGCATTACGTTAGATATTGGATTCGTTGTCGTTCGAGCTCTTCAGCGTGTCCTCGTTGGCGGCGAAAGGGATGTCCTATATTTTCTATGGTCGTCTGGTAATGATTGAAAAACGCTGCCTTAGGCTTTTTCATATTCTCCCCTTACATACATAACGGAGTAAAAACAAATATCCACATTTAACGATAGAATGATTATTTTGTGTTTTCACGGCGCGGTGTACATTATGTGGGAAAAGTACTTAAATAACGGGGAACCTAAAAATATATTATATTAAATGCTAATGTAAAATTAATATTTTTATCTACGTGCATTTTCGGTTAAAAAATACACAAAAGCACTAAAAGAAACCATTTATTTTATTTCCAATACGGAAGAGTGGGACTTTTAAAGTCAAGCTCCAAAGAGCATTAAATGCTGCAAATACGGGATGGAAAAAGAGTAAAAAAAAAAATTGCTAAAAGCTATACTGAGCGAGAAAATTGATATTATTTGAAGTTATGTAGGTTTTCTAATCCAGGTTTGACATTTTGATAATTTTTTCAGCAAATATTTGAAATTTATATACACGTCTACAAAATGTATCAAAATTCATTATCATTTGTGTAATATCCAATCATATTCTTTAAGGTGTAGGTATTATAGAAAGCAATTACTGCGAGTAAAGAGTAAATACAGTAATGTTGTGTTTATTTAAAAAGAGAGAATTCAGCTATAATGTGAATAACGATGCAAAAACATTTGTTTTATGGTTATCCACAGGCATTTCTCTAATGCCCTTTATGTATTCCGCACGTCATATTGTTAAGTATATTATATTTAGAAAAAAACGTTCCTATAATTACGTCAAACTGATGTCTTTGCAGCAACAGTCAAAATATACGACGTACATTCTCTCGGGGCAGAGATATTTTATAGAACCGTAAAAAAATTTTGGTGTTTAAAAAATGGGAAATTATGTGGCTATGTCGCATCTTCTGTTTTATAAATTCGGAAGTGTGGTACGTTTTTTGTCGTTAAAACACGGAAGAATATAAAAAACGCTAACACGTAAAAGCGGAGTGGTCAGAAGAAAAAAAAAGTACAACGTGTGTGGAATACAAGTTTTGTGGCGGTTAAAATGGTTGCTGAATTTTAAAGTAGCATTTTAGTCCAAAAACTTAGTGTTTGAAAGTTGCGATAAAAATTAGACAGAAAACCGCCGATGTTGACCAATATAATCTTTCGGTATCCCAACTCGTACACAGTCAAAAGGTCAAAAGGGCACAGCTGTGTTTTTTTATCTTAGCTGTTTATGGACCAAAAACCTTTATTGTTTACACGCTCATGTTTTAATAATTATGTAGATAGATGATTTTTGCTCAGCCAACCGTAACCGTTGTGGTTTCCTGCGTTTAAAGACTAGATACGTGACGCTCCGCTCAAGTTAAGGTTATTATTATTTGCCAGCTACAAATATGATGTATAGTGTTTGTCGTTCGTTTAGCATTTTTCTGTAAGTGTTCTGATCGGCCAAATGCTTAATACAACTCTCCGCCGACATATCGTTGTTGATAAAATTTCCTTCAGTCTCTAAGTCTGAAAACTATATTCAAAACACATAAAAAAATAAACGAAATTAAGCACAATGTGGAGTGAAGTGTTTGCGGTAGAAAAACGGTATTTAACTTTAATTACCCACAAAGTGACCATCGACGCGTATGACCTAAATTAACCTGAACAAAACCGTAAAATCTCTAAAATAATGTCAAATATGGTTGCTTAATTTCGCAGGTGGCCTAAATCAGAGTTGGGAGAAAATAGTTTACTTGAATAAACCACTAATACTGTTATTCGAATGATTTTATTTGTAATTTATACGAATTAATTTTTATTTAGACTTTTTTTTTATTCAATTACATTTTTTCGTATAATATAATTTTTTCTTGTACAATTTTATTAAAACAATGTTATTTAAAATTTATCGAAAAAACGTATATAAAACGATGTAAATCACAAATTTATTTTAAAGGTTCCATAGGCATATAAAAAATGTTATTTCAATTAATACGTTGTTCGTTTTTTTTTATGACTATTGGTTAATTAAATTTCTGTCAACTCTGGCCTAAACCATCCACCTCTAATTTCATCACTGGACGTGACACTATATAAATCTCATAAGGCCTAAATGGAAAAACATTGGTTTAAAAAAAAATTATTATCTATATATATCTAGTATAGACAACGCATTTTTTGGAGTGAGGTAGCCTTTCTTTAAAAATACATGTAATACAAAACTGTCTATTTCAATAAATTAGGATTTATAAAAATGTATGGATTAAGTGGTTTTTATTATATGCGTCTCATAAGACAACTCTCAATCATCAGTAAATGAGAAGCTTTAAGGTAATGGAGATTAGATCGGATAGTAAAAACAGATTCTCTTGAACTCTGGATGAAATGCAATCGTTAATGTTAACCAAGGTTCAAACTAAAACCTATTTTATTTCAAAAGCGATTAATAGGACTATTAAAATGACCCTCCGATACCTACATAAAAGCGATAATTAATACTGCTATAATATACAACCGACGGATATATCAAATATGATAAATTATTGTGCACACTGATGTCGCTTCATTATACCTATACAATATAATTATAATATGTACCGTTGTGAATAAACAATAATTGTCAAAACATTCTATGGTGTATCGTTTGGTTTATTAAATTAGTCGCTTACACCGTATCTACCTACTGACGTTAGACATTATTATTTTCGAAAAAGTTATTAACCGTATTATATACAAAACATTTTACTCGGCAGAAGGAACACAAAGCAACTTGTATTTCGATCTTCTTGTAACTGGTATACAAACGCCATTAATCGTATCGGGTTGTTGAAAGTATAGTGACAATAATACATAAATAACAAAACGTCTATTAAGAATTCACTATGATTTTAATAAAATCATTTTTGTAACACATAAACTTTACAAAAACCAATATATAATTTTTATTTTTCGTATTTAAGTTTATGTTGAACGATAAAAGCAACAAACAATTTTTTATGTTTTGAAAAAGATTTTTCATGCGTGTTTTTAACAGCAATTGTAAAAAACTTTGATTTTTAAGTTATATCACAACACTGTTTTGACTCTCGGATATGTTTTCCGGTGTAATCCTCAGTTAAACTTTATGTAAGCATTTTTCTTTTCTTTAAAAACTTTTTTAATATTATACATACAAACATTTTGTTTAAAATATGTAGTGAACCGTATCATTAAAAAAAGTGTCCTTCAACAAACATAAGTAATAAGTATCATACTATAACTTACTTCTTTTTTTTATTATATGTATGATATAAATGTGTAATAATCTTGTTTTATAAATTTTAAATTATTGTTTTAATCATAGTAAAATCATATAGTCCATTACAATAGCAAATAATAATACTAATGTGTGTCAAATTTGAATAGATTTTTCGTATCACCTATTTTATCCTTTTTAATCCAGTGTTTTTGTACATATTGACTTGTATGCTGTCAGTTCTCGTTAATTGATATTGTGTAGGTAGCCTTCAAACCATTTATAAACCGCCCATGTATAATTATAGTTTTAATCAGTTTTAATTTATAATTGTATTATTCGATGTTCCTTTATGATTTATATAATAAAGTGATTTACATTCAATGTGCAAAAAGTTAAATATCTACTACTGGTTTTAAATAACACATTTGTCGAATTTTTCATTTCATAATACTTGTTTATACCCAATTGATTTTTTTTTTTGTTACAAAATATGCAAATTTCCACATTTAAGACAATTTGATATTTTGGCGGCATAGTTGAGCCAAATGTAACTAAATAATTATTCAAAGGTAAAAACTAAAACAAACAAATAACGTATTAAATTGAAATGAAAAGGTAGAATTTTATTCAATAAATAACAAATGGTTCTATTCAAATAACATTTTAAACAACTATCAACAAAATTACTCGAATAAGAATGTATTCGAATAACATTATTGGTGGTGTATTCAATTAATATTTAAACAATTATTTTGTTTTCAATCAAATAATGCCCATCTCTGGTTCGCTGCAGTTTTACTACAAAATAATATCTAATTTCAATTATTATAAACTTGACTAATAAACAAAGAGCACACATTTATTTTCTCGGTTTTAAGTACTATTCGTTCCTTACAATTTTTAACGAGTATAATAGTAGTATGTTTGCTTTCTGTTTTATAATGAATAATATACCTTTACTGAAGCGTTTTTTTATGAATCCCATGGGTAGACCTTAAAATAACCATTTTAGAAGATGAGCTTTCGCGGCTACGATTTGTATTATTTATTTAAAAAAAAAATGTTTTATATCATTATTGTTAATATTTTAATATTTTTTAAATTAATTCGTTAATGCTGCTCGCTATTGCGATTGGTAAATTTTAAATAAAACGCCCGACTCTTTAAAATTACATTAAAAAATAATAATAATATAATGTTGTATTTTATGGAATACCCAACAATAACTAGCCAGTTTTATAAAGAAAGAAACAAAGTTGAGTATTGATATTGAAGCCTTGAGAGATTTCCCGTAAATTTAATTGGGAAACCTGCTCTGACCTATTTAACATAATGGCAAAATGAAACGTTATGTAAGGCATAGAATTTAATAATATTTTTTTAATAATTTGGTATAAAATATATTCATTTCTCATAACTGAGCATAAATTGTATGACAATTTTTTAAAAATGTATCGGTTTTATGTATGAATAGGATATAATTCTTGTTTATGAAAAATGTAATTGTTTTCTAATTTTAGGCAGAAATGTGTTATTAAACTAACTTATAGCTACTAAAATTTTTTTAAAAACAATCTACTATTTTATGTTGCAGGTAAACGGTGTGGTTTTACACGGTAGATGTCATCTGAACGCCTCTGCTATCATCAAGGGTATACCAGGTCCAATTTACAAAATAGTCGTTTTAAGGTGAGGAATGAGGATTGAATAAGAGGAAAATAAAATCGCCCACGTATGAAAGCAAAAGCTGACTTAGGGTGGTCGTCGATTTCGTAGTAATAGTAATGAACTAAAAAACTGATAACCTATAGCAACAAGAACATATTTTTGGTCTGCAGTTTATAAAAATATCGCATTCGAAATTAAAAAATAGTTGATAAATACTTATTTAAATATAATATATCTGTAAACTATAAATATATAAGCTTCATTATGCATCTTGCACATACTCACATCTAATTGTATAAGTACAACTAAAATTACCCAATGTGTTGTGTTCTATTTATCATATTTTTTAGGTTTCATAGAATTTTGGCCAAACATAAATTATTATAGACAGGCACTTTTAAACCCGAACTAGAGGTGCCGTTATGGAGTATGATTTAAATTAGAATGCCACTTTCCTGATGTTTATTAACCGTTTACGAGCGTTATAATATTGTATCTAATGGACGGTGATCTATTCCAGGAAACCCGCAGCTCTGGACGAGCTCGCCGTTCGACCAATTACTCAATTTCCCGTTACGCTTGACGATGAGGTATGCGACAATAATTATTAGTTGTAGTCGGTTAAGTCCAATTTTAACAGAAAAACGATTATAACAGTTCAAGTTAATTTAATTTATAATAAAGGCTATAAAAAAAAAAAAAAAGTTAACAGTTAATAAAAATAGGACTTAACAGATTAAGTCCGGCCACTAAAAAAAAAAAAATTACTTATATGTGCAAAAAAAAAAACTTAATAACGATATTGTTTTTGGTAGACACCCGAAGAGAAATACGCAAACTACAAAGGTCTACGAATCGTCACCATGAAAAAGGTGAATATATTTACAATATTTTTTAAACTGCATTTATATATATGTGTGTGTGTAATAACCTTGTACAAACATATATATACACATATGTATACAGTAATATCCTGTATAAACATTATATTATTATCCATTTATACACCTAATACCTTCGTTATATTTTTTTTGTACATTTAACACCTCGATCATTTTTCCAAGTGTATATCATGTTTAAATGATTATAAGTATTTCTATATTTACTATTGGACTATTACATATTGTTTTATTCCCTTGTCGTTTTTCTCCTATTATGTGAATACGAGCTCCTCTATAATATATATAATATATACACTTTCGCAGCAGTATTTAACGACGATCGTTACTTGATTATATTATAATATGTAGCACAGTATTTGTAATTGATATGTTTCCTATAGCCCTGTATCAGTATTGCATACGAAGGCCAACTCACAAACTCACCCACACAACAGGTAAAAGAACACAAGCACTACATCACTGGATAGTTGATTTTGTTTTTTTTTTTTTTAATTTCTTTTTCGATTTTGTTTTGTACACATTATTTTTTGGCAAAAGTACCGACGTGCGTTCAATTTACTATATAGAACCTATTTAAAGGAGGGCAATCCCAACAAAGATAATTATAGTTCGTGGGTAGACGGGAAAAGTGAATTAAGTCATTAAAATCAAATTGTTTAGTACAACAAATACACATTTTAAATAAATGCGCAAGATTGGAGATATCCGCAAGGCTGGACATTAACTAGTTAATAAATTAAGGTTTACCTTTTTAACTTCACTGTGTGCTTTGTTTTTATGTTAACTTAATTATATAGAGTTAATTTAAAGTTAATTAAATAATTGTTTGTCAATTACATACTAATACTATTTTAAATGAAAAAGAAAGTTTTCATAAATCATTAAAATGTATTTAATACATAGTTATAAATTTATAAAAATATTTTAGCGGTATGCTAGTCTTAAAAATACTCTAACAATTTATGACAATATTCATATAAAACTAAAAAAATTAACTTCAGTTACCTACGTTAATGTTTATATTGTAAAATAACTAATTGGTGTATTACAATTTTATCTTGTTAACTTTTAACTGTTAACTCGGTTTATACCATTCCGTTAACTTCCCAAATAGCGATATAATTTCAGTATTTTTAAAATATTGCCAAACGTGTTTTCGATAATTTTTAAAAAACGGTATACATTGTAATAATTGTACGACGTACTAATATTATACTGATGTTTTAGCTCAAAATTTATTGTTTCAAAATATATATATTTTTTTTAATTGTTGCTTGAATATGAGTTAAATATTGCAAATACTTTCAATACGGTTACAAAATTTGGGAAAAAATTAAATATTAAATTTTGTTTCGGAACATCATTATAACACATTTAAAAATAATGAAAATATTACATTTTTGGCTGTTTGAGAAGTTTATGTTGGGGTTAATTTAACAAGTTTAAAAAAAAAATCATCGTTTTGCCAAGCCTTGGAGATAGTATGGTCAAATTGTTCATGAATTTTAAGTAAACCACACTGAATTCTTTTTGGTACGCATTTACTGTAGTGCCTTTAGGTCACGACTTGTTTTCAATTTTTAATCACTCAAAATCCCAACAAGTTAACCTAAAACGCACATTGGAATTTCGATTTCTTAAATTAAGTAAGATTTAAACTTGCAGCAGAATCGATATAAGTTTTCCCTTCACTTTTCGCTATATATTATTTATTTTTCTCAAATTTTGACTTAACCCCTTTTCCATTCGTGCCCACGATCTGTTTACCGTTATTTCTCGCAAGAACAGTTGTTTTGAGATAGCAAACTACTTGACAACTCCAGAGTACACCTGCTAACAAAAAGTATTCGCACTTCAGTACCCTTGTGGATACAGCCTACTTTAGCCGGTACCCAGGTGTCTATAAGCGCTAATTATACCGACTTAGAAGACGTATGGTCGTTTTTTTTTTTGTTTGTCTCGTTTGCATGCGTTTCTCAAGATGTTTAATACGTATGTTATCGCTGATGGTTGTTTTAGTATTAGTTTTGTTTTGTTTGTATACGTCTCCGCCGGATTTTATCAAAAACGTTTGACACTGCTTCTTTTGTGTTTTCAGAGTCCTCACGGTTTGGGAATCATGATTCTGGAGGGCAAACACGCTGAACTCGGCACGGGCATATTCATATCCGACATACAGGAGGGCAGTCCAGCCGAACAGGTGAATATGGCAGAGCTTTTCGCATGAAAAAAACAAAATTCGTGCCATGTTTCTGAATTTACTTAAAAAAAAAAAAGTATCCCACGTCGTTACAGTTGTGTAAATATTTACACCAGCTGTGGCTAAAAAAAAAAACAATTTCCCCGTTAATCTAGTCATCGAAAATGTTTCCACGTTTTATTCTATATGTTTTGTATCGTTAAACCGGCTAAAATGTCTTTATTTCCGTTGCAGGCTGGTCTCACGGTCGGCGATCTGATATTGTCCGTCAACAAGGACTCGCTCTTGGGCAGTACATACGACTCGGTAAGTACAATGGGCTGATAATGATTTTCTTCTTCTTGATATTGTTGACTTTATTCCGGTTTATAATAATCGCGGTGTGCGTTTGCAGGCGTCGAGTTTGTTGAAGAAAACCGAAGGAGTAGTGACGTTGGTCGTTTGCAACCCGAATCGAGGCAAAGACGACGGGTCCGGTGGACTCAATACCGAACACAAGACCTCCGTCAGACCCAAACAACCTGAAAAACCGAGTAAGTCGAATCGGGCACCAAATTAAAATTTTTAAACAAATAAATAAATAAAACACAACACTGCATTAACGTGGGGTTGCACGATATTGTATTATTTATTAGCTCGACAATGGACCGATAAATTGTTTAACGGGATTATTTATTTCACTATCGAAACTAATTCTACTAAAATATTATTCAAATGAATTCCTAAAAAATAATTTTAATACAAATTTATTAGATTAATTGTGTTGTTAGTTTATACATTTGAATTAGAAAATAAGATTTGTGATTTATTCGAATTAACTGTTATTTTAAAATGATCGAATACAATTATTTTACGTTTTTAACCCTTTACTGCATGATTTTTTTTTTAACCATATGTTATAAATGTACTTAATATTACTTAAAAAAATTAAAATAATTTTTTTTTGAGTTTTGGTTTCATGGAAAACGTTAATTAAAGAATTTGGAACATTGTGCATACAAAGATGTATAGCATGAGCAGATATAAACAATAAATACAATTGTTCCATGTATGGAACATTATGCAGTGAAGGGTTAATTTATAGGTTATTCAATTGGTTTTAAGTTTTATTCGTTACTTTCTTATTTAATTTGTTCGAACTCCGCAAATAAGTCTGATTCTGGATCATTCAACTTTGAGAAACTATAAGCATGTTTATCCGTGACTTTAGTGCATCGCGGGTGTAATTTGTTATCATTAATATTATTATTATTAAACGCATGTTTTTCTCTTTTACTGTCGTTAAACTCTGCATGGATTTATTTGTTTCGTGAGTAACATTAGTCGACCTTTTTTTTTTTTTTTATTGTCATTACACGTTGCGTTAACCCGACACAATTTCGATTGCAGAATCTGTGTCGCCAATCTATTTGGACCATTCAGTCGAACCTCCGGCAGATCCCGCTACCGCTCCGATAAAGCCGGGCGTAGAGTCTACCATTGAAGTCAACAAGGATAAGGTCGGCTTGGGCCTAAGCATAGTGGGCGGATCTGACACGTTGCTGGTACGAGCGGGCTTGCGATTGGCATTTTTTTTTGGGGAACTTTTTTATATTATCGTTGTAACTTCTACACACTAGGGCGTGGTCATCATTCACGAAGTGTACCCGGACGGTGCGGCGGCCAAAGACGGTCGTCTAAGGCCGGGAGATCAGCTCGTGGAAGTCAACGGGGAAGACTTTAGAAACATAACGCACGTCAAAGCGTTGAGTGCATTGCGGCAAACGCCCGCCAAGGTACTTTCATCGTAATGTTTAATTACGTACCTATATAAATAATTTAAATGTGGTTCACAAGGTGTCCATGGTGGTGCTGCGGGACGAATCGTGTGTTACCGCCGAAACCGGCAACGTTCCCGCCAACACGGCCAACATCACCGACAGTTTCGAAGTGGAACTAATGAAAAAACCCGGCAAAGGTCTCGGGCTGAGCATAGTGGGCAAAAAATCCGGACCCGGGATATTCATCTCGGACATTGTAAGTGCTGTACCAAGTCTAGTCCATGTCCACCATATAATATCTACTCCTATACTTCCGCAACAAAATGTTTTTATTTTTTAACACGAACAAGTTTAATGTACCTATTAAAAATGTATATGATTTAAAGCCAGTTTCGTTAAAAAACAAAAATTGAAGGATCACATTATAGCGGAAGTGTTTTTTTGCGAGTATAAAATAATTAAAAGGGATTATTAATACATAACGACGAAACGGATCCAAGTTATACAAGACCAAAGTTGTGAAAGGGCAACTCGCGTAATTAAAACGTCTACGGTCTAGCGTGGGAGGCATTTGGAGACTCAAAACAGATGACAAACTTTGTCGGGGTGATGAAAGCGAATCGAGTACTTAAGTTCGCAAGTGATAGTAAATTTTAATCACGACAGAGACCGACGTTTTCAAAAGTATGTTTCGTTTGAAGTTTGGAAAGGAAATAACTAATTATTTTACTTTAGTGATGACATAATGTCATGATATTTAAAATACAAATAACGAGAAAATAGTAATAAGATATTGCTAAAACTTTAGCCATAAACTTCAACTCTTTATATAAATTTAAGCTCTATAGTTTGAGTAATGTAACCGATATTAATTTTTTGCATTATGTTTTTAAGGTGGCCGGTGGAGCAGCCGGTGTAGACGGTCGTCTGATGAAAGGAGATCAGATTCTGGCGGTCAACGGGCAAGACGTGCGAAACGCATCTCAAGAGGAAGCCGCTGCCGTCTTAAAAACGACTACCGGCAAAGTGACGTTGAAGATGGGTCGTCTGAAAGCCCGTTCGTCGGCGTCCAGCTCAGACAAGTAAGCATAATTGTATTAGGTAACTTAAAAATGCCGTTGCTGTTTAACTATGTATAATCATTAATTATTATGTATTTAATCAATTTGGTCTGTTGTTTCTTTCGCGAGAGTTCTCATCGTGGTACTTACTTTGTTTTTTCATGCTAAACTCCGGGAACTTTTGTAGAAAATGATTTTCCGATTCTGTAAGTAAACAGTACTGTATGCAACCATTTATAACCGAGTGTGTCTGAATGATATTTGTAAAGATTATGTTGCATGACGTAGACTTTTGGCAAACTTAACAATACGTGCATGATACACTACGGTTTTGCTGACATTATTATATTATCTTTAAACAAAATAATCTTTATTATAATAATATTATCGCCTCAGTAGCCACCGCTAGACGTATATGTAGTGGTTTATGTGTTATTTGTGTGTATAATGGATGTATGTAGTTTATAGCAGTATTGGCAAAAAGCCGGGGATTTTTTTTTTGTCAAAAACCTGACGACTCAGTCAAGGTATTTTGGCTTTACTCGTACATAAACCTTAAAAACACATAATATTTTTGGATAAAAAACAAACATTTTCTGGGCATAAATAAAACACACAATGGTTTTTTTGGGGTTTGGGTTCTTTTTTTATTTATATACAGAACCAACGAAGGGAATTGTAGGTCACACGACTTACCTCAAGTTTTATTTCCCAACTCTGTATAAAGTCCGTTGATTTATTTATCCGCCAAGCCAGCTCTAGAGTTAGCCTTTTTTAGGTTATTACTTTTTCTATTTATTATTTTTAATTATATAATAATTTATTTATACATGTTTCATGAAAATAAAATTTATTTACGCTTATGATTTCGCTATATCAGTAATTTATAAAAAACCGATTAATAATTTAGTTAGATAATGTCTAACTAATATTATATTATTATAATTAATTAATTAATATTTCTTTTATAGATAGAGAAAATACTTTACGTTTTGTAATTTTTACACTGTGTTCTGTATGTTGGAATATTCTTTTAAAATGCGTACTAAATGAAGTAAAATCAGTAAACTCTGATAAAACAATGAGAAACGTCTTGTTTAACCTAGAAAAAACTTAAGCAACACTTACGGTTTTATAGTACAAAAAATAATAAAAGATCTTGTTTAATGTTTTTTTCTAAATCTAAGGAAAACCTTAAGAAAACAGTCCTTAATGTTTCAAAAAACGAAAAAACGCCTTGTGTCAACAATTAGGCTAAATACTTTGTAAAGCGGATATGAATGCTTAAAAATGTCATTTTGCTTCCATTTCATAATAGGATATTTTGTTCTAAAAGCGGTTTTCTTATTGACAAAGACGCAGAATGTACACTGCGTATCTACGAGTAACATGTTTGGATGGAAAAATTGTCTTTTTAAATCGCTGAAAGGGCATCAGACAGAATAATAGTTAACCATAAAAAAGTCCTTAATTCTTATTACTACTTACAGTTCAATTTTTAAATTAAGATTTTTACCTACTTTAATTACCTACATATACCCGAGCTCCTTAACGAGTATAGTATAATATATAAAATACGACGAATATTAATAAAACGTCCTCTAATTAAACTGCGTATTTTGTTTCTTCCTCGTGACCTCGGTCCAAAACTATCTAATCCAGTTCCGCTGCCGCCTCCAGTAGTTGCGTTTGGACCCCGAATATGTGTATAGGTAAACATATCTAAAATCTTTTAGTCCGTTTGAGAGCATGAAAACCGTAGAAATATTATGTGTGCGCCGTTTTAAAAGATTGTTGTATTATTTTAATTTTGATTTTTTTTTTTTTTTGTACTCCCAGCGACACGGTGTCGATGGAAGAAACGCGAACCGTGACCATGATCCGCAGGATGGACGGGTTCGGGTTTAGCATAGTCGGCGGTCACGGCCATCTTCCCGTGTACGTCAAGACGGTGTTCGCCGGCGGCGCTGCCGATTCCAGCGGCCTTTGCAGGGGCGACAGAATCCTGGCCGTCAACGGTATCCCGGTGGACGGCATGTGCCACGACGACGTGGTGTCCATGCTCAATGAGGCGGCCGTGTCGGTGACGTTGACGTTGCGGTCGTAGCGTTTGCAAAGGCCGCAGGGATCACCTCGTTTCGTATTGTGTATGATAAGTTAATAGTTTTTTTTTTTTTTTAAACATTTATTCATCAGAAATTAATTCATTACTGTCATATTCGTGTAAATCGTTCATTTTCTCTTTTGTTTGTTACTCGAGAATATGAATAAGTATTATTATTATTTGTTTAAGTGCACCATTGTTGAATAGTCGTTTAGATTCGATTAGATATACGCGGAGAGTGTAATAGTAAGAAACGTCCAGGTTAAGCATTTTGTATTACTCTTCTTGCAAAAATAGACCGCACGAACAAGCTTTTTTTACTCATGATAACTTTTGTGCTTACTATGTAGGTATACTTTTAGATACGTTTATAGAATTTTCAATGTTTAAATGTTATACAATCGACTTACCACCCTATACTCTTCGTGTACCGAGTGCCTGACGAAATCATTTAATCATTGCGATTTCTCTAGAATAAAAAATCCAAGGTAATAAAATATCATTTTTTTACAATTAAATACAAATCTACAGTTCATTTGACGTTTATTTACATGATATTGTCGTTTAATAATAATCGAAATTATGGATATTTTTAAGTGATAGTATAAAAAAAATGTCAGAAATATCTTTTTCGAACAATTATATAGATTTCTGTACTTTAGAGAAATTGCGCAATGATTACAATAATCTAACTGAGCACCCGGTTTATATATTTATGTATGTATATATGTACGTAAGTCCTATTTACTTGCACAACACGAGGCATAACTCTTATATTATACTACTATGAAACGTGATGTAAATTGTTAAATTTTGTACGAAAATTGTTAAAACTTCGTTTAGTATTATTATATTTAAAATATATTTATCTTTTGTGATAATAGAATTAAGACTGAAGATATAAAAACACAAAAATCGTTTTACCATCCAAAACGTAATTTTTATTTATTTTTTTGGTCTCAATACCTAATTAAGGTGTACCTTCTAACAGGGTCACGTTTCTTGCAAGTCTCTTTCGAGAATTATTATAAATATTATTATTAACAGGCACTAGATAACGTAAACTCAAAACTGCTGTGCCAATATTATTATACTATTTTAAATTTGTTGTTAAATTAGTATTGAAATACGTTTGCATGTTCATTTTGTTGCAGCCGAACGGCTTTAATAATAATTGTTATACATACACTTTTAGGCGACAACAATTTATTTTTTCTCTTCAAAAAATGTATATTTAATAATATTTTTAGTTTTTCTTAAAAATCGTATTAATGTTGTATTCTTAACATTTTTTTCCGTCAGAATAAATACAAATTATTTAACATTTGAATTATTGGCGTAATTATTCGGTTATAAATTGAGACGTCGACATAGTGCCACAATGTTTGGGAATTACTAAATTCCTTAACTACTGTTGCCAAAAATGTATACTCTGCACACGAACGGTCTAACCCGTTAACTCTAAAATGAAAGTTAACCCACATGAGTGTCTAAAGGTGTTACGAGATTTTTTTTCTTTTTTGGGTTGAACAATAGGACGTTGTAGTCAAATTATTTTATTTTATTTAACGTTCTTGCGTTTCATATCACCTTAGAAACCACCACTTCAATGGAAATAAGAATAAATAGTTAACATAATATATTATTATAGATCTAATTTAGGTAAGCGTTAAATAGTTACGAAAAATACATAAAACAATAATTACTTAAAAAAAAACAAAATTCGATTTGGATGTCTAATGAAAATGCCAATCAGAACAAACCAAGTACTGCCAACGTGGCGAAACAAGAGATTAAAATCAAATCAAAGGAGAGCGGTAAAACAAAAGAGAAAAAGCTGACGGTGTTGGAAAGCCACGGGTACACGGTAGGACGGAGCATCGGCAGCGGATCGTACGCTACAGTAAAGGTAACCAGGCTAGCCAATCGACATCTAAAACCTCGAATCTATCCACTAGGTCAATATATGTATAGTAAAACCACCGACCATATGTGTAAAAGATGAAATATCGATACTCGAACCACCACCATTTCACAATTTTTTCTGCTAACATCTATACAATATTATTGTATCATCGAACGATCCAGAAAATAAAGAACCACTCTTAGTGCTAATAACACTGTAAATAAAAATTTGTTTTTTTTTGGAACAGATTCGTTTTTTTGATGAATCCGTATCTGCTGTCAGAATTTCTCTAGCACGTTTAGTTATAGTTATAAAACCCCTTTTTTGTGATTTTCAGCGTTTTTTGCAAAAGTACGTTTGAATACATTTTTTTTAAATATTCAATTTTGTTTTGGTGAAGGAAGGTGCTATATAAATTACTTTATTTTCAACAACATCGGAATAAAACAAGATTGTGAATTCATAAAAACGTTATAATTAATAATTGATAAAAAAAAACTCGTTGAGTATTATCGATGGAATGGTAAAAGTAAAAACTACTATTTTTCTCTTACGATGGAATCGATAATTAAGTGTACAAAATGTCTAATGCAGTTATTACTATTTCTCTGCATTTATCAAGGTTGTGTTAAATCTGTTCTTTTTCAACTTTTGATATCAATTTCACTAGGTGGCTTTTTATAATTGACCCTTTCATCAATGTAATACGTTTTGGTAAGCTTAATCTAATCTGTAAATCGGACCACACTATCGTTTTTAATGTCAGTTTTACTCATATTACGTATTCACCAGTTTTTTAAAATGGACAAATCCTGTAGCAAATTGATTGAATTTTGATGAAATCATTTTGATTTTCACCTAACCTAATCTAACTGGCAAGAGAACTGTGATATGCTTCCACACACTCCTAGTTAACCTTAAAATATTAAAGACTTTCTTTTTATGCTGACTGAGGTAAATAAAATTGAACTCAACAACTTTTTTGGGTTCAGTTACTATAAGATAACTATTAAAATTGGTTAAATCAAACGCAAGTAAAATCATTTTTAAAGTTTCGTTTCATCAAATTATTTTTTTTTTTTAAGTTTTTAATTTAACAAAGTAGAGTTAAAACGTTTGTTAATTCATTTTCAAATTCTCGTTAACATCGGTTTCGAGAAAACGCCATACAATTAGCAAACTACAAAGTACAATAACTTAGTAATTTTCTTAGCTACAAAGATGACCCGGCGGTCTGAAATTGTTCAAAAATCAACCAAGGTTCAGAAAATAGCCCTAACTCAATTTTGGGAAATGCCGAAAAGAAGTCTCTTTTACGCATTACAAATGTTGATACTTACAGTAACAAATATCAAGGCTATCTTTCATTTGTATAGAAAAATAAAAACATCAATGCCCACTTCTAGTCCCATATAAGATGGAACTTTTTTTCTCGAGTAATCACGCACCTGTAACTCGATCTCAGACCCAAGACGTTTGTACATACACTTCTTACTGTAATACAATCCGTTTCCTCGTCATTGTTCCAAGATTGCCCATTCGGAACGACACAATGGTGACGTGGCCATCAAAATCGTATCGAAAGTGCAAGAAGCCGCCGACTACCTGGAGAAGTTTTTGCCGCGCGAAATCCAAGTGGTCAAAGGACTCAAACACGAGAACTTGATTAGATATTATCAAGCCATCGAAACCACACACCGGTAAGTGATTTCCGACGACCGGAGTGGAGCAACGACGGTGTACCACACCGTTGTTAATCAGGACTCTTTTACAGGGTGTACATCGTCATGGAGTTGGCACCTAACGGCAGCTTGCTGGACATCATCAAGAGGGATGGGCGAATAGACGAAGACCGTACGCAGAAATGGTTGATGGAGCTCGTCGGCGCCGTTGGATACTGTCACGAGAACGGAGTTGTGCATAGGTAACAACAATAACCGTTATGAACAGTATTGTAGAAAGGAGTCTTTGTGTGGGGAGAGAGCCCATTTAAGTAACCAAATAATTGCGAATAAAAAAAAAAGATTTCAGTTCTACATAATATATGTAATTGTTAAGTTGTTCCACACTTCCACGTTAAACACATCTGATTTGTCAATATTTTCAAACGTGTCTTCAGACTCTAGTCCCTTCGCGGGTCCCCTAGGTATTGTTTTCAAATAAATAAAAACTTTACACACAAACAAGTGACCTTAAAGGTGATTTTACACGCTCAATTTTTATTCGCGCTATTGGCTTGTACAAATCTGATTTGCGTAAATATTTGATTGTGTAGACGAAGACTTCAACAAAAATTGGTAATTGAACAAAATCTGCACGCAGCTTTGGTGGTTTGTAACTGATATTTAAACGCGTGAACAAAAATTTGATACTCCAACTTGCACGAGTATTTGAGACAAAAAAACTCGGTTGATCTGTTATCAATGGTTACATATAAAATAATACAAAATATGTGTATACTTAGATATTTTTTTGCATAGTTTGTGATACTAACAACTGAAAGTTTTGACGAACAAATTTAATGTGTACCTACATAAAATTGTACGTCAATCGTCACTCGAGTAAGATAATTGTACAACAAAGTCAGCGTGAAAACTCAAATTTGAAAACTATTTTTAAGCTATAGCAAGTTCATTTTGCCTTTGTACACATTTAATCAACGACCTTGTGTACATTTGCAGGGACATCAAATGCGAAAACTTGCTGATGGACGACGGTTACAACATGAAACTGTCGGATTTCGGTTTTGCCCGAGCCGACATGCTCAACAAAAACGGTCAGATGGCCATGAGCAACACGTTCTGCGGAAGCTACGCATACGCCTCGCCGGAAATACTTAAGGGCACGCCTTACCAGCCGGATGCGTCCGACGTCTGGTCCGTTGGGGTAGTCCTGTACGCTATGGTGTTCGGCACGTTGCCGTTCGACGACACCAACTACCAAAAGCTATTGAAAGTGTGTATGTGCTTTGACCGAGTTCGTTTGACGTTTCCAAACCTAACTTATCTGCGCGCGCGTGTGTGTGTGTGAGCGCAGGAAGTGCAAAACAAAGTGTCGTTCCCGGAAGACGTGACTGCGTCTGAGGAAGTCAAACAGCTGATTGTCAGGATATTGGCACCGCTCAAGGTGCGCTATAAGATATCGCAAATAAAAAAAGACCCGTGGTGTCAGACATCCGAAGTCAAAGTGCATAGGAAAAAGAAAACCGCTGAGCCAAAGGTACGGTGACAGGTAATTTAGGTAACCTGTATTAGTCATTCGCCAGGCAATTGCCGTGGGTAGTTGTAGGGCAAAATTCACAGGAGTAGAAGGGAAACGTTCATTCTGGAACAAAAGGATGATTGATGATTCCTATTGTGTAAGCGAATCATCCTTTTGTGTGAGTCAATCGTCCTATTGTGTAAGCGAATCATCCTTTTGTGTTTCGGGCGAGTGTAACAAAAAATATGGTCACCACCCGTTAACCTACCTCAACCTTTGCCGCCCTATGGATGATTGCCATCCGTACCGTCCTAACCGTCGACGTTATACATATATAGGTAGCATATAAATATAACGTTAACCAAACGCAAAAACAATATTTATTTTCAGGTCTATATTGAATGGGCATAAACGAACGTTTTCTTAAAAAAATTGTATACACGTTTGGGTATTTATATGCTACCTATATATGTATAACGTCCACGGTTCGGTTGGCGTGTGCATGTTAAAATGTGTACAATAATTTTAACGTTTTCAATAAATCCTGGTTACCTGCAATCATCTATAGGGTGGCGAATGTTGAGGTAGGTTAACGGGCGGTGACCATATTTTTTGTTACACTCGCCCGAAACAAAAAAGGGTGATTCGCTGACACAAAAGGATGATTCGCTTACACAATAGGAATCATCAATCATCAATCATCCTTTTGTTCCAGAATGAACGTTTCCCTTCTACTCACAGGTTACCTTTTATCAACCCGATTCTGGCAGCCACATAAGTCATTAATTACACCTGAAACACAATTTTGAAATAAGAACCAAAGCACATAGATTTAGTTGTAAAAAATCGAAGGCCCGACTCGGATTCAGTGGAAAAAAATCCTATGAAGTATTTTGATTTCTGTTTCATATAAAATGCGAAATTTCGTAGTACAACATATTCAAACAAGTACTGACTGTATAAACAAAAGTTAAATATTAATGAGTACTACTTTAAGAGGTAAAATATACGCAGTGTTGGATAACTGTAATTTATTGTTCTACGACAGATTTTTAGTTTGTTAAAGAGTAATTGAATATTAGATTGCACACCATAGGTGTTTTTAAAACTTATTTTTTACGAGTTATAGCTATGTTTTAATAAAAAAATGACATGGTGTGAAAAACAGGTTTTAATATTGAATATTTTTAAGCTGAGGCTCATTCCAAAAGTTCCGGGGACACCATATATGTAACGCTAAACTACTTCTCCCCAAACAAAGCCTAATTACATATCATTCTTTCGTTTAAAATTGTATTCTTGATTTTCTTTTGAATTAATTAACGGATAAAAAATGAGTAAATGTCATATTTGAATCTGAGCGCACGGCAGTACGCCAGGCCAAGTTCTAGCAATGCCAGTGTATCTTTACACGAACCAATTCATCCTCAGTTTTTCTAACCCATAAAAATACATAAAAATATTAAACAAGGCGATTCAAAAAATATTCAAAACTGAAACCATGTCAGCGTTTCTCACAAAACGCTTATTGTATTTAGATGCAAGCTTGAGAATTTATTTTACAATTTCCCTAAAGCTTAATTGGTTCTGCATTAGCCCAATACAATCCAAAATTTGGATAAATATTAAACGTTTGCTATTGAAAACGACCTCTTAGCTTTTAAGGGATTGCTATTACTGATAACTGACTCAAAAAATAACCAACTTGTTTTTAAGTTAAAAATATTGATACAATAAATTATTTTCAGACCGTCAAAAATAATATAATAGTTTTATTTGAATTCTTAAAAATGTTGGTATTTATTAATATTATGTTTGTTTTGTAGATGGATCCAGAAAACGTTACACAACAACTTATCAAGAAAATGTTGATGACTGACAGTGTAGTGAAATAATGTTGAATAAAGAAAACATGTTGCACTATATAAATCTGCAATCAGGTTTTCAAAAATAAAAATTATATTCTTTTAATTTGTATGTTTCTATAATTAACCCTTCAATCCTGGCCTACCTACTTATAGGTGTAGGCAACTTAAATGTAATACTTTAGATGTATTTATGGTCATATCATTAAGTATAATATTGTATAAAAATATTCTTTTACATCTATACCATAGGATCTTAACCGGTGGTCCAGGGACCTCTTGGGGGTCCGTAGATGGTTGTTCGGGAGTTCATGAAAGGGGCTGTAATTTTTTTTAAATAACCCAAAAATAAATTTGCTGTAACTTTATTGAATGTATATTTATTAATTTTGAATACGTGAGCGGCCTTTCATATATCAGTAAAATGTCCTATAATGTTTTTAAGATAACAATAATAATTTCTTGTCCGTATTCTGCCTCTAGAAAGACAACAACGAGACAATAATTATTTGTATATATCAAATTTAGATTACGATTATTATTAATATTAAATGACAATAAAATTGAACGGTTTATTGTTTATTTTTTTTGGGGGAGGGGGGAGGGTCCGTGATTATACTTAATAATCCAAATAATACAACCTATGATCTATACAATACGTAAAACAAATAAGTTTTCATACTTCTAGGAGTAGGTTGGGTGATAACGGAGTCATAAAAAATAAACAACATGACGTAATTTAAATTTTAAGTAAAAAAAATATGTATAATTTGTTAATTGCTACTAGAAAACTTATATCTAGGCTCTAGCTATGACATGGTTATTACCTGACCGACTCGTAGGAGTAACCAATATTTTTACCTTTACCCTCCAACCTACTAATAGAAGTATTAGACTTAAATATGTAAGTAACTTTTTGGAAACTTAATTTTTTGTGACCATAATAACATCATGGTGTTTAACTAACCAAGTAAAAAATGTGTGAATTTTTTAGCAGAAAAAAAAATTCTGGGAAAGAAAGGGTTAATTTAACCTGAATAGTTTACTTATTCAATTAGATAACTAATTTTCTAATTTATTTTTATAAAATAGGGTGTTATACACTTATAAGATCTTTTAAAAAGCTTTTTTAAATTTTTTTAAATGATACCATTAAAATTATTATAAAGTAATTCTTAAACATTATATATGGATTTGAAACCAAAAACGTGGTCTTATGTTATGTGAATAATACAAAAAAATAAGGGAAAATATTAATGAACTAGAAATACGAATGACTAAAGAAATTAATATTTAAAACCCTAACCATAAAATAATACACTTTGCGCATACATATTTCAGCAACAATGTTGTCATCTTCAGTGCAAATGTCAGACTGACGATGAAATTTCTTTAATATATATAATACAAGTATAAGTATATAACCATAAGTTGCTCAAGTTTTTTCTAGGATTAACTGTTCATATGTTTTGACATTTAAATCATTCAATAATAAGTTGATTTTTTTAGTATGATTATTAAAAAGTACAATTTGCAAACATAATTTAAAATTAAAACACAATTTTATAAAAGTCGCTTTTATTAAATATATCATAACAAGGTTACTTGCAATTTATTGTTTATTTTTTTTACTTATCTTCCATTTTTTCTTACTTACATTTTTTTCTTTTTGCTGTAATAAAATACTTATATTATTATATATTATTAAACTATTATTAAAAACAAATTAATATTACCATCGTTTCAGATTTTAGAGCCTTCAACGCTTCTATGTATATTTGTTCATATTCCTCCAAATCGGAAACATTCACTTTCATGTTTTTAACATTATTCTTCCCAGCAGAATTTAGCACTTTATTAAATAATTCTTTCTAAAACAGTTTTCAAATCCTTTATTTTAATAAGAGTTGATTTTTTAAAGGTAAGAAATGTGGGAGAATCCTTAAAATGAGAGATTACAAGTCATTTTTTTCTAGCAAATTTCAGATAATGAGAAATATTTAGCTTTTCATATTTTGAAAAATCTATTAGTAATACAAGAATATAGTTTATATTATTATGTTTTCAGTCGTGAAATGAATATAAGATAAGATGAAATTTACCATGTAAATCCTCAAAATGTTTTCATGCTAACTGATGTGTTCTGTTAATATAGTATCTACATATATATATATATTTTTTTCTAGATTATATCAAAAGTTTTATCAATTTTTAACATATGTTCCTTTTATAAAAAAAATAGGGCTTAAAACCATTTTTCAGGAAAACTGGTCAAAACAAAATATAAAGTCTAAGCGATTATATTTTTAGACTATTTTCAATAATTAAATATATAAGGGTATCATATTAAGATATAAGAGTGGTATTAACTGGTTATAACTAGTTTCAAGCCCTGTTAACAAATATACAATATATAAAAACTAAGGGAAAGAAGAAATATTTGTATATTATAATACATTTTTTAAGAGTTTTTTTTTATTGCAAACTAACATCATAAACAGTTTTTTTTAAAAATCCGAAAATCCTTAATTGTAATCAAGCCCACTTATATTAAAATTATGTAGATTTTGAATGTCCAATGAGCTATTTAAAATCTAGATCCTAATAAATGATTAATAATTAAATATATAAGAATTAATAAATAAAAACTATAAAATCATATTTACATGTTCGGGTGTGACTAATGTGATTGCTTTTCCTTTATGACCTGCTCGTCCAGTTCTACCGATCCTGTGTACATAATTCTTAGGGTACTTTGGTACATTATAAAGTACTACACAAGAAATACGTTCAATATCAATACCTCTTGCAAGTGAATCGGTACAAATTAATCTGTACACAAAGAAAAAAAAAATATAAGACACACTGATAATATTATAATTTACCAACAAGTAAGTTAAATAACAGTTCTCTTACACATCAATTTTTCCTTGAGAAAATTGTTGTATATAATCTGTTTGTACTTTACGGGACACGTCGGCTGATATTTCATTTACTCGTAATGGCTGATTGTCTGTATCGTATTTGCTTATTCCACATAGAAGTCGTGTCAAACGATGCACTTCGATTTTTGACTTCACGAAGCAAATCACTCTTTTAAGCGATTTAGTTCTAATTAAATGGTATAACGTTAATGGTTTGTTTTCTTCTGGGCAAATCACCATGTATTCTTTCAACTCTTTAGGAGTAGTGTATTTTCCAACAAAGTCACCTCGAACAGGTTCTTCGTTGTTTGAATCTAAATTGTGAAGATAAATCATTAAATTTTGAAATTCTTTAAAACATAAATAAAAACAATATAAACCAGTAACACAAATTTTCAAATTTTACAAATATTCCCAACCAAGCTACACTTAAAATTGGGATCTTTTTTTATACTTAGTTGATGGCATAATGAAGAAAATATACTTCCATCAACAACAATAAAAAATGATTACTATATTGTCAAATATTGTTGTTGACACTGCAAAGAACGCTAGAAGAGTAGTAAATAAGCCAAAAAAAACTTGTTACCAGGTGGAACAAAAAAACTGGGTGTATCAAAAGAAAAAGCTCTCAACAAACTTCAAATGACAAAAGATCCTACATATTTTGTAAACATAAACAAACTAAGAGCTCGTACTAGACTGTTAGTTAATAAACAAAAATTTGTATTGTATAAATAATGTAATTTGCAGCCCAATTGCCTTAACTATCGCGGCTTTGTTAAAAAAAAATTAAAAATTCTAAACATTTATTTTCACCTGGTAAAACATCATTTGTTTTTCTCTTGACTATTGAAGTAAAGAGTTTAGGGTCAAAAAGTTTAAGAAACTTTAACTTCTCCGGATCTTGTGTAAGAGTTGCTGAAAACAACAACCGTTGTGCTCTGTGTGGTGATTTTTTTAATGTACTCAATGTACATATGGGAGGACCGCAGTATTCTAAAATGTATACATTTTAATTGAGTTAATTAAATGTAAAAAATATATATTATTTATTTATATGGTAAAGAATGTAGTTCACCTAAACTATCATTGACCAGATGAAGCCAGTCATTTTGTAAAACGTTTGTAAAACTATCAGCTTCGTCCAAAATTAAAAAACGAAGATATTTTAAAGAGAATCCTTCGCTGTAAATTAGATGATCAACTAGTCGTCCAGGTGTTGTAACTACAATATCTACTAGACTTATCCAACCATGTTTAGTGTCTGAAAATGATTTGTGAGTGTTACAAATATTAACACAATTTTTAAACTAAGATGATGAGAAATACATACCGTATGTAATAAGTTTTTCTTTTTCTTTTTCTAATGTTAAATTTTTTGACTCTAGAAGAATTACTTTCAGGTTACAAGTATTTTTTATGAAATAAGAAAATACTTTGTACACTTGTATAGCTAAATTTTTTGTTGGCAAAACAATAAGTGCACGAAGTTGATGCGTAGTTAACATTTTTAATGTCTGCAAACATAATTAAAATGTAATTACAGAAAGAATTTATTTAAATTATGAGTAGAATAGGGTGAGCTTAAAGTAGTCACGATTATACAGTTTACTAATCACAATAAATCTTCAACTAAGCCAATTAAATGTTAATTACCATTCAAATGTTTTATACAATACATATTTTTATTTAAAAATATCACCTGAATTATAGGTAGTACATATGACAATGTTTTCCCGCTGCCTGTTGGTGCCGAAATGCATACATCTCTGCTCCATCTGTTGTTCCAATTTTTTTGTGATTTGATTAACCAAGGTACTAGCTGTGCTTGAACTAAAATTATTTGAAACGGGCAATATATTTTATTAGATTCCAAGTTTTTTTCTAAATAAATATATGTTTGTATTACCAGGAAAGAAATGTGTAAATCCTTTATTGCGTAATTTTTTTACTAAAGCAATATCCAATTCTGGAATACTGTCAAATCCAAATTCCAAGTTCTTTAAATCCACTGATATAACAGTAGGTTTTGCAAGCCATTGCGGCAATACCCGTTTTACCTGTTTAATGTTTTCATTAGTTTCAAGTACTATATAGAATATACACTAAATAAATACCTTTTTATTTTTTTTAAATGCACAATTATCAACCAAAGTGAAGTCTGATGATTGCTGAGAAGCAACGACCGTAGAACTTTCCTCCATAATTATAAATATAACTTAAAAAATTGTCAATTTATACAGTCCTACTTGGAAGTTGTACATACATGAATATTATTAATAAGACAGACTATTATTTTAGTGTAAATTTCAAACAACAATAAGTACCAGATTTAAAGTACTTAGAAAATTAGTACAAATTAGTAATTACAATGCATAGAAACCAGAATAACATCGTACAGTGCACACAGCATACACGTGCATAATAATTTTGTCATTTTTTCAAATTTCAGCGAATGATAAGAAGTGTTATCTGTATTCTGCCTGCACTCACTTGGTTACCAGACACGAACTACGGTTAATGACAATAAAATTGTTATCTACAAACGTTATCTGTAGAGCCCTAGCCCCCGCCTTATAAGTTCCAGTTTAAAATCGTTGAAATATTTTTAAATATTTAACAATATTGTTATAAACATATAAAAAACTACCCAGTTATTTGATGAAAGTGAAAGAACCAGTAACCCCCCCCCCCCAGAGTTTTTTTTTTAATAACTATTTAGTATTTAGAAAAAATAGAACAAAACAATATCTTTATTTCTTTGTAACAATAAATTCTTTTATTTATAGCTCCCAATAAAAAATTCAAGACATAAATCATAGTTTAGGTGTAGCAATGTTTGTCCATCATCCCATTTGAAATTTAGAAAAGCGTTTCTCAAACTCATTTAACTGGCCTGAAATTTAAAAAATATATATTAGAGACTTTTAAACAAGCTTCTTGTATAATATAGTATAATAAATTTTAATTACTATCATCTAAGTTGACTAATTGTTTTTTTATATGGCGGTGTCCAGTGACTGGATCTTCCGTAATAATAGTATTACACGATTGATTTCCATCTTTTTGAATGATAGTTTTTTCGACTTGTCCATTTGGTAATTGTTTAGTGTGAATATCTTGTTGTATCCACCTTCCTTTATATTGTTGAGAGTTACGTACCAAACTAGAACTCTATACATTTATAATTATTATAATTTTTTTATATTTAAATTACAACATATTTGTATTGTTATCTCATCATGAAGCTTAATAGGCGATGAAGGCCTAATGCTGCATCATGAGATGGTTTCTTAATAAATTCGCTATTCAGGACGGGTCGTCAGTCTGTCACAGGAGAGGGAGATGGCGGCTCCTTACCATCGGACAATTGCTCACCCAGCAAACAGAAAGCCCATGACCGAGTGTCGAACCAGTGACAGTGAGTGTTAACACACTACCGCCACACCCACTCGGTCACTCTTTCTCCTCCTATAATATTAACTAACCTGTATATACTTGCTTAGTGTATTACTATTGGTTACACGATTTTCAAGATCTACACCCTCATTTATTGATGAAGTTGAACTGTTAAAACAGAAACAAAAACAGATATTAAATACAGTACATGTTATTTATTAACCTTCAAATTTTACCTAGGTATTAAAAAATATTTTTGAGCAATATGGTTTGACTTGGGTACATCTTGTTTTGATGGTTGGTTTTCATTACTCGTTGGATTAAGTAATTCATCATTCATTAAAATGTTTGGAACTAAAACAGTATGTAATAATTAAAAAATGGTTTCTCTCTTTTAAATTTATTTTTAATAATTTGGTTAAACACAGGTACTATAATATAGTAAGAATAAATAAAACTATAATAATACATAACATGAATATTCAAAAATATTAAAAAACAAAAAAGGTCAACATTAGTTTTGTGCACGAGAAAATAGGAAGTAAGGGGGAAGGTATATAAATGTGGAACATTTAGGCTAAATAGAAATTCTGAGAATAAAACCGAGCATTTTTAGAAACTTTAACAGTGAATAGAGATGTACTTGTAAAAACTCATAATGTTACTATAGGTAATACCAATTTGTTTTTGGAATTAGTTAGTAATATTAACTTAAAAGCGTTCCCAAAAAAATAAAAAAATACACTAAAAATAAATAATTATTAAATTTGATTCAGACACATTAAACAAGATAAGTAGTGGTTCTCCACTCTTATAAGCACGCTCAATATATTTCATCATTGTACAAAGCCTTCACAAGTCTGTTTGACTAAACATATGTTTATATTGAGATGATAAAATTTTACATACAAAAATTAGACTCTTCGCTAGTTACAAAATTGTCTGAAAAGAAATCTTGACCAAATTCAAATTGTAGGTTTTGTAATATTTCATGAATGGTTTGATTAAAAATGTTAATACTCTCATCAATTGTTATGTCATTGTTATGCTCTGAAAAATACAATTTTAATTATTTAAATAGCATTGCTATTTTAATATGGACTAAACAACAAATTTACCCATTGAATTTCCATTAAAATTGTTTGTAGGATGTTGTAATTCATTAATATTTCCAGTCGGTAATTGGAATTCGGATGGTATACCACTGCAGAAATTTAAAATAATAAGTGAAAAATATTTTCAACACATTTTAATATATTGGGTACTCACTTAGAATAATTCTTGTTAAATATATTGTTTATCCACTCTATAAGACCCATTACGCCCAAATATCCTAAATATTTATAGAAAAATGGTAAAACTTTAGTGTTAAATAACGAGTAAACAGAATTCACTATAGTATATTTTTTACTGTTGTGGCGAATTAAAATTTCTTCTTTAGATTAATATAGTGTAATATATTGTAGGCCAAGCTGGACCCCTGTTACCATGTTTATAGATTTATTTAATTTAACAATCGCCTATGTCTGAGATACCTAATTGTCGCCAGAGATATTCAAAATCTAAGTTTCAACTTTCAATTTTCAAAGCTGTAAAATTTTCTAATGAAATTTGAAAACGATGTGATAACAATATCGAATACTCTACTCGTATGTTTAGACCTATAATGAAGACCATCTTTATAAGTCTATGCATGTATTTAATCTATGGTCTATGGTTTAGATTTTAAAATCACAACCAATTAATAAATATGTCAGCAACTTGTGATAACCTAGAAATGGCTGCCAGTTATCTCAGGCAACCATTTTGTAAAAATTGATAACAGAAGTTGCTGAAATACCTATTTATTTTGTCATGATAAAAATTAAAAAGGTCGTGAAATTCAGATAAAATTGAGAACATTAATGTCGTTCAGTTCGTACTTTTTTTTGTAGTTATTACAGAAATAAATCATCAAGATGTCTTATAAATATTTAAAAAAGGTAAATACTCGGAAAATAAATATATTGATGTCGAAAATATTTGCTTTCAGAATTAACTCAATATATTGTTAGCTTCCTATGAAATTTGAGTTCTATTAAATATCATTTCTAATACATTTATTATTGCTGGTATTTATTCTTGTGCTATTTTTATGCAATTTATATTTAAATAATGCACAGTCAGTCAAAAATGTGATGTTTTTAGTGTGATTATTTGCGCTATCTCTATTTAAAAAAATATCCTCTCAGCTTTGATTTAAGCTGAGAGAAGCTTGTGCATTGAGGCACAAGTAAAATTATTAATGAGAATTTAAGATGATGACAGTTATACTGCGTTAGTATTATAGTATGTTTTAATTATGACTATGTCTATAATATTACATTCTTCAAATTTACTCATCTGGTCTATGGCCACTTACAGCTGCTAATCATAGATATCTTATATATAATGTAAAAAGTCCCTGCATAATACACAAGCACACAATATGTTCCGAAAGGTATAACTTTTCAATGTCCAGGGAAGTAGACACAAGCACACATTATTACTAATCATTTAGGTAAATTAAAAATATGTAGTCAATTTTTTTTGTACTTTTTAATTTAACAAGTGTAATTGTAATTTTTATTATAAACGAATAATCTAAAGCAAATTTGATTGATGTTAATATTATCCTCTTCATATATTTTTATGTCATATTTGTACAATAATTAGTTTAGTAAAATAATGAAGAAAAAAAAGTTAGTAATTTGTTTTTATGTTCTTAGACCACAGGACTAACAGGACTGAATGTGGCCAGAAATCCACAATACACTCTTAATGTGCTGTACGGAAAAATTTTGCGAATAATTCGCAAGATGCCAGAAGATGCATCATACAGAAATTACACAGAAAAAATAGTTACTGATCGAGCTAAAATTGTTCAAGAGGTATGCCAATATTCAAAATTAGATGTTAAATGCACTTTTGAGTCAACTGATTAAATTTCAATCAAATGGCTATTTATATTTTAAAAAATTATTTATTTCCAGAGTAAAACCGTAGAAGAAATTGAGAAAAAGATCAACTGTGGACAAGCTGAAGAATTAATAGTTCAGGCAGAAAATGAATTAGTCCTAAGCAGAAAAATGTTGGCTTTTAAACCATGGGAACCAATTATTGCAAGACCAAGTCTAGAACAATGGGTTTGGCCGCCAGCGGGAAAATAAACCCAAGGAAATATATTGTTCATTTTTTGTATATTAGTTTCTGATCTTTATATTGGATATTATAGCTATATATATAATTCAACAAATCGTTAGATTTTTAATGAATAATAAAATACAAGAAATATGTGTATTTATTACATGTAATTATTAATTTTCATTAGCAAGTAACTTATGTGTACTGTACAAATGTTAACAAAAATGTGTATTAAAAAAAGTAATAAAATAAATGAGTGAAATAAAACAACAATAAATGTTAAAAAAAAAAGACTTGTTAGAATATTACTTAAACTAAACTCACTTTTTAACGAATAATTTAAATAATCGTGATAAACAAACTATATATATATTATACTTATATATTATTAATAAAACAGAACTAAGAATAGTGTATTACTTAAAAAATCACTAATCTGAGCATATTATTTGCAGTAGTCAAAACAATGAGATTGCACAACTTTAAAACTATTGGACTTGTTCATGACGGTCTTAATTGAGTAGATGGAACATAAGAAATAACTTCCTCCCAAACAAGTTCTATAAAAACAATTCAAATTTTCATTAAAGAAAGACACAATTAAGTACATTAATGCTAACCTTTCCACTTTTCTACATTTAATTCCATGTCTTCGAAACTTTGATCGTACGGAGGTGAATTTGGTTCGTCTGTTGGATCAGCGTACTGTACTAGATATGGATGTGCTAAAGCTTTTTCTGCAGTCATCCTCTTGTCAGCATCCAATTCCAACATTTCTTCAAGTAGTTTTATGGCTATTTTTAAAAATTAAAATGTGTCAAAAAATCATTTAAAAGTTACAATTTTGTTTATTGGATTAAATACAGATAGTTGATTTCAGAGTAATTTTATTGGATAAAAAAACATTTATTAATTTTAAAAAGTTTAGACGAATAAAAATTCTGAAATTAAAGTCACTTATTGTCATTTTTACCACTTTGATTCCACATTTAAGCTAACTTTAAGTAGACTATTAACTCAGTGTTGGTAAACTACAAAGGTAAAATGTTTAATTTCTTTATTCTCATTATATTTTAAATTGAAATTTAACGTATTTACATACTTATTATTGTTTACACAAAACACGATATAACTTAAAGAAAAACATTAGCATGTTCTTAGAATCAACAAATTTAACGATGAAAGAGTGTCAAAGTTTACACTAGATGAACCAAAAACTTTTATTATTACTTTTTTTTTATATATATATTATTGTTATTGTAAAAGAAACAACTTTTCCTAGCAAAATTTTATTATGCCAATTTAAAAAAAAAATCAATTAAATAAGAAATAATAACTGAAACAAAACAATTTATTTACTGAAATTATATGAAGAGTTAATACGAGTTAATATTTAAGTAATTTGTAATTTAATAATATTTAATGTTTAAATTACATTATATGAATAATATATCATCGACAAAGCAATGATGCTAATAGACCTAAAACTTTGACAAAAAGGTTATTTTCAAAAAAAAAATGTTTTGTTTACATCTGCAAATATGCTATAAACTTATAAAAAAAAATGGATTTTGATTTAACATTAATTGATTAATGAACTTGGCTTTTCATCTAGCAACACCAATTCCTATAAATGTAAAAAGCATCTATACAAAGTTAAGTATTGGTTTTCATAAATTATTTTCTAAAAAAAAAACATATATTAAATCTGTGCACTATGTTATCAATACCTATATAAATGAGAAAAAAAAATTGTATATCTACAGTTAAAGTTGTAAATGTACAGTATATCTTATAAATAATTTTTACTAGTTTGGAAGAAAAATATTTTACCTAATGGATTTGCTCCTTTAAATACTTCGCTAAAATCTTTCTTCGTCATTACTGGCAATGATTGAATGTATTTTTTTGCCTAGAAATAATTATTGTTATGGGCAAATAATGAAATAAATAAAATACATTTTTAAATATAATAATTTTACATTGATAGTAATATATATATATATATATATATATATATATATATATATATATATTCGAATAGCATATTTGACTGGGAGGGCTATAGCTAACTTTATGCCAGTTCGGTCGCCTGAGGGTGCATGGCATTTCTGCCATGCTTATCGGGGGTTGATGGTGTGAGTCATCGCTAAGAAATCCAGGTGGTGGTCACGCATCCGGGTTCAAGCAGCAACGGCCATAGCTTAACCTCAAGTGCCATGCGACAGCTGAGGTGTCCACTGCCCTATACCGCCCCGATATTGATAGTAATAATTATATAATACTCGTTTAGTAATCTTTTTAAATAATTTTCAATTTATATAATATATGATAAAAATATTCTACATTTTTTTATTAATTTATACTTTGATGTCATCAGACATAACTCTTTAAGTATCAGTAACTCTAAGCGATTAACAAATACTTTATAAATTGAAAAATGTACTAATTAAGATAAATTATTTCAGTTTACACCAAACACCAAACATAAAGAACATAAATTATACGTTACACAAACCTCAGAGGTATTAATTTTATTTAAACATTCAGCGGACGGTGTTCCACATAAAACTAATACACGAGTTAAATGATCCACATCTATATTTTTGTGCTGTTAAGGATTAATAAGCAATAGATACCATCCGCAAACTTACCGATTCACTGGATATTTTTTGCATTAACTCATTGGATGGTGTTCCTAATATTTCCAAAATCAAATTTAACTGTTGTATGTCTTTTAAATGTTTTATAAGAAAAATATACATTAAAATAGTTATTTTTTCTTGACGAGCAAAAACACACAGAAACACGTATAAAAAGGATACGATCAGTTCCAGGAAATAATGTTCGCCCGGTAAGAAGTTCTGCCATAATGCATCCGACAGACCAAATATCAACTAAAAGCATAGCAAAAAAGATTAGCTGATTAAGAACTGTTAACATCTGAAAACGTAAAACATTATCTAAATAATGACTGCACCAAATCTAACTGTCGTAAACGCCAATCAACCACTTTGTTGAAGATTTGACAGGCATGTTGCATATTAAATTTTATTTTTGATAAAAGTATATTTTTATCTCAACATTTTGTAAAGTTATAAATGAAAATATAAAGATAGTTTTATTCTAATTTATCTATTTACTTGTCAACAAGTGGAAACATCCAATTTAGTTTAAAAAAAGTATTTTACTTTTAAGAGGCTCTCAAACCCTTTAAAAATGTATTTAAGGAAAAGCATGTAGGTCAAAGCAAAATGGCCATAGAAAAAAAATGTTAATACTGTTAAAAAAAAGGAGAACTTGAATTAAGTTCTTTCATTAGTTTCTTTAGAAAACTTAAATTTTAAATTAAATACAAGCACTTAAAAAAGTAAAAAAGAAGTCAGAATTAAAATATAAATTGTAAATGTTGGATTAATAATATAAAAAAAGCCGACGAGAGAACCTAGATAAAATTTTGATTATTTTAAATATGTAAAAAAAATTGTCTACAATTATTATTTAGCCAATAATAAAGAATATTAGAATAAAAAATCGCTGTCAAGGATGCTCTGATAGTCCGAAAAATAAATTAACTACCAAAAACGAGTCCTAATTACTAAACTAACATTTACACATCACCATTTAACCTTTAAACTAAGATTTTGAAAAAATTGCTTACAGTATAAGCCTCATACCTAACTCCTTAATAAATGGGGTATGCAGTTCTCTTAAATATTTGTATAATACCTAATTGGTAGTTAGTATGTATATACTTGGTCAGTTGTGTATTTTGCAGTAGTATTTTAACTGTGTTACAATACTTTTTTGGTATTTTACTATTTATATACCAAAAGTTAAGTATTTTGCTCATCTCTGATCCTTTTTGAATGTTTACAACATGATAAACTCAGGTGTCGCTTACTCCAATCATACTCGGATCAATTGATCTAACGAACCTGTTTGATTATAATGCATCCAATTTAACATTATTTCTGGAGCTCTGTACCATCTTGTAGCGACATATCCAGTCATTTCACTTTCAGTTGGTCTAGCCAAACCAAAATCTAAAATTTTCAACTCGCAATCTTCATTTACGCCAATATTTGATGGTTTTAAATCCTAAATACAGTAATTGTTAAGCATATTACAATAATAAATATTAGAAAATTTGTTTAATTCATCAGCTAAGGTTATTAGCAAGATACAGTAAGATCAGATTGGTAGAGTTTGATCAATTTTGTGCTTTGTTGCTAAAACTTCCACATGGTCAACCATCTAGAAACTAGCAATGGTAGAATCAGCTTAACTGCGACTCACTACTGCACTACACTATGTCCCTTAAAAAATGAATTATATTGCTATCACATACTCTGTGAATAATTCCAGCAGAATGGATGTATTTCAATCCCCGTAATATTTGGTAAACAAGAAACTGGACGTGATCATCTGATAACTTTTGTGTTCTGATTATATTATTTAAATCAGCTCCCATTAAATGAGTTACTAGATATCTAAACAATAAAGAAAGCACAAATTATAATATATTTTACATAATAATTATTTTAAGGAGCTTACAACTGATTGAAATTGTTGATAGAGCTAGCCGGTGTGAATACGTCCAGCAAACCAATAACCTAAACATTATTAATGGTGTTAGTTATTATTACATTTTTAAATTAATTAATTAATTTAAAATATAAATAGACAGTGGCGCTGAATTAAGTTACTGTAATATGATAACTGAAGAGAGGCAAAAATATAACTGAACAATTTTGTAAATAAAAAAATTTAGGGGTAGGTTGTTTATTACTTACTTTGTTTTATACATAATTACGAGACTCAGTGCCACTGTTAATAAGTATCCGTTAAATTAATATTAATTCTTAACATGTTTAATACATACATTTTCGTGATTCATGTGTTTTAGCATGCGCAGTTCACGATAGGTTCGTTTTGCATGAACAGCCGATTGGAAAGGTCTAGCCAGCTTTTTAATGGCTACTTTTAATCCCGTTTGATTATCGACGGCAGAGCTGTAAAAAGTAACGATCACTAAATTAAAAAGATGTATTTAAAATAAAACCAGAAAATATATACAATATTGAAAATTCTATACCAAACTTGTCCATAAGCACCCAAGCCAACTGGCGTCAGCATTTGGTAGCGTTCCGGCACTTCCCATTCAGTTTTGTTTATTTCTATCTTGTAATATTTCATTGTGAAAGCTCGATAACAGTTCATACAGCTACCATATCAAGGTAAACGTTTAATGAATATGTATAATATATGTAAATTTATGTACACATATCTGATGAAATTAAAAAACTAACATAATATAGATTTTTAATTTAGTGTTAAAATAACATTGTTATTTATTTTGAGATTCTACTCTGGTCAAGCTGCTTCTGCGCCTTGTCCTCAATACGAAAAAAGTTGTAATATTTCTATGGCTCGTGATTGGTCGGATGTCTACTACGGTTACACGGACTTCCCCAACTCCTTAGCAGTTACGGCTACACTTGAGTTTTTTTTTATTTACTATAATATAATAAATTTTGATAATATAGACTCGTAATAAACAATTAATATGATAACATTAATTAATAGTAAATACAAATCAATGTCTACTTAATCAATGATAATAATAATGGAAATGAACATTATTAGAATAATAATTTAAATTATTTCTAGCTTTTGTTTTACGGTTATTTTCACATTTTGGCCGAATAGAGAAGTAAAGTATTTCTATTCGCTTGATTGATTTTTGTCTTGCCGACTGTTGTAGCTGTTTAAGTGTTTAGTAGTTAGACTTAAATCGTCGTGTTAATAGAAAACCAAAGTAAAGTACGTCAAGTGCGATTCGATTAAACTGATAACACAGAGAAAATGCTGACTGATAAAATGTGGGTTGACGTCATCATGTATCACACAATGTCAAAATAAATAGGTAAGTCAGGAACTTGTGATAACTGCAAAATGGCCGCTTGTTTTCTACGGTGGTTATATCATTTTTAGAAAAGAAAACCGGCTACCATATTGTAAAAATTGATAAAACGAGTTACTGACAAACCTGTATTTTGTCATGTATCACATACTGTTCACTGATATTGGCCATCAAAACGACGATTCAGCCGATCGTTCATATCATGATTTTCAATTATTTTAAAAAAAGGCAATTCATTATTTTGCTCATTCATAACGAAAACGGAATTTGGACTAGGTAAACGGTACCTGATGCTTGCGACCAGGGCCTTGACATACCGTCCTATGAAGAAGTTTACACGGTAGTACGACAAAACAGCACAGCGATTTTTTCAGCCTGTGATCCAACACAATGGTCAGCTGCTTTGCTGAAGAGTTTGTTCAGAGCGTATTTTGTCCTCAAGTGGCCGTCTTGTGCTCGGAAAAGGCACAAGAAATATGTCGTAAAAATAATTTGACCTATTGCGATATGCTGAATCCGTTTACTCTTCTCAATGACAGTATGTGAATAACAGTGGCAGTTTATTATTTTGTCAAAATACTAACAATAATGTTGTGGTTGTAACCTTTTTATAGTAAGTTTCAAAGATGCTAGTGGGACTTCAGTAAATATTCCCAATTTCAGGATTAAACTATCGGATATGGTCTGTGAACCTGTAACAGTCAATAAAGAAAAAAGCCGATTAAATAAATCTGTAAACGTTACTGCCGAACCAAAGTGTATCTGTGTCAAAATTGGTAACTTTTTATAATCATGTGCCCAAATAAACAGTTTTTGTAATTAATACTGTTTTTCAGGAAATCACGAATTAACTATACCTGAGAGTACACCGTGGTTTACTAAATGGAGAACGACATTTCTCCAATTGCAGCAAGTGTCTGATCATGAATACACTAAACATTTTCTAGGATGTACGACCAAATATGTTTATTTCAATAAAAATTAATTATTGTGTTATTAACTTTTTTTATCTATATAGGCATGATGGTAATAAGTTCATCTGACGAAAATGAAGTGGCAACATTAACACAACAAGTACAACAATCCATTTTACCTAATCAAAATCAATTTTCACCTAAATGGTTTCATACAACGGTACTACGTTATTATGTTGTTCTACATGAAAATACAAATCCCGATTTAACTGTGTAAGGAGTACATTATTTTGTTTTTGTTTTTAGTTAAGTTCATCTTAAAACTAATAAATGGCTTAGAAAAATTTGTAATTCTAGCTTATCTGATGGAAATTAAAATGTTGGTAGTTAATTTCAGTCAACACAAGTTTTTAATGTACAGTTAAATTATTTTATAAAAAAAATAGTGGTTTTAAAAATAAGCAGTCGTGAGTATTTAAACCAATCTTACAAAATTTTTTTTTCATAGTGTTAGTGCACTATGAAAAAAATTACTACAACTGACAAAATTATTAAATTTTCTATTGTTTTCCATGCATTTTGTTCAGGTGACATTTTCTTGAAAACTACTTGACATGATATTTTTTGTGTCACGAAGAACCACATTTTATAACTGTTGACTTGTTGGGAAAGAAAACAATAAGAATAACTACATTTTTAGTGTTTAATACAAGAAAAGGTTATAACTGTTTTTGTTAGAAGGGGGAACCCTACCATATTTATAGTCTCCCCTAAGATTCTAAAACACATATTTTTCTAAAAAGTATAAGAACATGTAGGCCTTCACATCAATTTAAAAATACAATGTTTAGTGTATCCAACCTCATTAATATTTAATATCACATATCAGTCAGAATACAAGTATCAAAAAAATAATTACACATTTATTTTTGTTTTTTCGGTGCCTGGCACTTAAGTAATAACATTGTTCAAAGACATTTAACCTTTTTATTAAAACAAGAACCAAGATAAATTGTATTTATTAACTCTTAGGCACCAGCACCTTCTTCCAGATACTCCCGCTGCAGTAATATGCAGCATAGAGTGCTGTCGCATGGGTGCCCAAGGGTTAATACAATTTTTAAAGATTAGGTGTAAAAACCCCAAAACCTACAAAATCTATAAACCGTCTGTTACCCGACTAAATAAACTACATAAACATGAAATATAGAAAACATTTTTATTAAAAACAAGTGCAGTAAGAAAAAGTAATGTGGTTCAAGTGTGGTGTTTAATTTTAAAGGATTTAATGAGTATATTATTTTGTATATGATGTTAATTGAAATTGTAATTTATTATTTTTAGACCAAACAAAATTATTGAAAATTTGCAATTAAATTACGGACATAGTAGTTGTTATCTTCTTAGAATAAACTCGTTACAAGAACCTAAAGTCGACTCAACTGATAATACATGGGATTACTTAAATACTTCATGCCACATAGATGATGGTGAAGATAATAAGAATACAAGTAGAGAATTCGAAAATAATTTAAGTTCTAATGATGATTCTTTAACACACCCCCTAAGTCCTCAAGAATATAGTAAAAATATTAATGGAGAAACTAAATCTGATAGTCAAAAAATATATGGTGGTTATTTAGATTCAAACGACTATGACAGCATAAAAGAATTGACTAAACATTTTGTTTTAAGATCATTAATTCCTTATATCGAATCTCAAATACAATCATTAAACGAATCGGTAATAAATTCCCTTTATATGTATAAATATATAAATAATATAATATACTGTATTATTTGAACTATATTAATGTGCAATTTTTTTTTACTTTTAGGTAGCAAATAAAAAAGGAGTGAGTCGATCACTCTTAAGTGCCACAAAAAGATGGTTTAGCACTAATAAACCCACCGCGGTTACAACTCCGCCATCAGTGATGTTAATAGAAATATATATATTTGTCAATAAATTTTGTCAACATACTAATTCAAAAATTTTATGTCTTTTAGCTATACCAGTGACTCACCAGAACTTCAAACCCGCCGTTTAGCCGATTTATATATGATTCTGGGTGCTTGGTCTCTTGCATTTCCACTATACCAAACTGCTAAACGAGATTTTAGTGCGGACAATGCATGGATGTTATATAGTGGAGCAGTTGAGATGGCGGCATTGTGTGCTTTGCTCTGCCCAAGTGTATGTGATTATCGCAAAGCTATTGAGTATGCCAACGAGAGTGTGTTAACATATTTGAATACTTGCAGGTAATAAAAATAAGTGTTATTGAAGCCAGTGGTAAAATCTTATGGGTGTATATTAGGGTGGTTTTTATTTATAAACTTAGAAAATTTTAATAAGCTATCCCGCCATTTTGTTCATTATTATGAAGTGCCTCAAAGGGGAGTTTGAAATAGCCAAATAAGGTAGTTTTATGATTGTTCGAGTTTAAGTAAAAAACCATTGCATTTAGCGTTTAATGTCACATTACTTTTATGATAGATTATTAAATTGTCTATAAACCATTTTTTTACACATTTTTCCAAAAATACATTATTATTAAAAAAAAATATATAATAAAACAGCGAATTCTATATTTTTTTGTAACAATAAGTTTCGTTTTTATAATGTATTATATTAGCGATCGATAAGTAAAAAATGGATGATTGTATGAAATGTTTTCTTATAACCAATTTTGTGGGAAAATGTGTAAAAACATTGTTTATAGATAATTTAATGATCTATCATAAAGGTAATGTGATATTTTACGCGCAGTAGTTTTTTACTCAAACTCAAAAAACTATAAAACTACCCTATTTGGCCATTTTCAACCCGCTTGAGGCACATGAAGGGGGTGAGTTATCAGAACCAAATTCTATCAACATTTTTTTTTTTATAGTAATGCACAAAATGGTGGGATAGCCAATTGGAAAACTTGAAAAAAAAAAAAATTCTTCATCTATGACTAAAGACCACCCTAGTATATATACGCTGCGTAAACAAACCAATCTTCTATGTATGCATGTACTTATGACTTCACCACTTATTTTATAACTAAGATAGTAATGAATATTGTGTTCAACTTTTTATTTATATCATTATTATTACACAGAGTGCCTCAGTTTGCTACTAGAGCTACTCTGCTAATGTGTGAAATGCTTGTTGGTCGAGAAATGTATAGCGAAGCTGCAAAAATGTTCATACAAATGACTAACGAGGACTCAGACTTACGTAGTGCAATTCTACTAGAGCAAGCAGCGTATTCATTTCTCAAAGCTCTAAAACCGATAATGTTAAGGAAATATGCCTTTCACATGGTATTAGCTGGACATCGGTACTCAAAAGCGTTACAACGAAAGCAATCGTTAAGTTGTTACCAACAAGCCTATCAAGTGAGACTCCTTTAACAAAATAGTTATTGATACAATGGTCCGAATTTTTGGGTTTATGCAATTTGATAAGGATAGAATAGATAAAAAGGTCACTTATAATTAGTTTTTTGGCATATTTGAGCATGTTTCAGATAATAAAAAATATGTATCTCATAGTCTCATATATTGGAATATTTTGTGAGTTGTATGAAAAACAAACATTTTAGTTTATTTTTATGTAAAAAAAAATTGGTGAGTTGGTATCATAATTTGTTTTTAACTGTGGTTAACCGAAGTTAATGTAAACCACCTACAAATTAATTTACCAAAGAAATATTTTTGCCTTAAATTTGTTCTATTAGTTTTATATATTGCATGTGTAGTAAATACATGGAAAGATAAACTTTACTCGCTAAAGTTGTTAAAAAATATTGTTTTCTTAATATTATTGTGTGAATTACATCAAAGATATTACTAATTTTGTATTAAGAAAGTGTACCTTTCTTCTTATACAAAAAGTGTGCAATAATAATAATTTTTTCAAAATGCAGTTTGCATAATAAATCATGTTTTATAAATGTATTGAATATTATTTTGCATAATATGTTCCTGATTTTTAAGAAAATACAATGGGAATATTTTAGGTTTTTTTAATACATAATATTATCATTATAATATTTTGATTTCATTTAACCTACAAATCCGGACTTTATTTACCCACCAAATTTAATATTTTAAATGGGACTTAAAACTGCCTTAGGTATTTGAAGGAGCACATTGGACTTTAGCAGAAGATCATATACAAACAGCGATTGGTCGTCAAGCCACATTTTTAAAATATATCAAACAGGCCACGGATGCTTATTCTAAACTACTGGCTAGAGCATCAAACCAACTTCCAGAACAGCAGTCGACCTTATTGAGAGATTATTTGAATATCAAATTGGTAAGTAAAAACAAATTTAGTTTACCAATATTCTACTTATTTCAAGTCTACTCATATTTTATTAGGAGTATGCAGCCGAAAATTCTAACTCTTCTGTCGTCGAATTGGCTCTACCCCTTATTGATCAGCGAAAAATTAAGGTGCTTTTGAACTCTGATAGTGTCATAACCAAAGAATATTCTTTTGACGAAGATTTATTGGACACTAGGTGGCACAAAATGGAAGAAGATTTGATTACAGAAGCTCGAGGAACACCACCGTTAATATTTAAACCAACTCTTTCTTTTTATGGAAACAATTCTATGATTAAACAACCTGTATTTCAAAACGGTAATACAATTTAAATTATCAAATACACAGCATGTACCCTTATTTACGACTTCACCACTGTAGTCGTAAGGGTATACACTAAAGTGTTAACACTAATATTGTTATATATCAAAATAGAATTAGTGCAAGTACAAATGACACTATCAAATCCATTAAATATATCACTTAGTATCGAATACTTGTCACTGACGTGGACTTTTGATAAAGATTCAAATTCAGTGGAATCTCAAGTCCTTGATGAACTTTTGTTAGCACCTTCGAGTACAACACAAGTATTTAAAATTTTACTTGAAACAACTTGATTTAAGTTTCTATAGATTTAAAATAACAATTGTTTTATATTCTGATTTACAGGTCATTCTTGGAATGAAAATAAATAATATCGGGATTTTATCAATTACTGGTGTTCAGTTTCGTTTAATGATCCCTTCTCTTTTGAATGATGATACAGTTAAACGATTTATAAATGGATGGCAACCTTTAGACGGGTTGAGCTCAATAAAATTAAATGTCCAACCTCCAACTGCCATGTTAAAAGTAAAAGTTCCAAAATTAAACTATTGACAATTTGAAATTAAAGTTTATGAATAATGTCTGTGTTTAGGTTGATTATCTAGGAAATCATGTTAACACATTCATTGGTGAAATGAACGTTATACGATTGACATTAGAAAACAACGGAGTGCTACCTCTACACAAAATCTTTGTTTCGACGTCCATAAATGATTCCTTTTTCTCCGAATCAGGATTAATAGGAAGAAATAAAAAAATTCTCAATTTGCCATTCAAAATTCTACCTGGTTCGAAAAAGTCTGTTGATTTTTGGTTTAACAGTCCAAATAGAGAATTGTTTAGTGTCGACTTACTATTTTACTACGAACCTCAAAACGTAACAAAAAAGCAAGAATACAGACTCTGTAGGGCCAGTTGGAAGATGACTGCAAAACCATGTGTTCAGTTTGCTGCATCAGCGTTGTTAGCAAATCAGGCAACCGAAACCTTAAATCTAAAAACTATTATTCAAAATGTATACAAGGTAAATAATAACTGGTATTTAGTTTTCAATAGAGATGTGTTATTTGAAGTGCGGTAGTTGTTAGGGCATACACTGTGTGTACTGTTAGACTACGCCACTAATTATTGGTAAATTATTATAGAAAATTAAATTTTAGGGAAACGAATTTGACAAAGTGATGCTGAAAACTGTGTTCTTGAATAGTCCAGATTGGAAACTATCAAAAAAATTGTTTCCTCAAGGCAGTATTAAACTCTTAGAACAACAACAATCGTGTTACTTGTTTTTACAAGCTTCTCGAACAAAGGAAAGTAATATAATATCAAAATTAAATTTTGAAGACGAACACACGGGGCAATACAATATATGTGAAAAATTTGTTTCTATCACACAACAACTTTCTACGGAAACATCTACATCAAAGTACGATAGACACAAAGTTTTGCCAAATGTGTCAAAATGTATCGATTTTGTGTTAGCTGTACTGTGGCAGGTAGTTGAATTTTTCTCTATTATTTTAATTTAATTACTCTATGATTAATGTTTTTATTATTGTTTCCAGGTGATAATTAAAGATCATTCCAATTATCCTCGAATTGTCAACGGCATTCATAGGGTGTATATAACAAAATTTAATTCAATTGTTGCTTACCCCGAGACTGGTATTTTAGATACTTCTAAAAATATTGCAAAGCCAATGGGAAAACTGAAAATATTTGGACCCGATCGCAATATTAATCCATATGACGGAACTCCATTACCTAATAATATGGTAGCTTCGTTAGAATCACCCATGAACAGATTGCTCAATGTTGCCTTTTCTCACCCGAATGTCGTAAATCATTCTTTTATTGATAAAAAGTATAAAAAAATAAACAATATTTTTATATTGAAATAATATTTTTAATCAGTACCTATAATTTGATTCACAGAATTTGTATTGTATCTGTACTGATAATACTCAAGAATTGTGTAGAGCACAATATCGAAGTCAAAATTGATGCTGATACTAGCAGTTTAAAGTAAGCATTTTTGAGAAATAAACAAAAAGCCAATAAAGTGGAGTGAGGGGAAAATAGTTTGGAACGGAGAGGTCACAGGTCTTCAAAACTTTTCTTAACTTATAAAATTAATTAATTCAGTTTGATTAAACCATTTTGATATGAAACTGTATAAATGGTCAACACAAAAATAAAATTATGGTATAAAAAATAAAAGTTAATAATCATGTTATTGGATTATTTGTATTCCCCAGTAAAATAGTGACATCAGATTTCTGATTTTTTTTTAAATTGCACTATTACATATTGTATTAATTTTTTTAATTGATAATCTACTAAACTAAATAAACTAAATTTATAAATTTTGTGTGCGTTTTTATCTATTTTGAAAGGGAAAAATTAACTTTTTCCATTTTTGGTTTTATAAAATAATAAGTACCGTTTGAATAATAATTTCGGCTCTACAGATTTGCTACATACAAAAAGTTATCGTGGGTCTATAGAAAAAAATAAAAATAGATCATTATAAAACCAATACCTTTAGTTTTTTATTTTTAAATACCTTTTTAGCTTAGCATTAAAGCTAATACACAATTATAGTACAAATTAAAATGTTTGACATCAATTTTTTTTTTTTTTAGATCGGATGTGGACAGTCAGCATTTCTGTTGGGTGGGAGTAGTCAATCCAAAGCCTTTTTTGCTACCAGTGGCAGCGACTCATACAATACAAATGCGTGCCGCTATCGTCTCCCAAGGCTGCTACAAAGCTACATCCAAACTCAACGTTTTTGCAAGACCACATCCATCCGCTCAACATGCATTCCTAACCCAAATTGTTTCGTCTTCTTCCTTGTTAGTCATCAAAGATGCCAAGTTTGAAGTATCTAGTTAATAATATTTTTAAACTTCTTCCTTTGGTCTTGTTTGACACCTTTGTTTTTTTCACCAAGAGAATAATATATATTTAACATAATTGATATTTATTGTTTTATGTATGTATACAGTTATATTATTATTTATTATTAAAGTACATATTGATGTAACTAGATAAAAAAACTAAATTAACTAGATAATTATTTCGGTATTAAGATATTATTACTATGATTTGTTTACTCGTTTTGCTTTTCTATTATGCTGTCGATGGTATCTTTGATGGAGACAAATTTCGGCCGTTTGTTGGGTTCTGGGTGCCAACACTCTAGCATGACTTTATACAGTCTGTCAGAGCACAAAGCCGGCTTGGACATACGGTATCCCCTGCGCAACACCTCGTATAATTTGGCAGACTGCACCGACGGGTAGGGACAACCCCCCAGTGTGGTGATCTCCCACAAAAGAACTCCAAACGACCACACATCACTCTGAGTGGTGTACACGCGGTGCTTAAGTGATTCCAAGGCCATCCACTTAACTGGTAGAGGGTCGCCGTCTTTAGATTTTGTGTAAAGATTTTGTTCGTACACATCACGGCTTAATCCGAAATCACAGATTTTTATCGTATGGTGGTCGCTTAATAGAACATTGCGGGCGGCGAGGTCACGGTGTACAATCCGGTTTTTCTCTAAGAACACCTGTTGTTAACCATGAAAACAATATATATTTATTTATAGATATAATGTACAAATATCAACCGTAGGTTCATAACCAAAAGTTAAAAGATTTAATTTCAGTAGGCTATATATCTATATAGTCATTTTAAAGAGGGAATTCTCAAGTTATAAAAGGTGGTCATACTGAACATTTTTAACAAAAACTTGATGTAATTGCTAACTTTTAAATTACTTAAATTTTACGATAAATGTTATTTTTAAATTCTGATGAAACTTTTTAAGACACTCTAATAATGAGGAAATTTTAAACTTTTCTTTACCATTCCGTTGGCGGCTTGGCTAGCAAATCGCAAGAGGTCGCCGGAGGATAAAAATATTTCTTGCTCGTTGTGGTACATGTAACAGTTGTTGGACACGACTGGTGAGGTAGTCGTCGTCGCTTCATTACCGTCTTGCCAATTGGCCAACATGGTCTTTAGGTCACCCAGCTCGTTTGAGTACCACGGCTTCATATTCACCTGAAAGCAAGGCGGAAACACAGAATAAACTAACTCGTACTGACTTGGAGTAAATTTAATCTATTTTGAGTTCACACATACTAACAAAAAAAAAACGAATTAAAATTGATTTGGAATGGTTTTTTAATGATTATTATGTCTTAATTATTATTGTTGGAGCAAGTTTATTTGGTCCCGACTGTAAATTAGTACCGTAGTCAGAAATGTATTTTGGGGAGGGCATTTGTTATAGAGGCCTAAGGGGTAGTATAATATATTTTGGAACAGTCGACAATTCGTATACTCACCTACAGATATTATTATAAATAAAAAAATGGGGGAAGGGGCAAGCGCTACTCAATCTATGGCACTGGTAGTATTTAAAACATTAATTTGTACTTAATAAATATTTAAGTTAACAGTCAGCTTGATGAAAACAGGACAAAACAAATTGTACCATTAACAGGTGATCATTTTAATTTTTTTTTAAATGTATTTCTTTGAAAAAAATGCAAAATGTCTTGAGTCAAATCTAATCATATAATTTACATAAGATAAAATATTGGGGAGAGGAAATATTGAATGTAGCAAACATTATTAAAAGCGTCTGATCCGGTTTACTATTCCCCCTCCCTGTTTATATTGGCGTACTTCTAGTTATGACTAAGGTATGTCTGTTTAATTTTGTTTTAGGAATTAGAATTGTGGTTAATAGATTAGGATTACTGTTAATACGATTTTTCAATTATAAAACGCCAACTCCTTCCAGACGCAACTTCAGGAGGCTAGCTAGACACTCAAACCTGAAATCTCTAAAATTTTAAGTTAGAATTGTTTAAGAAGCTTTAATTATTTAGAAGGAGATTCATTAATCATGACTAATTTAATATTATTAAATCAAAATTGTATAGTTTTTGAGTATACCTAATAAAAATTATGCCACTACGCCTAATGAAAAACTAAGAAAATAGCGTAGGTACCTATTTTTTTTTTAAATAGGTCTTATGTTATATAATTTGAAATTCTGTAATTTTTATTTATTTTTGATGTTAATAGTCAGATTTGGATCAAAGCATAACCTTTTTCTTCTTTCTACAGTCCTGCCCCTACTCCTCTTTCCCCCAGTCGTTACGTCACTGCAGTTTGCAAATAAGACATAATATACACGCTTACTTTCCTTAGATACGTCAGCAGGTCTCCCAGCGGGCAAAACTCGACAATCAACATGCACCGGCTGTTGACGTCCACACAGCAGCCGACCATGGACACGATGTTCGGGTGTTTGCCGACCTTTTGCATGAGTAATATCTCGCCTAGAAACATGTCCATGTCCCGACTACTCGGCCGGCCCTGAAGAGACTTGACCGCCACTGGATACTCGCCGGTCGCTTCGGTCTTGACGAGCCCTTTACGGACGACGCCGAAGTGACCCCGTCCCAATTGTTCTTCAGTGACCACCACGTTCTTCCGGTCCATCAGCAGGTCCACGTCCTCAAGGCCTTTAAGTACGTTCAACTCGTACGCGGTAATCTCCAACGCCTTTCTTACGGCCATTTTCTTCTGGTGCACGTGTTTGCCGACCACTGCCACAGCGAATAATGCCAACACGACGACCGTAGTCCACAAGTAATAGTTACTGCCGCTGGACGGCTTGGCAATGGGCGGCAGTAGCTGCAACTTCAACTCTGGGCTGCCGCCGTTCCGGTTGAACGCTTGTACGCTGGCTAAGTAAGTGTCGTTCAGGTTTATGTTTTCGAAGAGCGCTTCCGAAGTATTGCCCGTCACGTTCTTAGACTCTGAGCTCATTTTTACCGTGTAGAATTCCGCGTAGTCGCTACCCTTCCACGACATATTCACGTTGTACAGTCCGTCTTTTCTGTTATATAACTTTATTGTGAGATTAGTAGGTTGCAAGGGAGCTAAAAACACAACAGTTATACAAACATAAATAACATATCGAACAAGACGTGGTCTGTGTCATAAACCAGAAATCTGTGCAGTGTGTGCACTGCTATACAATGTCCTAAAACATCTATGATAAAAAAAATCCAAATGAGAGTTATCCTTCCCTTGCCCTCGCCATCACCACCAAAGGACGCAATCTTGTTTGTATCTAGATTAATAATCTCTAGACAATTATTTTTGATAATCAGCTCTCCTAAAATCAACAAAATACAATTCAATAGCTCAACTCAATATCATTTGTCCACATAGTCCAAAGAAGCTTTGTAACTTCTAACTTTTAAGAACGTTTTTATTTACATATTTTACTCTTATTCGAAGTGATTTACATTTTAGCTTAGGTGCGAAGCTGAGACGGTAAATCATTTTTACAATGATGTGTTTTTTTTGTGTTTAAACCCACTTCAATAATATCCCTAAAGCCGCTGGACCGATTTCTTCTTATAAAAATTTAATAGATCAGATATCATACGCAAAAAGAACTTTATAAAGCCAAAAATAAAAGAACATCCCAAATATATACACTTTTTAGCATATCATTTACTTTTTTTTTATTTGGTTATTTAGTCGTTATATTTGAACTAAGGATCTTAAAAGGAGACTAATAATATATCTAGTGTGGCCCTAAGTACAAGTTTTTCAAACATCTATAATCAAAACTGTTTTATAAAGTAAAAATCAAAAAAACTAAAAACACGATGACGGTTTACGAACACAATAACTATTATTAAATATATGTGTTTTAACCTGTTGATATTTATAATTTACTTATTGTGACTTGTTCATATTTAATATTTTTGTTTATTAAACATGCACCTTAAGCATGACTTATGTAAATAGGGTGTACACTTAAAAAGTTTACAAAATACGTATCGTTACCGTTATAAATAAAAAATCTGTAATTTTTTTTTTATCGAAGTAATCTGAAAAATCCATTACACGTTTTTTACGACACTTTTAGTAAATAAAATTAATTATAGGTATTTAATCATTTTTACCATCTACAGTTTCGCATCAAAGTGTTTATTTGAAAATAACTTCATCACTTCCTTTATAATACTTCCTGAAGACTTGTGATCTCCTCGGCTTCTCTATGATCAGTTCCCACTATACCCTGCCCTTACTGTGCTGGCTTTTTATTTATTTATTTATAATAAAACTCACATATCAAGCGGTACCTATAATATATTTAGTATATTATATTAATAATATATTTACCTATAGTATAATAATAATTGTTTTATACACAAAAATAACTAACTAATTATTATCTATACTATTTGCGCTATTGTTCGGAATATTCGGATAAGCAGCATAATTATTGTAAAACTTTAAGCAATATTATTATTAGGTACCTATCTACTTTTTATTTGCTATTCCTTTAAATACTCACTCTCACTAATTTTCTTACTACTCACACTAACTAAAATTAATAAAAATTGTGGAGCGGGAGGAGGAATTTACCCGACTTGTAATAATTATAATATAGAACCAATACAATTAGTTTTATAAGTAGGTTAGGTATATCATTGGATTTATGCTAAAATGTTGACATAATTCATAAATCCAATGATATCTTAAGATGTGCTACTCACGACACTCTTCTGAAGGCTTTGAGTCTAAACACTTGGGCGTGTAGAACGTAAAGTCTTTGCAGCTGTTGTCTTTCCTATTGTTCTTCTGGTAAGACGGACACATCTTCACAGTGTACTGAGTGTCCTGAGACAAATTTGTGAGTTTGAAGCTGCCAGTTTTCTCTGCCTCGTCGACGATAGGATAACGAACATCAATGTAATGATTCGGGTAGTATATGATTTTGTAATGACAATTCTTGTCTAGAAACACGATACGTTTTATGACGAACCATCGACACGGCAACATAATTATAGTGGGGGGAAAAATGGATATTTGGTTGGTTACCCGGTGAAAGTTTCCATTTTAGCAGCGTACTCAAGGGTTTTGGCGCTTTGGTAACGTCGAACTTGTAGGTGACGTTCAACGATTCGACAGGTTCGGGTGTTGCCGACTTGTCTAGGGTGTGCTCGGATTGGACATCTACTACAGGCTGACGACACAGGGTACCGTTTTTAGTTACCAATCGGACTCTGGCCGCATACCACGTTTTCGATTCCAGGTTTTCGAATCGGATGTACGACCCTGTAGACTACAATCAAAAGAAACAATAAAATTATATAAAAACCACAGTTACAATAATTCGTCAAAAACGACCGCCGCACCCTAAATACCGTCTCATACAAAGGAAGCTAAACTAAATTGTCTACCAGTGGCTCTATTGAGTAGGTAGGTAGGGTGGCTTTTGTTCTTCTGTTAGTTTTCATTTATAAAGTAAGAATAATTAATAATTTGCTCGTTATCAATTCAGTAATTATGATTATCACAGATCACTTGTGTAATTCTTTTAATTACCATCACTTCAATGTATAAACTTTTGAGCCTAAGTATATTTAATCATAAATATCTATAATTTAAAATGTAACCTATGGATGGATTGTTCGATTACATTTTTAAAAATCGTATCGAATATTTTGCTTTTGGGAAAAACATAAGATCATTAATATAGGTATGTCTTATGGCAACATTCTAAGTGATGAAATTCAACTCCTAAATGTATACTTTGCATGAGACCATTATAAGGAAGCTATTGTTAAAATTTAAAGTTTCTAGCATCACGGGAAGTGCACCAAAATGTTTTGCATTATTATCATTACACAACTTTTTTTTGATCCCCAGACATAAGGCACCTTAATGTCAAAAATTTAAAGAGTAATACAAATTACAATAGTCAATACATATTAAAGGTACTTACTATTTTTGATAAATGTGTTTTTGGTTCGGTTTCGTTGTTGCAGCAATGGGAAATGAGTTCAACAGCAACTACAAGTTTGCTGGTTGATGTATTATCGTTCATTGGATAGTCCCAAGTATATGTCAAAGAGTCAAACTCTCGGCACAGCAAACGGACATTATTAAATTTACTCTTGTAATCGGCTAAAATATTACGAGTAGGCTATAAAGATTATTTTAAATGGATAGGCTAGAGGGAATTTGAGACCAGAATGAGATTTATCAAAAAAAATCCTACAAAATAAATGTATTTTGGTCCTTGTTCCAAAAACTAATTCAGGAAACAAATCTCGTTTTTTTTCAAAATGTGTGATTTTTTACGCTGATGACGATGGTGGAGTCAGATTTGGTCGGTCGGACTTATTTTTGAAGTTATAAGCAAAAACTTCATTTATTATTTTTTCTTAAAAACCAGATAATGCTTTTAAAACTTTTTCTTTGTCATTATCAGCGTATATAGGGGAGGGTTTTGGGGGTTCAGCCCCCCGCGAAATGTGTGGTTAGTACGGCACATGTGCAAATTCATTTAATCAAAGTTAATTTATAATATTAATTAAATCTATTCTTATTTTATAACCCCCCCTCGAAATTATATCTACTCAGTATAAGATTTAAAAGTTTTTGGTAACATCAGAATTCACCTTCCATACTTACTTTTTGAGTTACTTAAAACTTACCAAAAAGCTGAATTATTATCATCATGCGCTGAGTCCAAGGCACCGCGGCGGACGGACCCTGTCGACTTTACCGGAGACTACTTTTTTTTACCACCATTTATAGTATTTTTTACGCTGATTACGAATCTGAAGTCAAACATCGGCGAACTCCTCTACTTTCAAAGTTGTTTTAGCTACTTGAAATTTGTATATTTCCGCGTGTATAACAATGGGCGGCGGCGGCGGCTGCGGCTGCGGCCGCACCATGCATTTGTCGGCGACGTGAGAAAAAAACATAAGGTTAAGTTAGGTTCAGTTTTTTGAGAAAAAATACGAAAATAAAGGTTTTGCTTATAACTTGAAAAGTAAGTATGATATTCAATTTCTGTTTGCACCATTTTTTTAAGTAAAAAATAATACAGATTTTGAAGAATGAAAAATTTCGAAACAATCGACCAAATCTGACTTTACGAACGTCATCAGCGTAAAAAATCACAAATTTTGAAGAAAAAAAAACGCGTGGACGCTAAACTAGATTTATGCCAAAATCGGTTGTAGAGTGTAATTGGTTTAAAATGTTATTAAAACGTTATTGCCTATTATATATTGTAACTTACCACAAATATCTGATTTAATCTCATCACTTACGTCGGTACATTTGATTTGAGTCTAAAAATGATCAATGATGTTAGATAGATAGGTACTTCGTAATATTTGATAATCCATATTTACAACATTAGTATTTAGTCATTAGAATAATTTTTATTTAAGATATCATAAAGTACAATACTGTCTGTTTTAATATAAATACGGATTCTAAATCACTAAAAGGGCTCATAAAATAAATTTATTTCACACAATTTTATATAATTGTTTTCCAAAAGCTAATCCCACGTATTAAATTATCGGATCCACAAATTAAAGGGGACCTATAAATAACGGTCAAATAGGATGCAAGTTCTTAATGAATTAAGTATCTTAATGAAATATTATTTAAAATATTCAAGTTTCAGTTTTTCTTATACCTAATTGTAAATTTATATTATTAAATGATATTGTTATGAGCATTATTGAAAGCAGTCGGTTTTTTGGAATAAAAGGGGCCCGGCAAAGCTGAGTACGGCCCTGGTCCGATTTCATCTAAGTAAATATATTTGAGTTATAGGCCTCGTTTTTTAGGTTAATGTGGGAATCGATTTACGATATTTCAATTAAAATTGTGTAAATGCTATCTGAATTTCTCAATTTTTTTTAAGTATTCACTTCATTGGCTTTTTTAAATAAATGAAACAGCTATTAAAAATAGATTTCCACATTAACCTTTAAAAATCAACTCAATTATTTTTACAGAATCTAAGTAAACGTAGTTTTTTTTAGGTTGTACTAGGTCTAAATAGGTTCCTTTAAGGGGAAAAATGGCTCTTACTCGTAGAATAATATGTTCAAGTTAAAAATTATATTTTGAACCTTATTCAAATTAACCTGAAAATAAATTGATACGGTCGAAAATCGAAATTAATTAAAACTATTTTTTTCTTAAATATTGCCTATCTTTAAACTCTTTACAAACTACCCGCTTTCAATCCTCTTAATATATAAATATATTGCTTTTTATTTAACAAACGCCCAATGGAAAAAGGTACGATTAGGAAGAATATGTAGTATTTTACCTTTACTTGGGAGTAACCCGGTACTGTAATACTACAACGTGACAGGACTGCTTATATACTGCTCGTATGTACAAAATATAAAACGTACACAGATAAATATTATTATTCATATTATATTAAGCAGGTATTATTATGATTACTTATCCACATATTTATAAGTAGTGATAGTCGAGGCACTATAGATGTAATGTTTATGGATTTAACTGCGATGTTACGCAATAAAAATGTAAATTACAAATGTTGTATTTAAATTTTAAATCTAAGAAAACATACGTCCGTCGGAATATCAAATAGGGCTGATTTTGGTACATATACGTATAATATGCCGATCTGATAAGTCAAGTGGTATATACGTATTTTAAACCCGACACAATAAAAGTCACCAAACATAATATACATTTTTTTTTCTAAATCGATGGATTACGTGATCGTATAGGTACGCTGAGACGGATGACTCGCATGCATGTTGCACAAGTGCATAGCGTCAAGGTGCATTATTTTCAATAGAATTTTGAGGTCAACAATTAATACAAACGGCATTAGGTCTAGTTGACGACAATGTGAATTTTTTACAATCTAAAAATACATTATGAACGACCCGGCTTCTTCGTTTTCAATACACTATTTGTAAAGCGTAGGAGGCGCGTCTGTTGTTAAAAATTCAAAAGTTCCGCAAATCAGTACGGTTGGCCAAAAACCACGCAAATGTTTGGGTTTTCTTAAAATTAAAGATTTTTTTTTTGGTTTTATGTATACGCATTACAAGTTACGGTGACATAATAATTTATACATCTAAAAAGTCTACATAGATTCTTTAATTATTTTTAAACAGAAGGAGAACTATCAATTTTAATGAATTAAGAGGGCGTAGCATCGGTGATTTTTAGTGGTAAAAACATGTTTAAGCAGACTGAAAATAACTCGCTTAATTTTGGTTTTAGAGTAAAAGCAACCATTATAAAATTAAAAGAAAACAATATTCCGGAGGGCAAGACGGTGCGTTTTTAAAAAAAATTAATTTTTTGGAAAGTTAGTCATTTAAAAATATTAAAATAGTCGTTATTTTTAAACTATGTATTGAGCGTTATACTTAGAATAATGAAAATTTTTTTCATTTTTAATTTTATTTGACTACGTAATGTCATTTAAAATAATTTTCTAAATAAAAATGAAAAAAAAATCGTATTAAATTAATTATTTGAACAAATCGGAAATTAAAAGTATATTTTACAAATTTTTAATTAAAATAAATATGTATTTGAAACTATTATTTGGATATTCTTTAAAATAAATGTTTTTTTTACTTTAATAAAGCCCAGGTTTGTTAAATTATTAACAATATTATTTCCAAATAAAAGGCAATATTTTTTTAAACATATTTGCATCGGTGAGCAAAAGTTTTAGAAATATTAATCATACGACATACTAATTAATTGTTTAATATATATGTATTAATGAACGCGGAATTTGTATGTGTGCTTTGGTATTTGTTTGCCACAAAACGGGCAAGTGTTGACGACAAAAGAACTCGAGTTATTTTGAATAATTTTCGGGGGACGGGGTCCAGACAAGGAATGCACTCCCAAAGCACACCAATTATATCTACTTTTTAGAAATCAAAGAACAATGTTTATTTTTTAGATGAATATAAACACAAAAATACAAACTTATGCAGTTTTAGAATATTATACATTTTACTCATTTAAATATAATATTTAAACTAACCTGTTGGAACTTGGTCAATTGTTCGTCAGTTTTATTAATTATACTATTATAATGTTGACACGTTTCTTCATAGTCCCAAAAGTGATATGTGTTTCCCGCAGCATTAGCAAGAGCTGCGGCAGCCATAGATATGTAGCAACATAAGAGCGGATACATCAAAGAATACATTCCGAATGGAAGGAAACAGAAAAAAAATCAGATATGGTTCTAAACAGCAGAGCTGATCTCTCCATTATGTAAATTGACACATTATAATACGCTACCCAAGAGATGTTTGACATGAATATGTTCTTGGGCTGGATAAACAAACATAATGTACGTCATCATCAAAATTCATTTCATTTATAAATTGGTTTCTAGTACATTCGTTGTCCTTAACTACATTTAAGGAATAAGTTTCTACTTCGTTACAGCCTAAAAATACATCCATGTCACAGTGTTTTTCCGCGAAGCAGAGATATTTAGATTTTCCGAAAATTAAAAGATTTAAGCTGCAAAGTATGATTTATGTATGATATAAAGTAATTTTTACTGAGCAAAAAAGTATTGTACTGTATATATTCAACATCAATGCAGAATTATTTTTTATATTAGATTATGTAACATATTTTTGTACTTAAAAAGCACATTTTACTTAATTTATCATAGATAAAACATACTATAGATAGGCAATGCCTATCAATCAATATTAATCACCCACATTTATGGATTTCACTTCTGTTAAGTTAAAAAATCCAAAAAAAGAGAGATAAATTCATACACGGTCCACCTATAATATATTTAATCTATATTATAAAAGAAATAAATAACATCCGATGAGTAGACTAAAATATGTTCTGTACAAAATTGGACAACTACACAATAACTTAGGAACAAAAAAAAAAAATACATAATAATAACTTAATTAAAAATGCTGAAAACTGCATTATATAAAAAAAAAAGTTACAATTTAAATTATTTGAACACTTTTAACGAGTGGCAGTTTGGAAAAATTTATTATAAAAAGAATTTTTTTTTAAATTGAAAAGTCTAAGTTTCCCCCATTTAATAATAGTACAAAATTTATGTCAAATAAGCTAATCAATTAATTACATATTATACTATACAAATTGCAATTCATTAATTAAGGGGGTCCTTCGCAAAAGGCAGTGGTGAGCTATTTTGACTTAGTTCAAAACAAATACGTACCAAAGTTTTGAATTTGTGTCAAAACGGATTTGAATTTACGAGAAATAACTGCACAAAATATGAGACACATGGTTATATACACGAAAAATAGTAATATACAATCAATAATACCAAATACTAATAACAAGGCTTAAATAAAAAAAAAAAAAACAATAAAAGAACACAATATCACTATATGGTATGAAAACCTAATTATTATACAATTTGTTTAAAGAGAAATTATTTACAGGGTTAAGTACTTAATTTTTAATCAAAAGTATTATTATCATTAAACAGAATAAATAATTTGATTAATGATTCAAAGTCCATACACAAGAAATAACAAAAAAAAATTAAATTAAAAAAAATAGTTGGTAATCAAATTAAACTAAAGGCAGTTACAGAAGAGAAATTGCATAAATACAGTGGTGTACTTTTGTACATACACCATGTGTATTCACTATCCACTTTTTTTTGGATGTATGATCGTCACAGTACACACATAAAAAATTGGAGGTGAATACATACAGCATATACCCTTACAAATACATCATTGCATAAATGTTCTCTATTAATTAGTTCTTACTATCATGTAAACATAATAATCTATATTTTTCCATTAAATACACAAAAAAAAAAAAAAATTACAATAAGGAACCTATTGTTGCATAATAATAAAAAACGCAACTTTTGTATAAATATGTAATGTTTTGTTTGAAAACATTGTTTCCAAAAATAACACATATTATCTTTAATGAAAAATATGTTTCTATGACAATTTTTTGTTTGTATTGTTACTTTATTAAACAAATGAATGAGAAGAGTTTTAGAAGATTGGTACCTAAAAATTTCGAGTGAATTTGTCAAGATACATGTCTAAAATTTTTATAACAAATATAAAATTTTAAAATTAAACTAGTGGAATATAAAATCTTAAAGTTAAAAAAAGCCGTTCGTGTTTTCAATTTCAGCATCCATCCATTTTGCTGCCCATGTTTTTGCTTTAGGACCAGTCGATCTAAACTTGTCGCGGAATGATTTTTTTTTATGACTTGCGAGACGTTGATATCTTAACGGGATGTTAGGTGCAGTGACAGCTGGCGCAGGCACAGGGCTGTAGGGTCCGTCCAAGGGAGCGGGGGAAAATGGTGGTGACGGCGAGGGTGGTGGCTGCAATGCTGGAGGTGGATCACCGTGGCCAATACCGCTATCCGGACTGGTGTTAGCCGCGGCATCAGAACTGTTGCGGCGTCGTTTGTCTAATTCGAGCGATGCAAATGTCACCAAATTGTCAAATCTCTCACGAATACGGTCGTTCCACTTTTCATCTAAAATGCACAAGAGAACATTAAAAAATTATATAATTAACACGCAGTAGTAAAATTTATATTAATCTTGTATAAACAATTTAAATCAGTTTTAGTAAGTGTACAAATGTTATTATGAAGTGAAGCATTTTAGTAGTTGTTTATTAGTTTATTAAATAATAAAAAAAAAAAAAGTATTTATTAACTGTTAATAACTACAAAAATCTGTTTAATCAGGCATAGACATGCAAAGAAACTAAATACAACTAGTGAACCTTGTACAAACAAAGTGTAGCGGCAGATAAAATAAGCTTTAAAATACAAATATATTTTTTTAATGTACATTTTTAATTGTTGAACAGTTTGACACGTTTATAATACAGTCAACTGAATGCAAAGTTAACTAATATTAATTTCAGTATAAAAAAATAAATTTAAAAAATAAATATGAAAAATTACGAAGTAAAAATACCACTATAATATAATTAATATTGTAATTTAGCCTTTTTTTTGGGTTGAATTATAAAAAAATCAATAATAAAATTACAAATTTTTAAAAATTTTTTATATAAGAAAATGTGCACATGCACTAAACCATAAAAATATAGTCATATTTAGTGGTGCAATCGTACGGTATATGCTGTGTGTCCCACTTTTTTTTTTATAAATGAGTGTACTTGTACCGACATAAATAGCGAAATGGGTACACACAGATACCTTAAAGCTTCACCGATTATTGGTTTCGTATTGTATGAACAGGTTATTACTTTTATTTAATTGATTGTTAATGAATTTTACATGCCAAAGTATTCTACATAAAATAGTGTGTAATCGCACACAACACAATGCAGTGCACTCACCTTAATGTTTTTACTAGGTATTCCAATTCCAATAGGCCCAGCTAGAGCCTCTATTTATACAGCTAAATAATACTTCTTGTGACATACTTTAGAGTACGAGAATTAAATCCTAAAATAGAAATTAATAAGCGTGACAAGCAACAAAAACCAGCATAACATGCAAAAGTGTACATTAATAATATATTATAAATTTTACTCTAAAAGAAAAGTGTGTAGAAGTGATAATTAATTGATTTTCGGTGGTTTTGTGTGAAAAATTATGATCAGTTATATTGTTAAATCTGACATAAATAGTTGTTTTTTATTTTTATGAATAAAATATTTTGCACATAAGTTTTTACACCAAGTATCTATCATAGTTAATTATCAATAGATACATATTGATATATTTTTAATTGTGCATCTTAATGTTTTATAGTTAAATAATGATACTACATTACTGAAATTATATAAAATAAATTATTATCTTAAAATACAAACAAAGTACAGAAAATAAAATATTATGTTTTAGACGTTGAATTGTATTTCTATAGCACGTGGCCACCACCAGTTTTTTATTAAAAAAAATAATATAATTCATCAAAATAAAGGAATTTTGAAGTTTACGATTTATTCATGGTTAAGCCAAGCTAAATTTACAATATTAAAAACCAATCAGGCGTTGAGAAATAAAAAATAGAAAAAAAAAAACAATAAATCAACTACGTGAAAGTCTATTGTGAAAATGAATTTTTAAAAATTACACGCCAAAACCAAATTTCAATTGAAATAATTATTTTATAAGTAATACCTTCTTCGGACGGTACTCTCTCGGACATGGGCATCTTTTTTTTCGTAGGTATTGATCCAGGTGATTGGGATCTTCGTTTGAGCATTCTGTGAGGCGATTGCGTGTCGGATTCAGTCTTTTCTTCTTTAAACGACAGACCTTCGTCTCCATTGCTATCGTCTCCATCATTATCAAGCAGCCGATCATGTAACGATGCAGCCAAACTGTATTTAACAAATATAATAAATTTGTGACGAGCAGAGATAAATTATGTTATTAAAATTTACCCTTCAACTGGTTCTTCTTTTAAAGTGGCCAAATGAGGAGGTGGAGTGTCATCGCTGAAAAGCGATTCTTGGTACGGTTTGAGTTCCGCTTTGGGCAAAGGTATGTACTTAAACGATCGCTGTTTTTCAGAGGCCAACGATTGGTTGCACAGCTGATTTTCTTTGGTTCTATTGTTGTGCATAGACAATGGAACAACAGCATTTATAATTGACTGGTTGCTTATTTCTAATGTACGATGTTGTCGGTCCATTTCTAAACATCTTTCTATTTCATTATTTAAAACATCGCCAATTGTTCTGGCAATAACATTTTGTTGTTGTTGTTGTTGTATAGGTTGCAGAGTAGGTGATATTTTTTCCTAAAGTAATTATACAAATTATTACAAGTTATGCATACAATATATACCAAGTAAATGTCTTACCTGTGACAAATGTCTACGCAGGGCGACTTTGGCTGGCGAAGCCACAGAGTAATCAGGTCCTTTGGACGATGGCTCATTAAGAGCGCTTGTAATGAGATCTTTGACGTGTTCATCATAAAAAGGTACTTTGAGCGGTGTGTCCGATGAAGGTCTATTACAGTTTTTGGTCGAGCGCTGATACCGCATGGTCATTTCTATTTGTTTTCCATTATCAACGATTTTTCTCGCTTCTATCTGCCGGCCAGTTTCTAGAATTTTTTGCGCTAAAATTTCTGGATTCTTTTCATCAATTTTAGCTATATCTGGTACGTCTGGCCAATCCTGTGAACGAATTCTCGATTTTTTATTGTTCATCATTTGAATAGCGTTGTTATATATTTTTGCGTGCGTGTCATTTTCTTTTTTAATCAAATCGTCAATTTCGGTTTTAACCGATTCAATCGTTTTTGATAGTATTTGTTTTCTTTTCCGGTTTTCCATAAGCTCAGTCATTAACAATTTTTGAACGCGAGTTTCTTGCTCGACAGGATTTTCAGACTGTTGTAAAGACAATGATCCAGGTGTACCCACAGAGTTTACTTCAGCTGCACGTTGTGAGTACAAGTCCCAACACTGGTTTTCTAATACATTTGTCTAAAAAAAAAAAAAAAACATTAATAAATTGTTTGAATAATAAAAACTCGTTTATTATTTACACATTCAAAATTAACTAACCTCATTTTTTGTTTTGGCTACTTTGGTTTGCAATTCTTTATGTCTCAATACGATGACTTTAGCGGCAGTCAAGACGTCTTCAGCGGTATTCGTAGGATATATATCCAGTTCTTTCATACGAGTTTTCAAAAGGCTACAGCTGTCTTTGATTAAATGGTCAACTTGTTTCTTGATTTGATGAATTTTCATATTTAAGTGTTGTTTCTTTTCCTATAATAATTAAAAAAAAGAACATTAAGCATTGTAACATTTTTAGTCTTTAATGAATTTGTTCGCTAGTGGTCTATCATTAATCAATTGTTTAGGTTAATTGCTTATCAATTACGATGATCAATATTTGTATTAATCAATGAAGTATTTGAATAGACTCCTATATCAGCTGTCTCTTATCAGTAATAAGAGCCTTATAGAATGACCTCCAGCCTAAAAACATTAACATTTGCTAATTCTAAAAATAATCGTTCAACATACCTTTTCCGCTTTGATCGCCTCTTCGACATCTTCTCTAAACTTCTTAGTTTTGAAGTTATTTATGATTTTCATAAAACCTTCTTTATAATCATCTAAAACCAATTGTAAGGAGTATGGAATATCCCCACTTGGAGGCGGCAATTCAGTATGAGTGGCTGCATATCCTGCTCCCACTCCGGTAATTGAAGTTAATGTATGATCGATGCATCCTTTTGGTGGCTCTTTAATACTCATTGATACTTCGGGTGTGGTACTGAGAACAGTTTCACTGTGTAACAAATTGAGAGACGCAGATATTTTAACATGCCTTTTGGGAGCTTTGCGCCTTGTTGTTTTCTGTTTGCGATTATTTGAAGTGGCTCGTTTTCCTCCTTTGGTGTTGTTGTTTTTCTCAACAACTTTTACAATTGGTGCCACTTCAGAATGTAATCTGTTGTGTAGTCCGTTAGTAGGGTTGATTTTAAAACTGCGGCTGCGGCGAGGAGTATTGCGTTTCATTAATTTTCTGCTAGCTCTACTCTGGTTATCTGTGTAAAAAAAAAAAAAATTATTAATATAAATAATACCAATAGCATAAATTATTTAACATACCACTAGTATTTTCAAATTCTCCTTCGCTATTGTGGCCACCTACGTCTGACCAAGATTGTCGGTCGTTATTTGTAGGTTTTGTTTTATCAGAAACCATACTAATAGTTGTACTTCCGTCGACGCTATCGCTGTTTAAAGTGCTTAACAATGAGTCTGTATCATCGGACGAACTGTTAACATTACCATTTGTTGTTACAACCGGTTTTTGTTTTTCTCCATTCACCTAAAAAAAAAAAAAAAAATAAAATTTATTTTTAAAAGTACTAAAATCACAACTAAATGTCCTATGATTAATAAATCATTAACGGACAATTTAATTGATTAAACAAAAAGTAAAATAAACGTTCAACATTTATTTTACTTCAGAAGTATTTTTATTTACCCTTGATGATTTTGAAACAGGAAGCTTATTCTGAGTAAAAAACCGCTCGAGCTGTAGACATTTAAAAAAAGGGGGAATTTAAAAATAAAATTTAAAAAAAAAATGTTATAAAAAAAAACATTTTTTAAAATGATAACAATTAATTTGATTTTGAGATTTGTATCAACTGAATAATAAACTTTTAATAAAACATTTTAGATAACTATATTTTGGTGTTATGTATAATATCTCTCTAAAATTGTTTACATCAAGTACATGCAGGTTATTTAAGAAAGTAACCAGAGTTGTAGTCGTAAGGGTATACACTGTGTACACCCACCTCCACTTTTTCATGTATGGTTTACTGTGTGTTAATGACAAAAATTGTATAACTACAATTAGAGTACATGAGTACAACTACAGGACCATACAACAATACATAGAAAAGTGTTAGGTGAGTACATACAGCATATTATACTCTTGAGACTACATCGCTGAAAGCATCTGGATTTACCTTTGTCCGATCGATCACATGTAGATAATACTTAACAGGATTACAAGTCCAAGACACTGAGCCTGTTATGGGCTCCATAGCTGACACATGCATAATAGTTCCAATATCTAATACAAATTAAAACAAGCAAATCAGTAAACTGTATAAATGTAAAAAATAAAATTATAAAAACCAACAACTCACCACTTAAGTTTCGTTCCGACATTCGAAAGTTAAGAGGACAAAATGACCTCGATGATACTATTCTAGCTCCATCTTTAAGATCAGCGAAACGCTCTTTTAACGCATGATCAACTTGAGGTCCAAAGGCATAGTTGTTAACAAAAACAATAGAAGCGCTAGTTATCTTTTCTCGGTGTTCTTCGCTTAAAAAGTCTCCTTTGATAAGTTTATATTCTCCATACCGTTTGCCGTACCAAGACATCCATTTTTGAAAATTTGTATGCATATACTAAAAAAAAAAAAATGAATCAAGTTAAATAACCCTTTTAGTATGTAAAATGTATACCTCAGAATAAGACGAAGGTACATCGGCTTTTTCAACGCCCCAACAGATTTTGCATTGGGTAGATGCAGCCATTTGTAGAACAATTTGGCCGACACCTGATCCAAGATCGATGAATATGTCTTCTTCTGTAATGTTGATTAGATCGATCATTTGACAAATGAGATCATAAGACGTTTCTCCGTAAACCTAAAACACAACATATCAATTTTATAACTGTCAACACAAAATAAAAACAAAATATTTGTTATGCATTCAACATACCTCAGGTGAAAACGGTTCATATTGGTTCAATTTATCGGGATCGCTAACGGAAACATTGTATACTTGTTGTATAATATGACGAAGGAGTCCTCTGGAAGCTTTCTTACTGAATTTTTGTAAAGAAGTACCTTTATTCTAAAAAAGAACATTTTTTTAAAATGAAGAAATTTCTTGAGTTGGAAAAAATTATTACTAATTTATATAGGAAACCTGGGCATTTTTGATCAAACGAGTTATTTGAAATAAATAAAATAATTTGTTATTTATAACTTCAAATAATATTTTATTTCAATACATTTTTATTTTACTGTTTTAAATAACCTGTTATTTATAACAAATATTTATTTGATTTCATAGTTTAAATTATAAAATGTTTTTACTTTAATTATTATTTGTTTTTTTATTTAATAATGCACAAGTTCGTTTAAAATAAATTTTTATTTATACATTAAAAAAAAAGTTGAACTTTGCCAACATCGTTGAGTAATATTTTTCTGTTATAATAGTACAAACGTTGGCGGTGATGGCGTATTTTAAAATGTAAAACCAAGAGAGAAAGTCGTGATTTCAAATTTAAAACGTGAGCTGCAGTGTGTGATAAATGATTCTATTCTAACCGACAATATTGTTTTGAAAATTATAGGTACACGTTCACACGTGACCAATGAATTTACATATTTTTCTTGAAAACAAATTATTTTTTAATCGTGAGATTCCCCCATTATCCAAACAAAAATTAATCAGCTATATTAATAATACTCGCACACCGATTTTGCAAATTACCAATTCGCAAATGTATTCAACAATCGATTATTATTTATTATTGTTTTGTTTCATACAAGATTAGGTTTAGCTGCGAGATTAAAATCAGAATGTATAAAATCTTAATTGCGAGTTTTATAATAAAGTAACTTTGTCTAAAATATTATTTCAACGATGGGTTTTCATGTCAATGCTATACGTTTGTAAATAAATACACATAATGTGTGTACATGTAAATATATTCAAAGGTGCTTGAAGCAACAGCTGTTCTTGTAGGGGGCAGGTGATGCAGACCAAAATATTATAAACGTCAGTACACCGTACAGGTTGTAAATTACATGACACACGGGAAGTACAGGGGGAGATATAGTTACCAGCCGTCTAGTTTCTATAGAAGTATAGGAAACGATTCTTATAATTCGTAACCACGTTGTGTATGTAAGATAATTATACGCCTGCTGAAGAAAATAACAACAGTAGTTTTTATAATTAATAAGAATAAATAATCACGGTAAGAATAATAAAACAAAAAACGGATTACTGTTGCTAGATAAAAACAAACCATCCATACGGACAACAGCCACATCAGCTATACTATTATAATATACTATACATTGATATTATGATACAATTTGGCAACGAGGCACGATTTGGTAGTACATAGTACGATAATAACAGTAGTTCAGTCGCGCACTGTTCTCTCTCTTTCTCCCAATAAAGATGGTCTGCGACAAACACATAAGCCAGCTGCGGTGGTTATGTACTACGGGGATGAGGTCACGTAGGCCTTTTTTTCACAGTACCCGAGACCCTTTTTTTCACAGCAACAAAAGGCCAACTCGGTTTAAATAATTTTATAACCCCTTTTAGGATAGAAAATAATCAATATATGTTTTTTTTTATCTAAAATATTCACCATTTGCACCATGCTGTCGATTGCCTTGTTGAACCTGTCACACAGAGTCTTCATGCTTTCATACCTACACAATGACAAAAAATGTTTTAAATATAGCATAAAAAAAAGAGCTGTGTAGCCAGCACAGAAAAAAAGGTTATCGATTCGTTCCGGCCAAAACGGTCGGAGGTCGAAGACTTACGATTTTGTGTCGTAGTCGCAGAGGATGTTGTTTTCAAGTGGAATCTTCATGTCAGGAAAATCTTCGCATACCCATCTGTAGAACAGAAAAACATATAATAAATAAGTGTACATTAGCGTTACTAGTTTTTTGAAATTCAGAAAAAATAAAGCATGAGAATAATAATATTCATAAGTTACAGACTGGCCATAAAAAACTGTTTTTTTTTTTAAATATTGTTTAAACATAACTAATGTTTGGTATTTATCTAAAAATACAAGTTTATTTATGCAAACCCGCTAAAACATAACTCAGTGTCTTTTTAAAAAAAAATCCCGAACTATTGCTAGCTTTATTTTTTGTTGCTTAACGTTTTATTAAACGTTTATTCAACAAGTTAGCCAAAGTGATATTAGTGCATCATCCCTACACTAGCGTATTAGTACTTGTACACCTGTTTACCCGGCCAGTACATTAATACAATGCAAGGTGCCTAATCATAACTCGTAACATTATTCTTACACGATTTGTAATCAATTCTTTTCTGTAACATTTGATATTATTTCAATACAAAATATATTTTAGAGGGAAAAACATACACAAGCAGCTCACATTGGATAGTTAACCAATAAAAAAATCTTAACGTTGTTATCGGTTGTTGCAGTAGTTGCGGTAAACTTGATGCACGTAAAATGCATTTCACCAATAGTAGCATTGAGGCCAAGGTCTGCGTGTGTGTGTGTTATGTGTAAAGGATTTATGTGTTTTTACTCGTTTCCACGCGGCAACGTCGGACACAACCTACAACGGTTCAAAATAATAATGATCATATACCTACTGTCGGATGTCCTTACAATATACACACACCTATATTTTGTGCAATCGTCATTATAGCCATAATATTGTTGGTCGCTAGGAAGGCTTCAATCATAATCGCAAAAATATGATTAAAACTAGTTGGCGATAACCCGTTTAAAATATAAATATCACATATTTGCTGTACTTAAGCAGAAAAAAACGAGTTTTTTGACATTTGTGTTAACAAACACACGCGGTTGAGTAAAGATAGTATAGTGTATACCACGTGTGTACACAATACATTATGATTGTCTATAAAATAATAACGGATAGCGTTTAATATTCTGACAATACGAGTGAGACTCGTGGAGTGAATTTATTTGGAATAAATTCAAAAGAAACGACAACTTTATTTTATTAAGTTTACTTTAAATTTTATATAAAATTGAGTTTGAATTAAAAAACAAGAGCTTGTGATTTAAAGTATGCAATTATCACTCCAATATATTATATTACATTCAAATTCGAAAAAACCTTAACTGGGCGAGGCTTTTCTTTTTAAAAAACAGGTTATTGTCGACTTTGTTAAACAGACGAATTTTTTGAAAAACGTCGGCAATTAAAAAAAAAAGCGTACGTCGCCCAGCAAGCAACAGGTGCGCGCCGGCGTTAGCATATTATTATGACATTGAAGAACATAAAACACAATACATGCGTTAGAAACCCGGAAGGTGTGGTCGAACTGGCACAGGTTTTAATAATAATAATAATAAATGTACTCTGCGGAAACGCGTGGTAAGCAATTATAATTATCACCGTCAGTCATTACAAAACGTACTATAATAGAACGAGGATTTGTTTAAACGACTCTTACAAAAAAAAAAAAAAATGACTAAAATAATAATGATCACATATGCGCCGTCACATTGGCACAGTACCACAAAAAAAGGTCACCGTCGCCGCCACACGAGGGTGAAAGCAAAATGCAAATTTCCCCCTTTTTTTTAGTTCCATTGTGTGGCGTTTATTACCCCCTTTTTTTATGTTCTTTGCATGGGAAAATAGGGTGGGTTTATGGATGTTTTAATCTACCGGGAAAACGGCGGCCAATATAATACACACGCGCAAGAATGTCCGGCAAAACGAGCGCACAAATTTGATTAACGCGCGCTTTTTAAAGCATCGCGGTCTTATCCAATCCGGTCGCATGGTACGTACCATACTATACTATCAATAATAATTGTAGTCTATCGCCCATAAAAATACACGACTGTAATCCTAAAGTATGAAAGTGAAAATACATTAACCGATACAATGAATTGATTGTTTTCAAGATTTTTCCGTTATTCTTATGAACAAGTATTGCACTAAATATTATAACTTAAAACTAAACAATTAGAACGAACAATAAAAAAAAAACCTTAAGCTCAAAAAAAAATGTCTGCGTTATAGCAATAATTCCTAAACATTCCTAATGTAGCTATAATAATACGCCAGATAACCAAAAAGGCCAACAACAATAATTGCCATGTTTTATTCTGTTTATAAACATGTTTTTCTATTAAATGCACAGCAATAAACAAAAATTGTAAACACAATTATAAATGTTATATTTTATCCGCAGTAAATTACGATGACACAAAATACACGGTAAGTTTTACGGTTTACAGTCGTCTACATTATATTAGGTTAAGTAATAAGATTAAATGAAATTTCACCTGTAGACGCCTAACGCAAGATGCAAATTGTTAGCCAACTGTAATAATCAAGCGGATGTTGAAATTACTAAGGCAGGTTTTGCCCAAGACAGCCAGGTGAACTCTAATCTGGTCAAGACAACCGGTGCAGTACGATTAAGGTTGCACACGAAAGCCAACTGTGTAGGGTCATATTATAGTAATTATAGTAAATAAAATAAGGATAATTTAATTGTTAAGTTGCACATAATCAGAAGTCATTAAGTATGTGAAAAACCTTACTAACCATTAGGTAACGTACTAGTTTGCGATAATATTGCAATACCTTAAGCTACATATTTTTAATGCAAAAAATTCACTATAATTAAAAAATAAATTATGGTCAATTAAAAGTTATGTCCGATTTAGAGAAAAATCCTATCAAATCTAATGTATTTTATTTTGAGTTTTTTACAACTATTTATTGAAAGTTGTGTTAAAAAATTCATAATACTTGATAAGGGAGGGGGGGTTTCGGTATTTTTTTTAAGATCTAGTTTATAAAATATTTTTAATGGGCTAGAATGAAGTGTAATTTCTAGGCTTAACTTTTCATTCCGTCCCTGCGTAGTTTTACAGTTTTCAGCATTTTTATAAGTGTATATTATTTATGAGTCGCGATTATAAAGCGGCTTCGGTGATTTTTGGATGTACGGGGTGCATACGGTGACTAGTGACTACCTATTAGTATATTAATATTACAGGTATTATTTAACGAACGAAGGAACGTGAACCCGAATGAACCTTCGAGTGAACGAAATTAAAAATAATAATATTATAGTTACACGTCATAAATTTTCCGGAAGAACGAGTTTGGTTTTATCGTCGAGCCAAAGCAGTTTTACGGGAATACATTAAGCCATTATAACTATATAATTTTATACTAGCTTCTATTTGACTTTCTTTGCAATCAATACACGGTCGGATTATTTTGTTTTTTACCGTTGCTGCAGTATCGATTTTTGTTGTTTCGACTGGTGGTAAAGGCGAATATGACTGGAGAAAGCGACTATCGCGCTCTCTTCGGGGCGACGACCGAAGAGATTTTTTTTTTACTAGGATAAATAATAATAATAAAAAATCCTATTCGTCGATAGAACAATAACAAAACAACCCCAGTTGTGACGTCACCGCCGCCAGAATGCAGCCATCATCGCGTTGCCAATACGCGTGTCCCTAATATACTAGCAGGCGCCGCAAAAGTAGTAGTAGTAGTAGTAGTAGTAGTATAGCATTGGTCATATTATTTTACTTCCGCGGGGGCAGACGATCGATAATGTAATCGGCGGCGACACTCGTCCACCGGCGTAAGTTAGGCGCGTGACCTCGTCGTAATTTCCTTTCTCTCGGGCGCGCGCGCACACAAACGGTTTCACTAGCATTTCCTTCCCATCCAGTGCGTGCAACCAAAACAACACACCCGACGACTACGCATTCTCTCTCTCGACTTCTTGCTCATCGGCAATCGTTCTTCGGCCGACCGGTAAAATTATTACTCACGACGGCAACCGCGTCCGCCCGCGTTGTTGTGACCGCGGACCGTTATGTAACCACATACAAACATAGATACACACGCACGAAGAAAACCGGTTCTATCTTTTTTAATCAAACGCTTTGGCCGGTGCACGTACAGATGCCACTGCACTCTGGACGTACCCTCTCTCCAGCCCCTCCCCTCCCCCCGCGTTAGTGGAAATACAAATACATTTTAAGTACAATATACATTATACTAGGTTTTATTATAGTAGTAAGTGGTAAATAAAAAAAAACGGTGCCCGTCACACCGAATAACCGTTATGTGCGCAGTAACGCAACACAAGAGGTTTTCTAGGACGTTTTTTCCTTCTCTCTCTTCCGTTGGACATTGCAACGGTCTATAAAAATGGCACAGTGTGTTGAAAAAAAAAACCAATTGCAACTGCAACAACAATATTGTTGTTCTACAATAGGTTCGTCACGACTGAAAATATAATAGTAATCATCTTTGGACCGTATCGGAAGATCACCTCCCCCGAAGCGACAAGTGTAGAAGCAAAACAAATATATGTTCTTAAAAGGTTGTTTTTCGACAATGGTTTCACGTGGTTAGGGTTGTCTTATTACGACCGGATATAAATGACCGTATTGTATGAGAAGCTAACAAAGTCTTAAAACGTATCAGTTTTGTTGTCCAGAGCTGAAATCGCCGAGGGACGACCTAATATAAAAATACATGCATTGAGAGATGGAACCTATGTACAAATTTGTATTACAACAGTAAATAATTACCAAGTCGGTGTCAATAGCGCAAGGAAGTTTTCACTGTGATTACCAACGAATGCACAATGGTTATTAGCTCAACACAAAGAGTATAGAAAATGAACACATATACAAATTTAAATATTGTATTTAAACTTTTTAAAACGATTAATTTTAAACAAACTTCAATAAAACCGTTTTGTAGAAAGTACAAATATGATTTTATCTTTCAACCAAAACTATATGTTAATAGGTAAATATAAAAAACGTTCTCCAAATTTTGATTTTTGTAATTTCAGCATTTTGGAGGTAAAATACTGTAAAATATATTATGATAAACACAACTCATTTGTGTCCAACAAGCGGTATTTCTTGTTTATCGGACAAAGGGTTCGATTCTTATTATTTTAAAACATTTCAAATTCCAATTAACCGAAACCGAGTTTTTCAAAACTATCAATTACAGTGTTTTCAACTGTTATAAAATATTAATACCACCTCGTCTTAAACTACTTTTGCGCAATATAATAGTAATGTAAACGGTAATGTAAGGACTAGAAGCTTAACAGGTTCGTAGCACCCTATTATTGCGAGTTATTTTGATTCGTTAGTGACCCAACACCCCCGTATGACGAGGGCGCGTAATACAAAAACGAGTACACTGAACACTCGTCACTTTGTCTACAAAGGTTGATAAAAAAAGAAATAAGAAATGCATGTTTATTGAGGAGATAAGCATGCGACTGTGAAAAACCAAAGACTTAACCGAAATTTATAATAATTAATTGTTTTTTATTTTAGATTTTATACGATAATAATAAAAGATTTGTTCGACAAAAGTTTCGGCTAATACTAACGCGTGTGTTGGTTACTTTTACTTTTGCTGGAGGTCACCAATAATGACGATTCGCAATGATTAATTGGGTAACGCCTAGACACGCGTAATATGATTCATAGCTAAACACAAACAAACAAAAGGCCCAGCGGATTGGATTCCTTCTGTTTATGCCTAACAAATGTTTGGTATTTACTCAAAGCTATGTATTTTATTGGGTTCAGTGTTCGCCAAAAAATGATGGGTGTTAGCATACCCCAAAAAACCTAGTATGTTCGGATATTTTTTATATTAAATTGACCTCTTAACTACTATTTAAATAGAATTTTAAAACGATATCCTCAAGGATATGTATTATCCTTAAGAAGGACACGAATAACATCGTCCCCTTCTCCAAAAAAACAAGCAATAAAAAAAAAAGGAAAAGAAATATGGTGATTGGATGATTTTTCAGTTTTTCCAGCAAGGCAGGAATAAAAAAAAATATTTTATACTTTCGTTTGCTTCATTGTTATTTTTTTATGTACATCATTCGGAAATAAAATATTACCATCTGCTTTCGACTGAACGCCTTATGTATTCAATCAAATAGTTATAAAATTATAAACAACAGAAATATTATTCTTAATATACAAGTGATATGACTATACGAATATTAGTTCCATACAATTCTGACAAAATTGCTAATAAATATCTCAGTGTAACATAACAAAAATAGTATTTTGTTTTCAAACGATTAATTCAAAAAATTGCAACAACTGTGTGGTTAAAGGTAAGACAATAAAACGTGTATTGTTTGGCTTAACAAAAATGAATCACTAGGCCTGAAACAAGTCCAACGACTCGTAACAATTGCGTTTTTGCAATATAAACAAGTGTTATCATACACAACAATACAAGTGCACGGTGTGAAAAAAACGAAATCTTGCATAAAACACAATAAAAACTAGCGACCTCCCATCGATACCGTTTTAGCATTGATGCGAAGCTGATTTGGTATCTATTCTTATTGTTAGGAAAAGAAAAAATATTATATAAAGAGACAAAAAAGAGAGCTAGCAAAAATACAGTTTTTTTTATTAGTATTAAAATACTACTTCATTTTCACAGGGTCTAAACCTAACATACACTGGGCCCCAACAAAAAAAAAGCTGGGAATTCCTGGTTTGGTTTTTCGTTAGCAGACTCGGAGCAATTAAAAAATTCGTTTTCTTGATCTCTTATGTAACAACCAAAACGAATTACCTTTTTTCATTGAATAGAAAATTCGAGGGGGTTTGGATTCTTTTGAAAGAAATTATTACAGTAAACACAGTAGTATATACTGTGTTTTCTTTTTAGAAAATGCTGTGTTAATGATTTATTGTTCTGCAAAGAGTTCTATCAGTTAGATTAAAAAAATAAAATATTATAAAAATCAAGAGTTCAATACTGATTTTTTTGTTGGAAAATGTAACATAATTGTGTGATGAAACAGGAATTCGGCTCAAACTCGACATTCGGTAGGTTCGCCGCCAAAACAGAAAGAAAAAAACCAGTCGCAAGACGAATAACCATCGAGCCTATGAGCAGGTGAGTTTGATTTTTTTTTTACTTCGGCGCAGGACCAGACAATGGGTAAAGTCTTGTTTTCCAATCTTTATTCACGAATCCGGTCGATCCGGGGAGATACCGCCAAACTGCGCGCGCGCGTGTCCTTGAAGATGCCAGCCGTGTTATTGGCCCCGAGCGTGGACGGTCATCGCTCTTCTGTGCAGTCACCGCCAGTCGAATTCGGCCCGTCCGGCACCAGGACTCTTGTTTTTATTATTATTATAATAAACATTTAATATTACTATAATTATATTATACAGTTCACGGCGAACGTAGGACATTTTCTCTTAGCGTTTCTCAAAATAACAAAAATGTTTCATGGCCTTAGGCCGATCGGACGAGCGTCCGGCACCACACAACACGTGTAATGTAATAATAATAAAGAACGTTTATTTGTAGCTTAATCGTTTCGTTCCGTATGCCCTACACACAGAATACAGATGCTGTTGTATCTGTCTTCCTACACGGCGCGCACCGGCCGAAAATAACAAAAGCCGTCTGTGCCCGTTCGGCTTAGCTCGGCGCGCCCGTGAAGTGTACCGACGACAAAAGACGACCGTGGACGGCGACGGCGCGCCAAGTCCATATTAAACGCTTACACCGGCGTTAGACCGTGGCAGAACGAAAAATACAATGCTTTTTTTAGCTGCGCATCGTTACGGCTACGGCGAAAAATAACATCCTAAAAAAATATACGTTCATCGGACGCGTATAAAAAAAAAAGCTCGGCTTAAACCAGGCCGGTGAAAAAAAAATAGCGCAGTCAAAATCCGGCCGTTATAACATAATATATTACACCTAAATATGGCGCTGAAAAAACAACTAACCAACGTTAATGACGGAGAAAACTGTGGCGGTGGTGGTTCTGACCGCGAGATATTCAATCGAGTATAGATAATGACTGGGACACGAAATGTTACGCACGGCCAAGAAGGATAGTAGAGTTCGTTAACCGATGATACAACCGGTTTGTGGCCTCCTAAATTGCTAGCCCGCGTCTGTTGTAAATCGGTAATGATCTCCCCTCCTCTCGTCACTCCATCACAAGTACGATCTTACGCACACCCGCGTTTTTTTTTTTACTTATCCAATGTCAAACGGAAACATACACACAGGAAATAAAATATGACGTGTACAGGAATTTATAGGAAACTGACGGCGGGCTAAATCATATTGACCACCGCGGTTCCGTTTTGGCGTCGCGCGATTATAAAATGTTATTTCGGTGTGCCCGCCAAAAAACATAATAACCATCAAAATAATAGTAACAACAAAAACAACATGGCATTTATCATAGACTTCGAATCATGAATGAAATACACGCTACGGCGACATGCGGAGTACGTTCGAGTCAGAATGTACGATAAGCGTGATAAGAAAATAAAAATATGAATGTAATCGATTTTTTTATATTTAGTGTCGTTTATACATATTTCTACTACGTTTAACAACAAATTGCAATTCTATTAATACACAAACGGACCGTTTGTGTTTTATTTGTTTTCTTAAAGGTCATTCGGTAAATAATCAATATTTGTTCAAATAATAAATATGCTAAAAACCCATAACTTTAGCATTTTATTTAAAAATTACGTATTAATATTATTAGATTATGTTTTCCAATAGTTATTATGATCAGTTATAAGTTATAACTGAATAATATATTTAAAAGATTTAGTAAGTAGTTATTTTATTACTGGGATAGTAAATATACCTATTTTATGCACTCCTTATAAATTTAGAGAATTTTGAATCAGTCAATAATGGATAAGTAAAAGGCGAGGTGCTTAACGCTTGACTGGTTCACAAATTTAGCGTTGATCCAAGAAATTGCTACAAACTCATTTTGAACCGAATTACATACTTTGGAACAACTTAATAGTGTCTAACAGATGTTTTATTATACACCAGTATAATGAAACAGTATAAAGTTTTATATACACAAGTGCATTTTTGGTTTTTATGCCCCCAAAAAAAAAAAGTAAATTTTTACAAATATTATTTTTTGGTAATTTTACCTTTGGGGACATTTAAAACACTATGTTAATGTTTGGGTGAAGACAAATTATCAAAGTATGTTACCAATTAAATAAACATTTATATGACATAATTTTAAAACTATTTTTGTAATACTAATGAATAGTTAAAATGCCAACACTTACTTTATTGTGTCTATTATTCCTATAGAGCCATCATGTTTGTCCTGAAACATATAATTAATTGCTCGATTAAAATACTTATACTTAATCTATCATCAATTTAGTTAACACTAGTTAAAACTGTATTATTTGAGATACACTATAGATAGTTAATACTATTATCAAATTAGTTGTTGATAATACAACCGTAAACCAGGATTTTATAGCGTGAAAAATAAGGAGTGGCATATAAATAACAATATACAAGCATTGCTTAAGTATAAAGATAATAATATGATTAATTTATGGAGTAGTACCAAAATATATTAACACAAATAATGTTAAGTTAGCAGCAATATTTTTATAGCGTATTTTTACAGTCGATTATAAAGCACAGCTGTTGTGTTAAAAATCAAATGAATACTTTATCAATTATGTCGATAAACAATATTGCGTGTTCCAATATATAACTTGGGTTAAGGTTATACTGGCAACTTCATAATAATGTGGCGATACTGGTTTTGACGGTGTTAGTCAATAATAATTTAATATTAGTGTTTATTTGGTTTTCACAAATTACCAGTTCAGTTTAATAACCAATGTCGAAATAAGTCAAATAAAATCCACACTGTTTGTGGGAGAGTTCAATGAACTGTCATAATATCAAGCAGTCTTTAAAAACCAACACTGGTTAATGGGTGTAATATAAATACATATAAATGTATACTTGGGGGAACGTGTATATTTAAAAGCATACATATACATGTATGCTTTTAAATATAGCAACTCGGACGTTACCTACTCGACGATCGTCGTACGTTGAATATTATTCTTTATTATTATTGTTTTGGGCGAGTAGTTACCATCAATTTGGAAATATTATTGTGCATAATTGTGTTTTTACGGTGCGGGGTATAGGTACCTTTACTAGTGATATCAGAGCTACTGCGTCACGCCGAGATTATTCAAATGCCAATGGCAAAAAAATTCATCGACGATTTGCCAACAAACTTGTCTTTAGACGTTATCGTACCCATGTTTGTTTACACACTTACCGAGCCACTTCCGATTATCATCGGCCATTTGTACAGTACGGGTTCAGCGCCCACAGGACTGTGCAAACGCAATTCCATTTTGGACGGCATACACACCGACGGCTTGTTGTAACGACGGTGACGGTACACGAGCACTTGGGCGCGCGATAACGACGAACACAAACGGTGAAAAAAAAATAACTGCACTAACACGGGGAACACGGCATATTATTATTTTGGTGGCGGTCGTTTTTTCTTCTTTTATACAAATTATTATTATTACCTATAACGAAAAACGGCGGCGGATGGGGAAATAAATAATGAACGCACGGGGAACTACACTACTTTCCAAACGCTTCCGCCACCATCACACTAGCCGATTCCGTCACGTACGAACCAACATGAATAAATGAACGTTGTGTTTGGCCATAAGATGGCGTCGCGGTAGTGCCAGGAAAAAACATGCGTTCTTGGCGCAACCGAACGCCCACCCACTCGCAGCAAGCATGGAAGAAACGAACCGGGGTAATGTGCGCAATCGCGGCACCTATTGCGAGTTTATCGATCGCGCGGGGAGCAAGGTGCAGTGCCACACCCAACACGAGACGGCCGGTAAATTTCGACTGGCGAGCCACGGCCACACTGCTTTTATATCACCAGTGATTGGTTCAGGCCGCCGCACGCGGTTGTTTAGTGTTTACGCTACACACGAAAACGTCGGCCAACGAAAATATTTAATCGCGATAGTTTTAATTGCTAAGTAATATTGATTGAAGTTAAAAATTGAAATATAGTTTTCAGCCAAACTAAAAAATGTCCGGAGAATTCTATTTGCGTTACTACATTGGTCACAAAGGTATGTATCATATGAACAACGCGCACGAATTCTACCAAGCTCGCCGACAATGTCGGATCTATCGTGCTCGGTTTTGTAAGGTAGAAAGTAGACTCGCCGGTAACTTATTGAAAGACATAATTATAATAGTATTAAAGTTTATAAATCCGTTGTTTGAGATTTCGACAACTCGATTAAGTGTATAAACTAATAAATAAAGAAAAAATAATTAGGTCCTGATCTTAACTCTAGGTAGCCAGTAGATTTCAAAATATGGTAACTGAAAAAAATAATAATTACCACTGTTATGTTATTATATATATATATATACACTCTTAAAACCACTAAACGTTATACAAAAAAAAATATATATATATATTATAAATAGTTTCTCAATATATATTGTGAGCCCAACAATAGAAGAAATTAAAAAAACATTTTTGTTTTTTAAACTTGTAGTTTGTGTTTTTGTTATAGCGTTTTATGGTTTTAAGAGTGTAAATGTTGTACAGTCTGAAACAAAATAACGTTATAAATTGTTACACTTTATTTGATTTTTATAATTTTAATTACATCAATCAAAAAACTCAGGCCTTGTTAAATACCTCGTTTGGTCTGTGATCAATGGTCACTGACAAAGCAAGTATCAATATTCAGTTAGTTTTTGGTTTCGGTTGGTTATATTTTGACACTTTTGTCATGAGTATCTTTACTTAATACATCTAATAAAAATTTCAGTTTGAAATATTCATAAATGGGTTTTGTTTTTTTCAGGAAAATTTGGTCACGAGTTTTTGGAATTCGAGTTCAGGCCTGATGGTAAACTTCGCTACGCCAACAATTCTAACTACAAAAATGACACCATGATCCGCAAAGAAGTTTACGTTCATCAACCTGTTATCGATGAGCTCAAACGTATTGTCTCGGACTCGGAAATCATGCACGAAGACGACGCTTTATGGCCGCCTCCTGATCGAGTTGGAAGACAAGAATTAGAAATTGTCATAGATGATGAACATATATCTTTCACTACATCTAAGACCGGATCTCTGTTAGACGTCAATACGTCAAAAGATCCAGAAGGTTTAAGAACGTTTTATTATTTAGTACAAGATTTAAAATGTTTTGTGTTTTCTTTAATCTCGTTACACTTTAAAATCAAACCAATTTCATAATGAGATGGTTTTAAGTAAATTGCGCTAAACTTCTTGTAAATAACAACTACATTCAATTAAACATTTTAAAAATTAACTATTTTCTTATATCGGAAAGTACAATATTGCCTGTAAAATTGTTAGTGATCAATAAGTTTGTATTTTTTGTTCTACATAATAATGTATACGTTTATCACAACGATTATTACATGTTAATTTTACACTGACTAAAAATATTTTAAAAAATAGAACAACATTATATGGACTCCAAAAACTTAAATTGTATTTGTAATAATTCTTTATAAAGTTTTCAATATATTTTTAGTGTTTTTTTTTATGATTATTTAAAAAAATACAAGTACTAAATAACAAATTGTAACTGCATTTATTGATTCTAGCTGTTATAATGATACCTGTTATAAGTATGGTCATGTTTTTATGACCATATGTTTTTAATGACATCTATAACAGCCTTGAAAGTCAAACAAATTGGGTATTATGATTTTATTTGTATTAATCTCCCTTAATAGTACACAAATATGATTGAAATGTATATTTTTTTTATTGATTTGTACAATGGGTCATAAGGTAAACATACCACTGTCTAGCACATAATATTATAATATACGAAAAGGCAGGTATAAATCAAAGTGTTAGTATCAGCCAAAATGTGTGCTGTACTCATGAATATTTTGTAAAATTATTTATTACAGTTTTGCATTTTTATGGGTTTTGTATGTTGGAAATATTAATAAAATTAGTTTTAAACATATACTAACTGAAGTAAATGAAAATAATAGTATTTTGATTTAATTTACCTGTGTATAAAACAGCCTACCGAAGAACACAATGTATACCGTATAGACATGTATATGTTTGTCTAATAACTGTAGATTTCCATTTTAATTGCGATTTTAAACAATAAAACAGCAATAATGTGAATATTATGAACTTTTAAAAATAATAAATTACGTTTTGATATGAAAATATACATAATTAAAGATGATTGCAAAACTGTGATGGAACAGTTGTTTTGAAAATTCTTCTAAAATATACAACAATTTTACTGGAAATATAATTTTCGACCATTTATCAAAAAAAATTATGGTAAATGGTAATAACTAAAAAATATATCTTAATCAATATTATTTAGGGTATTTTCCAACTACTTTTTTTGTTTTATGATTATTTGATTAACTAAGGCTGAATAAGAAGATGATTTTTCTATAAGATGTACGAGTATTAAGTTAAATAAAATACAATACTATCCAGTTGGCAAACTTATTTTAGTATTTTAAAAATGTTTTATATAGTCATATAGTTTTTATAGTCATTGATTATTTTTTTGTCGGAAATAATTGCATAACAAATTGTATTTTAAATTAAGATATTAATTTTCTTTAAAAGTATTTAGTTTTTTTGCCAATTGGGTAATAATGAAGTTTGAACTTTATTTTGGTAAAAAAGCAAAATATTCCCCTCGTGCATATTCTACATGAAAATGATTGTAGCACCGCGTTTTTAAACAATAAGAAATAACTTATTCCCACTAAAAAACATACTGATAATATTATTTTTAATTTATATTAAGTGTATGAGCTTGCAAGTTGCGTATATATTTTATAATAAGTTATATTATTCAAATGTGATTTCTATGTTTGATGTTGTTTATTAGTCGATATGTCTTTCGTAAATTAACGAAAACCAATTTATTTTTGTCCCTAATATACCTACGGAAGAATGTCGATTATAATTGTCTTAAAATAAGAAGGACTAATATTAGACAATATATTAATTATTAAATACATTTAAATAGCTACTTTACTATTTGTAATATTGTTAAAGATGGGTGCAAATAAATGTACGATAAAAAACGAGATTTTGAAAAATATAAATGAGGACATAAGAAAGTCCTTTCATTTACAACCGTCAATTTTTATTACGGCCGAGTTAGCACGGACGGCCCATAGATGGCGCTCAGCCGGCGTGGCCGTTTGACGTTGGCCGCTGCTCGCCATTCGACCGCTTCAGCGGCCGATGCGCTTTATATGTAGCGTCGTGGACACAGTCAATAGCGCCCGGTGTCGCGCCAGCCCGCTCGAGCGTCGAACGGACAACAACGACACCAGCGGCCAACCGACCGAACGCAGTAAGTGGGACATCGTGTTGCGGCGTCAGCACGGCGGATGGCACGATGCATATAACTAACCGAAATCCTCCAATTGACTTCAAAAAGGGTGTCTGCCGCTTATATGGTACATGGGCCTTACGGGGTCCGTGGGGTATGGCCATCAATACATACCCGGCACGTAATTTTTGGAAATTGGGGCAGTTGGTTACCAAAGCGTACCGGCGCCCCTCATAATTCAACGAAGGCTCTCGTCAGTCGTCGGTCACGGCTCACGGTATCGGAACGATGAAGTTCGGTTAGATGAATCTGCAATGAGTCCGAAACGTCACCATAGATATGAAGACCAATTACACACATGGAATTAAACATTATTTATTATTAACGGCTTAAAAGATTTGTCTAGTAATTACGTTGTTTAGGATGACAGCTAAACACAACTTATCCATTAATGCACTCCCGCCGTCCGTGGTTAGACGGTCTGTCGATGAGCAATTTAACCCGCGTAAATTACTGGAAAACCCCATGACAATAATTCTTTATATGGGTTGTTTGTTTAACGGATTTAATACACTAAAATATTTAATTAAAAAAAAAAATATATTTAATAAACTTGAACTTTATTGGAACCAAACGACCGTTTACCACAACAATAGGGGGTGGGGGCTCGTTTAAATGTTTGTACTTAATAGATTTTTAGAAACAAGTAAAGGTAAAAAATGCATGCCATATAGGTGACGGCTATTTGTTCTCCGTGGACTGTGAAAAATATTTAAACGATATAACGATTTCAATTTTTATTAAGAGAACGAAAAAAAGAAAGCTCAAAGATAATCTCATTTTATGCACCAGATTTAATCATATAGTGGTAGAATTTTGGTAGTATTGATGTGAAATATTGAAAAAAATAGAAATCATTGTATTCAGTTTAAAAACTAGCAAACAAATAATGTATATTACTTGTCCCAATTCTCATATTTGTATCAACAAGCAATAATGTCTTTGTGAAGTGTAGAACATATTGTTTGAGTAATCACTATTTACCAAATAACAAAACTACGTGCATTGAAATCTGTGAAAAATATCAAACCTATTTTATTGACTATTATTATTGCCGTGCACAGTGGGCAATAATACCTAATGTACTGCACAACTTGTAAGGAAACTATGCTTTCCGTATTAAATAATAATGATATCAGATTTAACTTTAAACCACTATTATAGACTTCAGATTGCCTGATCTGCATGCAATTATTATAGTTTTAGCTAAAAATAGTAATATTTTAAGAAAAAGATTATAAAATATTTAGATGTAATAATTATTTAACGTCCATAATCGTTATAATCAAATATTCAGAATATGTTTCTAGAGTAATTTGTACTGTTCTAAAAAAACAATATTTTTTATCGGTTGTACAATTATACAGGTTTTTTTTTATGATAGATATAACTTTATTTTTATATCATTTATTTATGTATTATTATAAAAACCTATATAAAAGTTAGAAAAAAAAATAGAGCATTTTGTTGGTATTTGATTATATTTTTTCTTCCGGACATTTTTATAAAAGGACATTTGTACCAAGACTTGGACCAACATGCATAAAATCTAAATTAAATCACAGGTATAGTTAGTAAAAAAATTTAACGCATTCCCAATAAAGAAAATTGAGCGTTAAAAAAAAAAAATGTTTGTATTAGAATTTAGAATAGGACTTTTTCATGCATAGGTAATACAAGGATAAGCACAAATTAAAATGCACTGTCGTAATAGATAATACAACACACCCTTCCTTCCCACGCAAATTTGGTCTAACTCATCCCTGTGACCTTTTTTGACACCGTAAAACGCGAATCGACGAGGCAGCTAAAGATCCTCTGAACTTCTCAGGACTTCAAGGGATGTTTTGAGCAATGGAAACAGAAATGGAGAAAGCGGATTTCAGCAAATGGAGATTATTTTAAAGGACATAAAATGTATTTATTTAAAATAAAAAGAATTATTGCATCAGTTCGCGATAGACCTTGTATGTATAGGTAAAAACTGATAAACTTTTATTAAAATTAAAAATACTATAAATGTACAACATTTGTTTACATAATAAAAATAAAAAATGGTAAAAATTAGGTTACACAAGGAGCTACTAAAGTTTAAAAATGACCGAAGAATGATTTTTGGGAGGTTTTATATTGTATTTCTCATTAACTTCCCAGTGTAACCAATTAGTACGGTTTCAATCTAAGAGCGAGGTGATAAATAACGTATATTTTGTGCCTGTCTGTCGACCAGACTTTTTAAAATATACTCGGTACAACCGACAATCATAAACTTAACAATTTACAAAGTATACATATTTTTTTTTTTTTATAAAACTTATTAATAACATATTTCACAATATGTTTTACAAAAAAAATATATATTTTATATTGAGCCAATAACTTAAAAATAAAATATGATTTAACGGTATTGTTAATTAACCAACGATTTCTTTTGTTGAGCTGCTTGTCTCCGTAAATCCGTTGGTATCATGGCAGTGAATAAAGTGCCCAATACTAGTGTTCCAGCCAAAAATAAATTGGCCGGTTTGTCTCCGGATGCATTGAAAATCCAGCCGTATACTAACGTGAACACTATGCCAAATACTTGAACTACGGCATTTAACATACCGCTAGATGTCCCCTCGGCTTCAGGATAAGTCAATTCAGCAGCTAACTCGTATCCTACTGCTAAATAGCCGGTCATGAAGAACCTGAAGGAGAAAATCAAAAAATTATATTGTTAATTGCTAGTTATGTATTATTTTAAAGCTTTTTTCTTACCCAAGTAAAACGGCTGATAAGTAAACTACAAAAATGTATCCGCAAGACAACGTAAACGTGTAGACAACCATACCGAGTAATGAGAAAGCATAAACGACAAGGGTAGTTTCTCTAAAAAGTAAAAAAATAAAATGGCATTAATGTTAAAACAAACTTGGACTGTTATACTTTTTAAGGCGTTCGGTATAGGCAATGTATATTTATTTGGTATGTTTTAAAATACTTTATTGATGATTCGTTTTTTTATCAGACTTTCATAGTCTTTATAACTAACAATTTTCTAAAAATCAGATCAAAACCAAGCGTCGTAAAAGTATTTTTGTATACATGCATATAGGTTTCATAAGATATGTTTATTAAAAATAATTTATCGTTATTCATACTTGAATAAGTGAGTTTTATCAAGTATACAGCCGCATGCTATAGAACCCAGCATACCGGCAAATACTATCGACAAACCTATTCTACCAGCATCTTCTCCGCTTCCCTATACAAAAGATGTATAGAATATTAATAAAAAAAACAAATTAATTATTGTACTTTAATCTATACTCTGTTCTCATTCCGAACAGAGTATAAATAGTTATCATACGAAGTTATTTACTGGGAAATAAACCAAAATGAACTGGTTCAACAATGTGGAAATAGCATAAAACGAACCAACGTTTATGCCGTAAGAAACCAATAACAAAAGAAATCCGTAATTGGCAACCAATCTCCACAAGGACTTAATGAAGCTCTTCGGGTCTCCCGAAGTGGCAGTTCTTTGTACCACTTGAGCCAAACTCGGCGGTAAAGGAGGCGCAGCCTTGATGTCTATTGAAAATGTAAAATTTCGCTTAATTCAATGTAAACACAGCTCATTAGGTAGCGCTTGTTTACTATACTTACAGCATACAATTAATGCAAATACTATTGTCGAGACGATGGCGGTGCCATAATACATTATGGACAAATTTGAAGCGATAGTATCAAAGTTGTCGCTATCTGGCACGATTAATGGCGGTAAGAGGAAGCCGAGGGCTATGCCCAACTGAAAAATAAAACAAAATGTATTTGAAATATTCTCATAGGTCATTACAATAAACAAACGCAAACACCTTTTTGGCGTGCCAATACTTGATAATCGATATTCATAGGGAATCAAAAACTTAAATAAATTGGTTTAGCCACAATGGGAGGTGTCATATTTGGGAGGTATTATACAAAGGCAGTAAGCATTCTTAATGGGTATCAAAAGGGTTTAATTTCGATTTGATTTTCGAGGATAGCAAGACTATCATTCCAGAATCCCAATATAATGGCAACGACAAGTGGTGGAATTGACACTAGCCAATTATAGGAAGTACACAAACATGATTTCTTGAAATTCCGCTCGTTGGTCATCAATATAGGTTTCCGATTTTAATAGCTGGTCCTTTAAGGCTAGGATGTCAACAAAATGTCGAGGTCTAGGGATAAAAGTCAACTAGAAACGATAAATCGTGGTTCATGCACGTTCAACGACAGTGAACTTATCCAGCACTGTATATAATGCTAACTAATCTATAGGTATATTTACCTGGTTTCCGAATACTCCAATGGAGCACGCAGTCGACACTTCTGTTGGCCCAAACCAGACGGCCGACAAACGTGGCGGCAAGTTCAATATGAATACTTGAGAGCTGGCTACTATTGTTTGGCCTATCATGGTCAGGTAAAACCTGTCTTGGCTGGCCGACGCCACTTTGAACCAAGCACCGATGGCCGTACCCAAAGCGCCGGCAATCATGACGAACCTGAGACCCTACAAAAGGAAAAATTCAGCAAAAGCTTGATGCTGAAGTTGAACTGTACTAAACTTCTTGAAAATGACCATACCATTTTGTCGAGTATCCACGACGCGGGAAATATGAGTGGTATGTAGGTGACCATGAAAACGATGGACGTGAAGTCAACGGCAAAGGTGCTCACGTCATAGAACTTGGTTATGACGTTAGAAATAATGCTGTACTGTATCCATTGTGCCGCATTGCACATCGAACACAAAACAAACAGTCCCAACATTGACCACCGTCTTTTGTAAAGTTTGCACTCGGTAATGACAATGGGTTGTAGTGGCACCGGTTGGTTCGTGGCTCCATACTCCATAATGAAACAAATTGATCGTTGTCTGAATGAGCTTTCAATTAGATGTCATCATGAATCTGTATTGGTCCACGAGTGAAGTCTGTAATCATTTACACAGCCATTAGACAATTTTATAAAAACTATGCTTTTGTAGGGTTGAAGAGCCTAGTAATAGTGTTATGTGTTCGTATAGTCTTGGTGTCAGTTTTTAGGGCTGAAAGTGTTTTTAATTTTTAAGGTTACCTGGTTTTGACTACGTCTTTTTTTGGAAACAGATTATCAAAAACAGTGTTTGGATATTTAAACAAATTATATATAATTGATTATTGGCGAATCAGACTAATTTTTATTCCTCTCGATTTCCAACGAAAATGTAATTACCATCTAACAAATAGTGAAACCCTTGTTGTATGTCTACGTAAGAAAGCACAATATTTTAAATACAATAAAAGCTTCTTTGGAAAAATATTTTAATTCATCATTAAATAATAAATAATAAATTATATACTAGCTTTAGCTTTAAATCAGGAATTCGTCAAAATTGGCCTATTTTTTAAATTAAATAGAATGTGTAGTATCCTCTTAAGATTTTAAGGAATATTATGGATTATTAAGTTAAAATAAATATATATATTTTGTTATAATCAAATTATTAACATTTCATAAATTACTTAGCGGTATCAAATCAAAAGCTGGCACATAAAATGGCAAAAAATACAATAGATATAAAATCATTGAGCGTGTAAATAGTTAAGTACTTCATTATTATTAAGTACTTGTAGTCGATCTGAATAATTCAATTATTGAACAATACCTAATTATGGGAAATGCAAAGTGATTGGCGGATAGGAACATGGCGTGATACCACCTGATACTTAAAACCATGACGTTCTTGACCTTAACAGATGAAGTACAATATGTGCGTGTCGAGAATCTTGGCACGTATTCGAGAGTTGAATAATTGTTATCGAAAGTAATGCTGTATAGACATATTATAGTCCACATGTACTTAATATTGTCGATTTTTTTCTTATGAGTCAAAATTAAATCATTATATTTCTAACGTGCACGCGAACAGTTCATACATCAGATGTGTACAAACAATTTTATTAATTATTAACATTGAAATGTTAAATTTTTCAAGATGACAACACAAATTACAACCATAACATTGTATTTTTAAAGGCACTTATGTGAAATTTGATGTTTTTAACTTTTATAGTATTTGATGAAAATGAAACATTAAAAACCCATCTATTTGTTTTACTTAGATAATTCTATTTGTAATTTTTAAAATAAACAAATAACACAAAACTTATTGCTATGCATTTTGTATAAAACAAACATTGGTGACACGACTTGTTATAGTTATTTTGTATTAAACACTGATTTTGTTGTATCATCATTTTTTTTCGAATAAAGCCTTTGACCTTAGGTCTCAACATTAATGACTAATGGTACTGGTATTTTAATAACAAAACAAATACGTTTCCATTAGATACATGCTTATGTTATAACTATATTTATATATAGTTATAAATATTAAAGTTATATATATATATATATATATATATATATATATATATATATATATGTATATAATAATTAACTATAGATAATCGTACATATATATATATATATATATAATAATTCAAAATAATGAGGTACGTCCCAGTGGGAATATCATAGTTGCCCTATAAATGGAATAAAAATTGAACTGTGAAACATTTTCTTTTTATCATTAAACAAAATAGTAAGCTGCTAATTAGCACATTATTTTTTTTACTTTAATACAAATTATAGTCTAATATATTATGCTGAAATAAGAAATTATTTACAAACTTTTAAAACTGTATATTATGTACCTAAATTTTATATTTTATATTTTCTATTATATGCTAACTATTCAGTTTCTGTATACTTTTAATTTTCTACAGATTTCCACGGTAAGAAACTAGTTATGTAACGAAAACAAATAATATAATTATTTAATAGTGATTACATCACATGTTGTTGGTGTAATAAATATATAATAGGATCCGTTAAAATTCCTATGATATTAAATTTAATACTTGGGCTGATATAGTCAATTTGCAAAACCAATTTCAAAAACGATTTGTTATATTGTTTTTAACGTTTTTTTTTGTCTTTCTCCATAAGAAGTGGTGCGAACCAAAAGGGTACCTATAAAATGAATCTTCAATTTAGTAAGTTTTAGTATACATAACTAATTTTATAGATTTTGAAAAAATGCTACTTGTGCCATTTTGATTTTCAACGCTTTAGAATTTTATATGCATTTAATTCAGTCCAGGTGGCAAAATATTTTATGTGCAATAGATTAGTAATATAAGCGGCACCCAATGGCCACTGTAATCACCTTATAGATACTCTTTTTGCGTATGAGTAGTAATGCGACTTAAATTGAAATTATGTAAATGAATAGCAATAAACTGTTGCCCGTTTAAATATGAGAACGTGCTTCTTGTGTAAATGTAAAAAAAACTTTTTTAACGTTTTACTAAGTTATCTTCACGCCGTAATTGGTCCTCTATCCTACAGGTAAGACTGCAGCCTATTGCTTATTAACATAATACCTTGTATTCATAACTAATCATGATTTTTTTTTTTTGCTACTTTAACATAATTCATACTGATACTGATGCTAAACGTGGGTAGATGTAAATTGAATGAGATGCGTAACGAATAATGGCTTATCAAGAAAAGACCTTCACTTAATTCGCCGTTAACGAAAAAAAAAAACGTTTTTAATATGCTCCAATCTAAAGTTTATATATATATATATATATATATATATATATATATATATTCATATATGTCAAGTTAATTTAAATATATATTTAATAAGGAACTTCAATTTGTGCATGTAAAGTGTTTAATGCATATTTCCACACGCCGTTAAACAAACAATAATTTAATGCACACATTGTGCAACTTTTAGGTAGATCGGCGTTCGAAATTTAATAAACACAAGCTATTTAAAAAAAAAAAATGTAAAATTAAGTAGTATATAGGTTCAAATAAACGTTTAGTAGCTTAAACGGTTCGAAGACTGTGTTGTTTGCATATTGCACTTATACTCAAAGTCCATTATATGATACTATATTGCACAATGTTCAAAATCAATAAACGATTAATTATTTTTATAACATTATTGACGTGGCATACAGCTAACTGCTAATAACGCATTTTAGTTTATGATTAAATGTTTACCAATTAGTACTTGCTCTAAAAAATGTATCAAATTTTATTGCAAATTGAATTTTGGATTTTAATTTTTTTACCTATTTTAAGGGGATTTAAAAAAAAAGTTATACTTATGTTAATATGTATGTTTGATGTTATCAAATTATTAATAGTTAAGATAAGCTAATCCACACTTGTACACATATTAATCACTACTATGTTATGATAATTATATATGAGGTAATAAAGAAAAAAAATCTTACAGTTAGAATAATTAATATCATATCTGGTTGTTAATTTTTAAATGCTTAAAAAATATAATCACAGAACCTCGAAAGGAAATTGTTCTATTTTATTTATTATTATTGTTAACAATATTGATCGTTTAATTAATTCATTATATTATCAATTTCCAATCATTAATGAATTTCAACTATTTGGTTGAGGATTATGAATTTTATAATTTCCAATTATGCCGTTAAAGTGGTTTATTAATGCTTGTTTGATTAAGCACAATCATAGTTTTTGTGAATAATACACTTATGACTTATGACTAACTGATTGTCAAATATAATAATTAAAATATGAAAATTTGAAAAATTAGCTCAAGTTAAACTGCTGACCCTAAACTTTTCTGAATACAGACTTAATAATATTATTACTGAACATTTAACAGTACAACAACAGGGAGATCAATTTTAATAGTTTAATCTGTACTTTGTAAACGATTAGGCGTGGAATTCAAAAAGCTCGTACATCGGTTGTGAATGAAATACCTACAATGAAAACTGAAATTTGTTTGAGTGCAAAAATAATATTTTTAACTCATTGACATATAATTTTTTTCTTAATCCACCGATCAGCTGACAACTATAAAATACAAGTTGGCGTCTAAAAATTGATTGTTATTACACAATCCCATCTACCAAAACTACATAGTTAATATTTATGAAATATTTTTTTAAGTGTCTGCAAGGACTACTACTTTGTCAAAATATAGTTTATCACGTGTACGATTGTCTCAGCATTATATCGGGTGATTTTTTAACACTACACTTTCCATATATGTACTTTATACATGACAAACGGGAGACAATCAGAGATTACACTTTTTTTCTTAGATAACTAGAATTTTTTTATCGGTGCCAAAAGGCCGGTTTATTGAGTTATAACTAGATTATTAGTTATTATATAATACACGTATATAAAAGTTTTAGCTTAATTTTAAATGTAAAAATAAATAATAGGTATTTCTGCCTTAACAGCTATTTTAGTTGTTTAAATGTATTCTTTATTTTTTTTACGTTTTTTATGAACAGTAGTGACGAAAAAAAAACAATATTTTAGCTTCCAAGTTCGATGCGTAACTGAGAAGGTATTAGAAGGTATTCCTTTTAGTTTTTTACAATGATAAGTTTTTATTTTTTGTGTCTTGACTCGCGATATATTGTCATGTAGCAACTCTACAGATCAGAAATCGTACTTGAAAGGTACTTCAAAAATTTTAAAAGTTCATCTCTTCCCCTTCAAAATCGATAAAAACACGAAAAAAAGTACAACTACATATTTTTAACTTAAAATTACGAAACGCTGTAACTTTATTTAAATTAGTCGAATTGATTCCAAATATTTATGAAGTTTTCTTTAAATAAAGTACTAACTACGTGTATACTGTGCGAAATTCAAAAAAACATTTATCCTAGAAGGGGTAGAAACTTTTTCTTTATTTCTATTTTTCCAGAAAACTTTTAGGACTTCAAACCTGAAAATACCCTTAAGATAGACTTAGTGTTGGACTAAAACATATTATATATTTTTTAAAAATCTCTAGTCAAACTTTTTTATTAAAGAAAACCAAAAAGGGGGAAAATTACATTTTGATAAGGTATACTTAATGAGGTTGCATAGTTTTTTAATTATCATCTCGGGAAGATATTTATTTATTTGAGAAATTTTTTTTTCTTGGGTACCATTTTTATTTGAAAATGTATATCTTTTTTTTTTCGGTATAAGTGTATTTTTATAATACTTTTATATACTATATACTAGTTTTCTATTATTTTTACAAAAAAAGTAAAAAAATTTATTTTAATAATTTTTACAATTTTATTTTATAGTTAAAAAACAAAACTCTTCAGCATGAAAAACTTCAAGAGTGACTATATTTAGATATAAATGCAAGTACGTGTATGCGATTTTTAGAGCGTCGTAAAAAAAACAAAAATATTCATAAATGTAATCGAAGAAGTTTGACTTTCAATTGCATGTCTTAAGAGCATTTTTTCTGATTTTTGTGTCGAAAATCGATGTAAAATTTATTTCTGTTTAAGATTTCTAGTCCTTCCCGTATATTTCTAGATGGATTTTGTCTAACGGTGTTTATCTGTTTCTACTTTAACAAACAGCTCCTATCAATTCAAATTTAAAGCAATAAAGGTGGGGTAGTTGATTTTTCGCGACTCGAGTTTCGTCTTGGTCGGACAAAAACAAACGACACATAACGAAACCCTTTATCGTTGGCTACTGTCGACGATAAAAAGCGTAGGACGTGCGTTTTGGCCCGTGGCACGGTCGAGTCTAATAATAATATTACAATGCAACGCGCAGTGGCACGTGCCCGTCAACTACGTTTTTTTACAAACGCAATCTGCGCTGCGGCGGCCGCCCAGGCCTGCGGTGTTCGCTGCAAGACTATGCAGCATGTGACAACGTTGCATGCACAGTGCACACACAAACGATACCGGCAGCTAGCTAATACCTATGCAGGTGAATTCGAATTAATATTATAATATTATTTACCCAAGTGCGGCGATGCGACTATTGGACTCGGGAGAGTGTGGGATTTCCGTTGATTAAATATGAATACAATTTAACCGTTGCCGATGTTAAAACAAAGAGATAATAAGACGATCTGAACCCGACGTTTTTATTTTATTCCAATCACAGACACGGCGGTGGCAGACGTACTCCTTCGAGCAAACCGGGTAACGCACTGAGACGGCAAACCGGTTGCGGTGTCCAACGGCGACGGACGCCACCGGTGACGTAGCGTTCGTCTGCCGGTACGTTGCGTCGGCCCGAGGGAGCTTTCGACGCGAGCGCGCGTGGCGACCGAGTCGAGGCGGCTCGACGGCACATGTCCGACAACCGGATTATGTTAATAAATTGACATGGTCGAAGTTTATTAAAACGTATTTATTCTTAAAAATTGACTTTTTAGAATTGCTTAAAACCCGCCCAACTTCAATATACTTAACAGTTAACACCCATTACAATAACGTCAGGAAATCGATCTAGCAATTGAAAATAAAATATAAAATAATAATGGCAGACTGTCTGTTATGTATTTAATGAACGCGTGTTGCGCGTTAAAAAATTGCCTATATATCTTTAATCCTCAAGATAGATAATGTGGCGTTTTCTTAAGCTGTTTTGTGTACAAAAAAAAAAACACTTAAAAAATTCAGTCAATATTTTCTCAACAATTATCGAGTTCATTAATTTTAATTTTTAAGATTAGAATGTATTCTAATCTTAAATACCATCCATGTTTTGTTAAAAGTGGCTCCGACTTTGACACGCATTCAAATGAAAAAGTGTACTCTAAGGCACCTTATCATAAATACCTTACCATGAGTTATTTAATCATTTGAAATGCACTCTAATGCATTATGCTCAATGTTAGTTGCAAGAACATACACTTATGTACTTCAGACCACTCTCTTTGATTTTAATTTTTAATGATGAACATTTTTTAAAACCCTGTTGCAAACATTATAAGTGGCTATTCACTTACCTAGTATATAATATTATAGCCGTGCGCCACGAAGAACATTTTTTTGGTTTCGTCGACTTTTTTTTTCTGTAGGAAAAACTAGGCCATCATACTTTGTATTTTTGCTTACGGCACACAATTCGAACGGTTTATAAAGTAAAAACGATAATAATAATATTATTTAGCTTAAAAGTTACCATGTGTAGACGGTGTTCGATAACAACTAAATAATATAATATTTGTGTATAATTATATATTATCCTAAGTGTACAAGGTAAAAAAAAAATAATAATACTGATGTTCAACGGTAACCTCTATGTGCGCTGAGCACGGCGAGGCAAATACTGCACAATATTATTGTATAGGTATTATTGTGTCCTAATCTATTACGTTATTCATATATTTCAAAGGGTGGGTCCCAAAATGATTGAGCAATACCTTTTAATGCTTTTGGCAACTATTAAATATAATATATGTTTTTTTTCATGTCGTAACTAAGGCGATTTCGCAAAACATCATATCATACGCACTTAAGGCTTTGGGGGGGTAAATTATTGTTTTATAAATAAGTGTATCTCGATTTTAAATATTAAAATAATACCGCATAAACATGTTTATAACAAAACAACTATACGGAAGTGTTGTTTAGATTCAATTCAGTCCATAATTAATATACTACCCACTTGTTGTCGCGCTGATATTTTTATTTTCCAATATTGACTATACCACATTATACAGATATACATCTTCATCTACACCGACTACTGCTGCGTCCGCCTACATGATTTTTTTTCACGCACCGTAAAATATAGTTATCTGCGATGTTGGCACAAAATACCAATTGGATAGTCGCTATACTATTATGTACTTTCTTACTGTCACGCATAACAGAGTATTTTCGAAGAATATATATAACACGGATGTCTCTAGCGGAATTGGGTTAAATACAAAAAAAAAAAATACAAAAACTGATAACAAATTTTGTAATAAAATAGGTACATAAAAAAAAAATTCTTTATCATTAATGGCTTGTTCAAGATGGAAAATGGCTAAGTTCAAGACCCGTTTTTTGATTTTCGTTATGAGCTTTGTGGGCCGCTTGTCTTTTCAGGCTGGTCGGTATGAACACGGTCAACAGACATCCGATAGCCAGCAGTCCGATGATCATCATATTGGCTACCATGTCCCCCATTGTAGTAAACACCCAACTGTAAATTGACGTCAGGAAGAAGCCTATTAATTGCGTGCCACCGTTGAGTAGTCCACTAGACGTTCCCTCGGCGATGGGGTAAGTCATTTCGATGGCAAGCTCAAAGCCGACCGGTAGGTATCCAGTCATGAAAAGTCTGTGTATCAAAGCAATGAATGCATTAAACGGGTTTCAAGTGGTATCGAACGGTTTTCGTTTAGCGAGAGCTTGTCTACTATGATATAATTTAAGCGATGAGCTCAATTTCTTTTAAAAAAATTTGTTGTTTTATAGGTTATTAAAAAAAAAATGATTGTTAATAACAATTTATACTTTTAATGACATTTGTTGGTATTTTTGGAGCGCTATCAACTTAAATGCTAACTTTTTGAATTAAGAATGATCTGCTGAAAATGTTGACTGGTCGATAACCAGTTTTAAATAAATACTTTGAGGTCATTAATGTTTAAACTTAAGACCAAAGTTTGAGTGCGATTAATTAATCCGCGTAGATCAAAATAATACTACAATCCACTTTTCTTCTTATCCGAATTTTTAAACTTTTTAACTTCAAAGTTATTTATTAAAAATGGTTATCGACCAGCCGTCGATTGATTTTAGTCAGCGAGTTATTCTTAATTTAAAAATGTAATGCAATTCATAAACAATGCTTACATAAAGCTGATAGCGCTCAGGAAAATTTGGTAATTTTATCATGTCATCAAATAACAATAGTACAGTTTTAAAAAATAAATACTATACATTTTTAATTATTTTAAAAGTAAATGAGTGGATAAATTTAATTGTATGGCACTGTGTTATTGTCTTGGATTAATTTAAAAATCCTAAAATATTCATAGCATTGTTTGTATTAGTTATAGCCCTATAGGAATGTATCAATGCAAATGGACTATACACGTCTACTTACTATTCGTGGCATAAAACTACATTGATTTCCCACACTAATGCTTACCCCAACAGCGAAGCAGTTATATATATCGTCCATATGGATTTGCTGTTCGCTAGACTGAACGTATAGATCACCATAGACACCAACGTGCTGGCGTATATCACCAGAGTTGTCTCTCTAGAAAAATAATAATAGTTATTGCGTTCAATATAAATTTCTTTGAGCAAACGTCATAATATACAATAGTTTTAAACGATAATGATCTATAGTATTGATCGTTTACATTAATAATATACTCGTATTATTAAGTAAGAGGTATTGAAATTAAAATAGGTACTAAAACATGAGACGAGAAAAAAAACGAAAAGTTTAATCGAATTGTGTGCTTTAACTTTTACTTGTATAAATGAGTCTTGTCCAAAATATAACCACAAAGTATCGAGCCGCCCAAGCCGCATAGTACCAACGTGAGGCCGATACGTCCGACGTCTTCTTCGTGGCCCTGAATGAATTGTAAAATAGATACAATTTAATATGACACGTTTAGGTACGGATGGTTTGCGATCGAGACCAGGATGCACACACCGGAAAATACAGTAGAATAAATTGATTCAGTAGAGTGGATATGGCGAAAAAGGCGCCGACGTTTATGCCGTAAGAGATCAGCAATAGAACGTACCCATTAGTTTTCATTAAGGCTTTCATTGAGCTTATGAATGCGTCGTTCACTATTGTCGGGTCGTCTCTATTTTGCCGTTGAACGATTTGAGCGTGACTCGGTGCTAACGCGGGTTCGGCTTTCAAAACTAAAAAAAATAGTAGGTATACAAAATATATAGCTTCATTAGTTTTTTTTTTTTTAAACGTCGAGTATAAAGATAGTATTTGGTTTTTCTTTTGCGTCAAAGTACTTTATACTTAAGGTCTCTGGGACCTGAAATACGCACAAGTATATTTATTGTTAATCACATTTGACTAGTATTTCCATAATATTAATCAATTGTTTGTATAAGTTAAATAAGACCATCCCGAAACTACCGAAAGATGTAACGATTTTTTCCGTTTCATTATTTGTATAGGCCATTAATTTATTAAAAAAACGGTTGAACCGAGCTGACCTTTTTTAGAATATGTATTAGGCGTACTCGATACTCATATTAAACGATAATTATTATCTGAAATTTAAAACTTGTCGAAACCGAAATAAAAATAAAATATGTACTTAGGTGCACTTTTATACAACTAAAATATTTTAATGTACATTGTACAACTAAACAAATGTTGCCGTGCTCAGAGCATATTGTACATATACAAGTTCTCTCTCATGGAATATCTCGAATATTAGGCTCAAAAATAAAAGTGTGAGTTTTACTTGCCTGTCAATACTTACGCCAAAGAACTAATATGAATACGATTGAGTTGACTATAGCGAAAGACAGAAACATTGTCCACAATTCGTTTCCTATCTCGTCCAAGTTTTCACTGTCGTGAACCATCATTGGTGGGATTAGAAAACCTAAAGCTGCACCTAACTGAAACATATAAACACATGTTTCAACGTATTACTGTACAAATTCGAGTAGATGTAGAATAATGTACATTATGATTTACGACTTGTGAAGAAAAAATGGAAAATGTATATTATTTTATTGTAGAGTCCTGGTCAGGCAATTTTTAAACTCCAATTTAGACTTAATTCTGTAGGACTAATATTATTATTATAACAGCTTATGTAATCAATTTATAATAATACATTTCTCTCTCCTTCCTACCAAAGGATTTATATTAATATTACCTATTCGTTTACTACATGTAAACAAAATCTATTGTAATTGTTGTGTGTTAAATTAAGATTATGTTGTGAACATAGAATAGTGAGTAGAGCCCCTTCCATAGATTAATGTTCTTATAGACTAAAGTAGGTTTGGTAAAAATGGCTAGCTTATTAATTGCAATTTGTTATGCCTTCCCTTAAAACGTATGTATAGTTCTAACTTATTAACTTGTCTAAAAATATACTTTACTGACCTGATAGGTATATTTTTTAATATAAAAATGTTATTTTGGCAGCTGTTGCAGTTTGTCACAAGTCATGTCGACCCTCTATTTAAATGTTTACAATACACAAATAAACGTGCTTAGCTATATGCATCATACATATCGTATCCACGAGGTCATTGTCGTTAGCACTAACTATGAATATTGAAACATCCTGTCATGTGCTCGATTAGTAAAATATGATATACAACTGTATATAATACTTATATATGTATATACCTATGCATATATTGTAATAGAAGATGCAATCTTAACAAAATTGAGAAATAACTTACAGACTCGGTACTCTTATTCATTTTGAGATTTAGTTAAATGTATATCGACCTACTTGTAAAAAAACTGATACATATATAAGACCTATTCTTAATAAAACAGAGCTAATTGAGTTTAATTTAAACTATATACATATTAATTATTTTCATATTATTTTTATTTTCTATGAAGTTGGAAACTATTTTATTTATTTTCTATAAATACTAATATAAGGATAATTCAATCATGCTACAGAGAATATCATTGCACAACTAGGTAGTATTGTTTTATTTGGACTTTGGCTAATAATTTGTTTCATGGTCAGAATATATCAGAAAATATTTTTATTATGAAAAAACCTCATGTAAAATATAATATATAAGTAATTTGAAAAATATAATTCTGTGTCACGAGACGTTGTTATTAAAAAGGCATGTGAGCCATAATATATTTTGTTTTTAAATTTGACAATGTGTATAAAAGTAGGAGCATCTTTTTATTTTCAAGTAATAGACTAATTTAATATGGAATATAGTGATTTGTGACTGCATGCATAGAGATCAAATGAATATGGACGGATAATTGTAGTGTAGGATGCAAAGATCCCACGTGGATTGTAAAAAGCATCAAAAGGAACAGCTGTCAGGAGAAAGAAACAGACTGTTAATAAAGTAATAATAAACCTGGTTGCCAAATACTCCTAATGAACACGCAGTAGATACTTCAGATGGACCAAACCACACGGCTGCTACTCTGGATGGCAAACTCAAGATAAACGCTTGCGAACAAGCGACAAGACCTTGACCGAGCAAAGTTATCAGAAACTTATCCGGTTCGGCCGAGAACACTTTCAACCAAGCGCCTAATACCGTACCGGCGGCGCCAACCACCATTACTACTCTGAGACCCTAAAAAAAAATAATTAAACGTTCAATCGCCATGTCAAGGGTTTTGAAATTTATTTTTGTGAAATATTGTAATGACATATTTCTAATAACGTTTATAAAATATTCCAAAACAATGAAAAATATACAATTTAAACGAGTTTCCATCCTACGCGACTACTTATAAATTAATAACGCTAAAAAAAGAATGTCTTCATATAAAATGCTAAAAAAATCTTTTAAGCTATTCAAAAAAAAACTTTATAACAAACTAATTTTTGTCTATTTAAAAAAAATGTATCAACATTTGAATAATAAAATTAAATCACATAAATAAGATTAATTATTAACATATAATGGTTGAATAATGAGGTTTGTTTATGCAAACTAAAATTCTATTTCTTTTGATTTTTTTGTGAATCCTAGTCTGATCTTAGGATTTCTATAGCACGTCGAATTGTCCTTGTTTTTATTCACTACCAAATTTCCAAGCAATTTAGAAAATTAAATTCAATATTTTCGTATTTTGTTTTGAGTTTACAGAACACGCCATATCATATGATACATATTTTTTACATCTTTATAGACACTAGAGAAATTCTAAAGCCAGATTCGCATTTTGTGTAATTATATTATATAGGTAGATACATTTTTGGTTCTTATTTCAAAATTGTGTTGTACAGTGTATTTTGTATAATAGTATTTTTCCAAAATACCGTTTGGTTGCCAACTATTAAATATTATACACAGAAAAAATATATTTCTAATGGCATTGAATTATTTCAGACATAGTCAACGTAACGGTAATAACCGCTAAATGGAAATAATAACAATAATTATATTTTATACACGAACCCGACATTTCCCGTCCTCGTGTGAGATAAATATTATTGGAGAACTTTTAAATTATGAATATGATATAAATGTATCAGTCAGTACTCGCAATAAATACGAAATGTATCCTTTAAAAACATTAAATAACTTCAAAACAATATTTCGGTTTCAAAATTATTACTATCAATGATTATGGCGACCTTATTGACTATTGGCAGATCATTGGGTCGTGATCCATCGCTAGCTTATTGTATCATTTTTTAATTTAAGTGCTTCGCAAATACACGTGCAATCATTATAAAATACAGCCTATTGCACGAATTTAAATTACTTTCTTGCTCGAGGAGTTTGGCATTTATTCGAGTCTAAAGCCCAATATTTAGTTAGTTTTTTATTTTTTCCCCTCTATTTTTAGTAACGTAACAAAAATTGAAAGTCCTATGCGTCCTGCAAGAGTTCTTTTATCTAAAATAAAAAAAAAATCTATTTTGTAACTGGACTACTACGAGGTGTGAGAGTTTTTCTTGGTAGAATTTTTTTCACTACCAAAATAGCTGTAATTCAACTAAAAAAAATGTTTGTTAAAATTGGACCTAATTGGTTATAATATAATTAAAGCAAAAAATAGGTTGACATAGATAATCAAAATTAAAAAAATTATCATAGTGGGCGACTTTGTAATTTTCGCGAGCAGGTGGCGAGCACTCTTAAGAGATAATTACACTTCATCCACTATCAGACAATTCTTGGACTGATTCCTACAAAATGACTCCAGGCATTTTTTCTCCAAACGCACCAAGATAATAATAATTATTATTATACAGGTGATCCGGTGTCTTATTCTTATAATACACTCAATTTCTCTTAAACGGATTGTAAATTTGTATGTATTTTTAGTAGGAACCATAACTTGATAACGAAAACATCCAGACATACATACCATATTTTGTCAATAGTGTGTAATAACTAATTTCTACTTTAAAACCATTAACTGAATCATTTCAAATGACCTTCTCTCATCATACTATACAAATGCAATGACTATGATATCGAGTGATTACCTTTCGATCGAGTAACCAAGACGCCGGTATCACTAGTGGAACGTATACCAGCATGTATATGGTCGACGTCAAGTCTACTAAAAAGTTAGACACCCCGTAAAACTTGACCGTGATATTGGATATGATGCTGTACTGTATCCAATGGGCCGCGTTGGACATTGAGTACAACATGAACACGACTAGCACGACCCATCGTGACTTGTACAGCTTTAAGACGTATTGCTGTTTTTCGTTGTCGGTCGTTGAATGTACTTGTTTGTCGTTGATGGCTTGCTGCAGTTGTTGTTCGTTATCGATGTTTTGCATGACCGAAGCGAAATTTGCCATAGTCCCTTTGGGAACTCTTTACCTATGTACCTCAGTGTTGAATAGAAAAAAAAAAATGAAAAATTTGCGTTTGATTATCGAGTAAGGTTACGGAATCCGAACTGAAATATTGTTATAGTTCTAAGGACTAAGACCGTGCATTAAGGTGATTCGCATCACAAATCCCATCGCAATCACTGGTAGACGATATCTGTTCGTGACTGGATAGGTTTTAATGGCCAATGTAACACAGCTAGGTTATCACCCAACATTCGTATGGACTAATTTGTTCTAGAGAGGGGACTGTTCCAGTCGTAGACAGTGATTTGAACTCAACCTTTAACACCGTAGGTAGATACACTTTTAATACCGGCATTTATTGCTAAAAGTTAAAATAGTAAACAAAATGTTATTTTTATAAACTCAAACGTAATATTTACTTAGTACGCACAATAAGTTATCTACATTCTATAACCAACGCTTGTGTTGAAGGGAGAGAGCTACAATTACAGATAAAAATTAATTAAAAGGTACAACATATATCAACAAATTCTCGAAATAATTTGACTACTAGTAAACATATACACAATTATTATTCTAAAGATAATTATAACCAGTTAATAACAGTTATCACTTATTTTTACATAATATCGACTGTTAGAAGGTAAAAGGGCGTAAGCGCCAATTTCAAAATTGTTCAGGAGAGCCGAAAAATCTAATATCACGCCCATTCTATGATGCGTACCTAACCTAACCTAACCTCATGTTAAAACATCGATTGTTGATTATAAACTTATGATATCAATCGATGTATAATTATGCCATTTACGACAATATGCAAAAAAAGTCGAAAAAAGTTTTGAAAAAATGGTCGCTTACGCTTTTTTACCTTCTAACCGTCGATATATCCTACATCATTGCACGAGGTATCATATGTTTTAAACTTTTTTTTTTCTTATCGATTTAATTTAAAAGGCAGTCGCGGTTGATACAAACACGTGTAAAAACATCTTCAAGAACTTCCAAATCTTTTCAGCATATACAATAAGAAAATATGCTAACAATGTAATAAATGACTTGAAGACTATGAGTAGGGAAGCTATCCAGTGATAGGACCCTATGACATGTTTCGGCTAGAAATTAAACGGTAGCAATACAATTTAGGAGGTCTTGATACCAACGTCTTTTAAGACGACGAGGGGGGTTGTTCGGGATAGCAGCTGTGTGCTGGCTTGCTATTAATGGATTCGAATGGAGGAGTAATCTAGAGTGGAATTTTGTATAATGAGTCTTAACTAAATTTTCAACTGATTCGATGTGTAAGTCATTGTGGAGGGTGAGGTTGGAAACATACCATGGAGCGGACGTGATTGTACGGAGGGAAATCGATTGGAAAGCTTCTATTCTTTTTAGTTGGGATCGTTTGGCACAACCCCATATTTGAGCTCCGTATGACCAAATTGGTCTTAACATTGACTTATAAATAAGAATTTTGTTATGAAGCGGTAGTTTGGATTTCAGTATAGGACGTAGTAAGTGCAAACGAGTATTTAGAGACTTCCTTTTTGATTTTGGTGGGGGCCCCAGGTTAGTCTTTTATCTAAAATAATACCTAGATATTTGACTTGAGACAAGGAGGGGATAGGAACTTCTTGGAGGGTGAGAATAGGCGTATTTTTTTTGTTGAGTGTAAAAGAAACATGTACAGATTTGTCTGCATTAATATTAATTTTCCAGTTTGAGGACCATTTTCCAATTTGATCGAGGTGTTGTTAAAGAGCATTAAATGCTTCGGGGGGTCTCTATTGGAGAATAGCTGTGTCATCGGCGTAAGTGGTTAGAATAGTGTTTTGGGTGTGAGGGATGTCTAAAGTGAAAATGTTGTAGAGGTCAGGAGAAAAATCACTTCCCTGAGGAACTCCTGCTAATATATAAAAGAGGGAGGAAAAGGCATTACCATGACGAACTTTAAATGTACGATTTTCAAGATATGATCGAATTAGTAAATAAAGAGGAGCAGGGAGGAATCATTTGATTTTATACAACAATCCGGTGTGCCAAACTCTTTCAAAGGCTTGTACTACATCCAGGAAGACGTCCGGACAATACTTTTTGTTTTTAAAAGAAGAAGAAATTACATCGACTAGCCTGTGCACTTGTTGTATGGTGGAATGTTTTACACGAAATCCAAACTGTGCATTGGGTATTACATTTTGTGTTTCCATAATTGGTCTTAATTTTTTCAGGACGATTTTTTCGAATAGTTTTCCGAGCACTGAGAGTAGACTAATGAGTCTATATGAGGTTGCTAGATTGGAGGGTTTACCTGGTTTGAGTATGAGAATGATTATGGATAATTTCCATACGGCGGGGAAATAAGACAATCTCAACATTGAGTTAAAAATAAAAGTTAGGAGGACAATTGTTTTTTAGGAAGATGTTTTAGAATCTTGTTCGTTATCAAGTCATGACCGGGGGATTTATTAGGCTTTAATCTTTGAATCACATTTACAATTTCAATTGGGGAAACATGTTTAGTAGGAAGAGACATAGTAAAGGTAAGGTAATGGAGTGTCAAGGAAGTTACTTATTTTTCTAAATGTATGGTATTTGGAATAATGTCAGGATGAGGTATAAAAATATTTGAGAGGTGTTCCCCAAACAGATTGACTTTATCGAGGTGTGATAGGGCGAGCGACCCGTCAAATTTTTGAATAGGACAGGAAAATTCTTTTAAGAAAGTAGTCTTGTCGAAAGGAAGTCTGGATCTTTGCCAGCGGGAGCAGGCCCTGCGTTTTTCAGCGATTAATGCTTTTATATTGGGAGGTAAAAGATAAGAATTATATTTTGAGTGACAGTGCAGATTAGGTGGTAAGAACACTCTTTACAGCAGATTGGATTAAGCTGACTAGTTGGAGCGCTGCAGATTCTATTTCATTGCATGTTTTAAGGGAAATTTTTAAGTTATATATGATTTTCTAATGTCGTAGAAAATCGTTTTCAGTTGACTGGACCTTTGGATAGGGAGGGACGAGGAGGAATAAGAAGTGGAGGTTCCATAATGTTTAACATAACGGGGGAGTGATCGGAAGACAGGTCGCATATGTTTTGAATAGTGTGGTTTATGTGGTTGGGAATTGACGATATAAAAAAATCTAGTAAATCGGGTTGTCTATTCGAGTGAGTAGGCCAATAAGTAGGACCGGTGGGTGAAATAACTGAAAACCCCTTTACCTGTATGGAATTATAAAACAGTCGACCTCTAGGATTTTCAACCCGACTACCCCACAAGAGGTGTTTGGCGTTGAAATCTCCCCCGGCTATAAATGTACGCTCTAATGAGGACAAGAACTGGTCTAAATGGAGCTGAGATATACATGGCCGGGGAGGACAGTATACTGCTGAAAAAGTTATAGGAATATGATTTATTGAAGTTGAGACACTTGTTGCTTGGATGGTAGGGATTTGAAAGTACGGTAGTGGATGGTGTTGAGGATGAGATTAAAATAGCGGTACCCGCGTGTGACGTACCATCCGGATGATTGGTTTTGTAGATATTGTAACCCAGGAAAAAATGTTTGGAACTGGAAGTATAATGGGTTTCAGTGATTAGAGCTAAATCAATTTGATTCTCTAAAAGAAAGTTTAATAGTTCGGATTCTTTTTGTTTGAGGCCGTTAGCATTCCAGAGAATGATTTTAAGTGATTTATTATTTATTTGATTATTTATGATTATTTAAAATTAGTTTATTAATTACGGTGGTAAATAATAGGATGATGAGGGAGTTAGAAGTGATGGTGTTAGATGACATTTCTATCTACAAGGCGTGAAATGACTGTGGTCAAGAGGGACAAAAGTGGCGTGATTATTGATTTAAACTCAGTTATAAAGTTCGTTAATACTGTAGTAATGTCTGTTGAGTTTTGGTCGTTATTTTTTTCGGAATTATTGTTAAATTGGAGGTTATTGGAAGTAACCTGAGAGTAAGAATGGGAGTTTTGAGTAGTTTTATTAGGTGGTTGTGTCGGAGCGACGGTTTGTTGAGGGGTAATTACATTGTGGGGTGGGTTTTTTGATAAAGGTAGACGAAGACGTTGGAGATCATTACCTGGATAAGGTTTGCCGCGGCGGCCGTCCAGTGAGCGTGGTTTGTGTAGGTTTCGATAGTATGCTACCGGGAACTGGTGGCGTTTTTATTAGTGGTATTATAACGGAGAGAGAAGATAAGATAAGGCCAGCCGGCGGCCGGCCGTAAGCGTTTGCTGTTTATTTTTACCAGTAAGACTTTTACTTACGAAGTATGATAACTTGAGAAGTCCGAAACGAATCTTGACTGTTTCGGCTTTGATTGACGCGGAAAATTTTTTTCGTTATTTGGATATAGATTAAGAAAAAATATATTCACTTTAGCGTCGGGGGTTGCCGAAAAACTTATGAGCATGTTTCACGTTCGAGTGATCGGCATCGAATGAGATAATTAAAATAATAAATCTTAATAAAATAAAACTATTAGTGATGATAATAGAAAAAAAACTTGTTTTAAGCCCATTGAAGAAGTTCATACATTTAATCTGATTGTATAATTTTATTCCGAGACCGTTATTTGAGCTGAACCTATTATTAAAAGTTCGTCGACATGTTTTTTTGGATCAATTGTAAGTATTTGGTGTATTAAAAACCGAGTGATGCGCTTAAGTAAGAGTTACTTTCTTGGTTCATTTGTATAAAAGTAGTATTTATTTTTTACCACTCAATAGTATTTAATAATTAACTATAAATTTTATTTTTTATTAATAAAGGCTAAAAAAGTATATATATAAAAAAAAAAATTATAAATATTGATTTTATACGTTTTGAGGGTTATTACACATACACATAAGTGGTAATCAATTTCTATAAAGTAATAATTATAATTATAATTTAATAAATTAAGTTTAAACTAAAAAAAAAAGATTCTCAGTGTTTGGGGTGTACTGAACCCGACATAATCCTGAAGTAGGCAAATAAATTTACACGCTACTGTAAAAATATGAAGCGATTGATAGATGGCGCCTCAGTAATGACAACTATTAACGTTTTTATTAAACAACTTAACGTGGAAAATTATGTATTAATTAGGTTTTTCTTGTACTTGAGCCTCTTAGGAGGAAATTTTATTGAAATAATTAACTAGTATATTGTCCGTTATACTATACATAAAAGTTTTTTATTAAAATATACAATAGTATGTATCCCCATTGATATACACACTAGTGTATATAATCAATGGTATTACATACTAATATTTATATGAAGTACAATGTGTTAACTATTCATGTTTTATCAGACGTATCACATAAAAGA